GCTATCTAAGAAAGATTAGAAAGAAAAGTGAATAGATTCCATGTTAGAGAATATCTTGATTTTGCTAATCATGCTAGAAGAGAAAGAAGAATGAGATTGAGATAAAAGGAAAGATGGGAAAACAATTACACTTATTTCTATGGAGGTCTTACAGAAGAAGAATAATTATATAATGATTACTTTGAAACTGATTAAGAATTATATAAAGATGATGAATAAGTTGAATAAAGAATTGATGAGGCTGTTGCTTAAGTTGATCCTAAGTATAGTCCTCTCAGATTTGACTTTTAAGAAGCCTATACCCATAATCCTGAAGAAGATTAAACTTCACTTCTTGAAAAGAAATTATGGAGATTCAAATATAGATTAGCATTTGATTGCACCAAAGATTATTAAGTTAGAGAAAGAAGATTGATTGAAAGACATTTGGCAAGAATGACTAAAGACCCAGAATATATTGCTGTATTCAAAAATCTATAAAATGCTGTTAATTCTGAAAATGAATTTGCAATCTTATAAGCTGAAAAGAATTATTATAATCTCGCAGCTAAAGAAGGATGTAATTTTATTATATTATTTATTTAGTCCTTTAATACAAGGACTACTTTGAAGGAGATTCATCAGCTGAAGTCGAATTGGTTGAAGAGTTATACAAAGCTTCACCTTTGGCATTCAGCAAAATCTTCGTTAATCACTCTGCAAGATTATTCTAATAAGAAGGATTCTAAAAATTCCCTAAAAGAGCTTGGAATGACAGTCTAGGATTAATATAAAATTATGTTTTAGATTTCTAAGACTTTTCATCTAATATTGTACCAAAAGCTTAAAAATTGGCTAATTATGCTGGTTTATAAAATGTATTTAAAATAGTTTAAATTATAGGTACTACCTGCAGATGAGTAAGAGTTAGTAAAACTTGGTTTAGATAAAACTGAATAAATTGCAAGATAAAAAATTGCATAAGCTTAAGAAAAACCATAATTAAATGAACCACCTAAATAAGCATAATAATAAGCACCTCCAAAAGTTGAATAAGAATAATAGAAGCCTTAATAATAATAATAATAATAATAATAATAATAATAATAATAATAATAATAATAAAAGAAAGGACCTTTTAACAAAAAGAAATGATAATTTAATTATTAAAATAAAACAAAATAAATATCTTATAATTATCTACTAGATTTTTTATTGATTCAATCTTATTAATCTTAATTTTATTCTAATTACATTTCTTCTCTTTTATCATTATATGAAGAGAATAATTCCTAATAATCAATTTTTTATCTGCTCTCTTTTCCAATAGCATAATGATCTATTTATGCACAACCTGGTTATATTTATTTTAAATTTTCTAAGATCTAAATTCTATTATATGGCAATCATTATTACATATTTTTTTCTAAATATTCCTTTGAATTCTATTCTTCCATATTAGAAATAGGTAAATGCAATTTATATTCAGGGCCAAAATAGATCTTATAATCAGATTCATCAGGAATATTATCAGGAATTGGTACATTTAATGCTAAGGAAGTTTCATAGGTCCAACAACGTGGAACATTTCTTAATGTATATCCTCCACCACCTACCATTATAATAGGGACATTAAATTTTTTCAGATATTCAATACAAGACCCATGGCCTAAGTAATACTATTGAATAATAACCTTTGATGCTTAAATTAAAACATCCCAAACGATCTCCACTTAGACTATCAGTTCCTCCTTGTAACATTATAACATCTGGTTTAAAATTATCCATAATGCTATCGATAACAGGTTTAAATATTAATTAGATAGAATCATCATTTAAACCTTCATTCAATGGAAAATTAACTGCATAATATTTTCCTTTATCATGTCCAACATCATCAATATGCCCAGTTCCAGGAAAATATTCTTTAAATTTATGAAAAGAACAAGTCATAACTCTATCAGTTAAATAAAATGCTTCTTCAACTCCATCTCCATGATGAATATCAATATCGATATAAAGTACTCTTTAATATGTTTTTAATAGTTCTAATATTCCTAATACACAATCATTAACATAACAAAATCCACTTGCCTCACTTTATTTCGCGTGATGCAATCCACCACTCCAATTTATAGCAATATTACTCTTCTAATCTGCTATTACACAAGCAGCACCAACAGATCCAGAAGTTTGACATAAACAAAAATCAAATAACCTATCCAAAACTGGGCAATCTTCCATAAAATTGACTATATATTTAAATATTTATTCATTTACATCTATATAATTGATCTTCATGTTGGCATTTATTTTCTGGAGTAATAATTTTGATTAAATCAATATATTCTTTCGAATGAAATTAAGTCAATACATCTTCATCTACTCTTTTAATATAAGTTTGAACAAAAGATTGATCCTAAACCTAAAAATGAATACATCTTACAATACAATTCATATATTATTTAAGTCCATAATGACCAACTAAATCATCTGTGATAGCTACTCTTAAAGGTTTCATAGGGTGAGTTGTTGAATAATTAAAGGTACCGAATTCCTCATCGTAATAATAAGTCACTTTCTACTTGAAGAGATTCATTCTTCCCCCAAAATTGTATTTTTAATTATATTATTGTTTATATTATAATTCATTATATTTAGTAAACTATTTTGAATATCTGAAAATTATAATAATGCTGAATAGATACAACCAAATAAATTCACTTCAATCTTAATCTTTTCCAATATTATATTTTTTAAATATCAATAATTCTCTAAAAATATATAAGTTAACAAAAATACATATAAAAATTTTAATCATTAATCAAGTTTATCCAAAATTAGATTTATTAATTCGTAATTTTCATCTGATATTTTCATTTGTTAAACAAACAAAATTCTTGATTCACAATCTTCTTCATTAAATATTTTAACATTAACCTAATCTATACTTATAAGTCTGTATAAGATGAAAAGTATATTAAACAAAAATTGATTATCTTTTTCTTCACAATAGTCATTTAATTCTTGAGCTATTTACTTAATTAATTTATAATCCTTATTTAATTTTATTACATCTTCATCCTTAGAAAATTTGATTAGATTATGGAGAAACAAAAAAAAATCATCAACCTCTAAAAATATTGAAGGGATGTTTTATGCATAAGGAAGAATTTCCTCCCAAAATTCATTGATATATTGAGGATCATCTGTAATAAAATTACTCAATGTCACAAAACCTTTTTTGATTAAAGATTTTAATTCTCTTTTTATAATATTCTATTAATCCATAAAATTTTTAATTGTTTTTATTATTGTATGTGCCATCTGAGATTGAAAATTTAAAGTTATTTCATTATCTATTTTATAAATAAAAAGATTACCTAATAATGATACATATTAAAAATATTTAAATATTTCTCCACATAATTAAATATTCTCAAAATCTCCTTTCAACAAATAATTCAAAAAACTCAAATCTAACTTAGATTTATCATAAGAATAAATTCTGTTCATCATTTTGAGAATCCATTATTTTTCTTTAGCATTATATAACTATATATAGAGATCTTACAATATTTCATGTAACTCAATTAATTTAAATTTATTAATTTCTGGTTTCATTCTATCCAAATTTATAATCAAAGAATAAAAGTCATCAAATAAACATTTTTGTTTACATTTGAGTGTGTAATTCCTTTAATTGAATATATATTATACCATAAACATTTTGGAAGTTATAGTATTAAAATCAAGTCTCTACATTGGTAACAATCACAAGCTAAATTTGCAAAAATATCCAAAATGTACTATTATAATTCTGTATAGTAAGTTGAATTATAATAGCCAGCAAGTTATTATATGTATTCATGAATAGGTTGAATTTATTGATGATTTCCTGCTGAAATAGCCAATAATATATGTAAACAAGATTTCTGAAAAATTAATATTTATATCTACATCTATTTGAGGATAACCAATATTAAATATTTTGAATATTCGTTCAACATCATTTGTAGTATTATAATCAGGTTCACAATCATATTCATTATAATAATTGCTTAATTACTAAACTTTGAAAATGCTGTCTGTTATTGTTTCATCCATATCATATTCATCATTCATAGAGTTAAATTTCTTGATAAATATTCACTAAATTACCTATTAATTGCCTTTTTCGAATGCCTCGTAATATGATTATTAAAATATATTATTGCTACAAGTAAATGGAATTATGTCTTTTGATTATGGAAATCGATTTTTTCTGAATGTTTCTTCTCTAGCTTTTTTCTTAAGTCCAATAATAAACTTCTCTCTTTTTTGAGTTATATTTTAAAGCATTTTTAATAATTTTAAATAAATATAAGGCAAATTAGTAATCTAAAATAATTATGTACATCATTCATTATATAATAATCAATAAAATTTACATAGAATTTAATAATTGTATAAAATATTACTTATTAATAAATAATAATTGGGTGTAATTATATTAGCATTTATTGAAAATAGTATTTTAACAATCATCATTGTATACTAATTGGATTATAAGACTTTTAAACTCATTTATCATCAATTAGTTTACTACTTTTCTTTGATGAATATAGAAATTTACGAATAAATTTGAGAAATCCCAATGTGATAAATTTATATTTAAATAATAATGCTTAAGCATCTTTACGATACAGACTGTGTTACTTGGTCACCATAAGGCAAATTATTCTAAGTAGAATATGCTATGGAAGCTGTCAAATAAGGAAGCATATGTTTGGGACTCAAATCAAACGAAAATGTAGTATTATGCAGTCTCAAAAGACAACCATCTGAATTAGCAGGCTATTAAGAAAAATAATTTAAAATAGATGATCATATGGCTATTGCTATTGCTGGATTAACAGCAGATGCACGTATTAAATTATATATATAAATACAGGTGTTTTATGTAAATATATGAGAACAGAATGCTTAGAATATAAATATACATATGAATCTCATCATCCAGTAGGAAGATTAGTTTACAAAGTTGCAGAAAGTATGATATATATCAAATTTGAAAAGAGTCTCAACATAAAACTTAAAGTGGGGCTAAGAGACCCTATGGTGTAGGATTATTGGTTGCTGGTATTGATCCAAATGGTGTTCATTTATTTGAAACATGTCCATCTGGCAATTATTATGAATATAAATGTTAAGCTATAGGTTCAAGATCATAAGCTGCTAGAACTTATTTTGAAAGTTGGTTCCATTTATTTGAAAAAAGTACTTTAGAATAACTTATTTTACATGGATTAAGTGCTATCAAGAAGGCTATTATGGAAGATGAAGAGTATTTTAAGATATTATAAATATAATAGATTAAATGAGAAAAATGTAGAAGTTGGAATTTTAGGTAAGAATTAGAAATTTACACATTTAAATGCTTAAGAATTAAGAGATTATATTGCTAAATTAGATGCTTTTAATCCTAATTCTTAAATATAATAAGAATGATAATTTAATAATACATATTTTAATAGATATTATGTAAGTTCAATGTTTTTATTTTTTAAAGAATTCTTAATCACTTTTTACACAATATTACTTAAATAATACAGAAAATATATACAATATTTATAAATTAATATGATTTAAATGGTAATAAAGATAATAATTCAACAATCATTCTCTATAAAGCTTATATTAATATGGAATATTAATTATTAAATTTATAAGAAAAGAATTTCTATATTACATTAAGAATGTGAATCATTGAAATTAAAAATTATTTTCAAGATTGGAGATTATTTCTTAATTTATATTTTATATGATTCCAATAATATTTATGAATGGAGGCGACTTTAATATAATTTATTTATTATATATATATATATAAATGAAATTGTTAATTCATGCAATAATAACATCAATATCATTATAAACATCATAATCTGATCTTCTTCTTTTATTATATAAATGTATTTATAAAATTTCATCTTCCCATTTTAATTTTAAACCTTTATCTTCCCATTTTATATTGTATTCATCAATTTTCCAAGTCACAAATTTTTCTGCATTATTGAAACAATAATATGGACACAATAAAGAAAATCCGCATGTAAAAGGAATAAGTAAATATGATAAAAGTATTAATTTTCTTGGAGGCCAATTGTTTGCTATTGTTCTGTTCAATTCATCTAGAAATGATTTTATTTCATGTTCGTTAATATATTCAAGCAATAATGAATTATGTTTTAAGTAATAATATGGGTGTAATTTGGATAAGATAAATTTATTTCCTTTTGTTTTAATTGTAATTACTGCATTAGCTTCTTATAGCTCTTAATAATTCTTTATAGTTTTCATTTTATTAGGTTCTTGCATACTTGGTGTTTCTAAAGATTTATCTAAACTAACTTAGTACATATATAAATAAATAAAGAAATATTTTATAGCTAATAATCTAGAAGTAATAATCTAGAAATAATAATAATTTAAAGAAAAACTATTTTATGTTAAAAATAAATAAAAGAGTTTATCTTTGATTTTTATTCATTTCTAGTTTTCAATTAACTATCTAAAACTCTAAATTATATAAGGTAAACCAAACTTATATTGTTTTTTGGTATCTTATCTATTAACTAAATTCGTATATACTAAATAATGAAGCAATTCAAAATAGATAAGAACATCATAAATAAAAATTGACTTATTAATTAAATCGAAAAATAATTAAAAGAGATCAGATGGATAATAACTGGACTTTTTAACTGAAAATAATTAGTAATGAGATTATTTTATAAAAAGATACACATAATTAATCATTTGAAAAGTATAGAAATTTGAAGAAGTATTTAGAATTATAATTTTGGATTTAAAAATAATAAACAATTAAGATTACAACAATTTTAATATTTAGAATATAAGATTTGGTGATTATCATTTATTTTTCTAAATGATTCCAATTTTAATCCTTTTGAATCTTATTTTTTCTATTTAATTGGTGAGATTCTCAATCATTATCAAGAAACAGAAAAATCTTTTTAATTTCGTTTATAATTAATCAATATTTGTTTTTCATTTAATAAATAGAGTTATATTTTTATACTTACAACTCCATAAGTCTATCAATCTTACATAAAAACTATATATCTTTATTTAGAAACCTTCTTATTTTATTTTAAATCCATATTCTTAAAATTTCATAAATTTAAATATAATTTCTAATTACAAAAATTAAACTATTAAAATCTTGCTTCAAAAGGACTACTATAATAATATAAATATTATTTTAATTCAATAATAGGCAAAACTCTACATGAATTTTACATATTTTAATTATAATATCTCTTAAATAGACCATAGAAAATGAAGCTTTAATATCACTTTTAAAAAATGTTGAAAGTCTTTTAGATAAAAATAATATCAATATAACAAGTATATATGTGATATTTTTATAAAATTATCAATATTGGCAATTAATATTATTATATTATTATGCTGAGTCTCAATAAATTAATTTACTTGAATCCATAACCTTCTTATCATTCCAAGACTTTCGATGGTCATTAAAAACTTAAACTATTATTTATCAGAACAAAGCAAAATAAACATTAAATTCCTTGTTTATTCATCAAAGCGAATTCAGATGAATACCTCTTATATTTTCATAGTAATGCAGAGGATATGTAAATTTTATTTAAATTTAAAAGAGGCACTTGTTATGAATTTACATCTGCTTTGAGTTAAGGATTGAATGTAAATGTAATTTGCATGGAATATCCAGGATATGGGATTTACACATAAGTTGAACCTTCTTAACAATAAATTGAAAAGGATGCAGAAGATGTGTTTATTTATATTAATTTGGAATTAAGAGTTCCTGATTCTAAACTGACTATTTTTGGAAGGTCTATTGGAACTGGCCCAGCTTGTTTTTTAGCATCAATTTATTAACCAAAAGCATTAATTTTATTAAGTCCATTCACTTCTATAAAGGCTGTTGCTAAAAAGCATTTTTACTTTGCTGCAAATTTATTAAAAGTATATAGAAATTCATAATTCCTTATAGGATTAATTTGATAATGTACAAAGAGCCAATAAGGTTTCATGTCCTTGTATTATCATTCATGGTAAACTAGATAAATTTATTCCAATTTAAATGGCAGAAGATCTTTACAAAAGTTTGGCTTCAAAAAGAAAAACATTTTTTTATCCTGAAGATAAAGATCATAATAATTTCAATTTTTAATATGATATAAAAGATATTGTTTAGAACTTCATTAAGGAAATTGAATAGTTAAATCATATGTTTTTGCATAATTGATATATCTAGAATCTCTTTAATTAGTTTACATTAGCATTTTTAAAGAATTTATCTTAGATAATTTATTTTGATTATTTCACTATTCAATTCTAAAACTAATTAATTTTTTCTTATGAATTTATATGATTATAAAAGAAATTATATTAAATTCTTTCTATATTTATGAAATATTTACTAAGATTTTTATAAATTGATCTATTTTCTTATTATATAGATATTAATCATATTTATTAAATTTATTTATAATATCTATAAAATGTAGTTATGAAAAATGATTACAAATTTAATATATAAAATATTTATTAAATAATAATATAATAAGATTGCTATTTAGTATATCTAATATTAATATCTGATAAACTCAGAATTATAATCCAATGTCTTCTATTGGTAAGTGAGATACTGCTTATAAAGCCTTTTTTAATTCTCCTTTAGCTCTCATGGTTTCAACGTATTGCTTAATTGTATTCTAAAACTTTATACTATTTAATTTAAGATCAGGAATAATTGATATAAGCATATAGATCTAGATAAAAATGTTTAAATACTTCTACAACATTCTCAAGTCTATTTTATTATAAATTTGTATTGATAGTTAGTGAACAAAGATCTACAAAATCAAATGTATTATTTCTTTGTTATAACTCATTTATACATTAGCTTAAGATTTAAGCATTGGCATTTGTTATAACATATAAACCTCTTAATACTCTAATAATAAGATTATTGACTGAAATATTTTCAGGACTCACATGCCAAATAAAGAATAATTTCATAATAAATCTAGGTTAAGCATATTAAATTGATATAATCTAATTAGTTAATGTATTAATCATTAATTTTAATGTATATTCTATTAATTGTTATTTATCATGAAATTGTTCTAAAATTTACAAAATAATCTAATAAAACAATTTGTCATTTTATATAATATTTAAAATTTATGGATAAGTACTTAAATTAGTTAACATACCAATACCAACAGTTAGTAATCTGTTATCACTACTATTTTAATAGATTAAACTAATTATATGAGGTATTATTTAAGGTTAAATATATTAATTACCAACAATCCCAAAAAAAGAGAATAATTCTTTGAAAATAAATTATCTAATAGATGGATGTTATTGATCATATTTTGGGGATTGTATTTAGTTATTTTCTAGAAAATTGCTAAAAATATTGACTATATTTTCAATATGTTATAATTTGTATTATTCATTATTTTCACATATTTTTCTAATTATACCTATCATTAATGCACATTCTTCACTGATAGTATTAATTTATTTATATAAATGATTAAAGAATTCTGCATATTTTAAGAGTTCATCAATAACTTCAGGACAATCATATAATAATTTCCATATTAATGTTAAAGATGAAGCATCTAATGTTAGTTTTAATACTTATAAAATTCCTTAACACCAAAAAAGTAATCTTTAATCATTATTAAAACACATATTGGCTATAATTAATTAGACTAATTCTCTATTGATGTTATTTCTAAAAAGTTAAAGTAATTAATCTTAACTCTTTTTTATTGTCATATATTCAGAATTTTTGTTATTTTTGGTTACAATAACTAGACAAGCCAATAAATCATCTGTGCAATTAACTCTAAGCATACGAATAAAAGATCTTAAACATTTTGAATGTCTGATTTCATCTGATATATCCTTATCCCAACAAAGAATACAGAAAATCTAGCAAATCTATTTAGAGATTTCATTAAATAATGTTGTTTTAAATATTTGACTACATTCACTTAATGATACATAATATTGACAAAGTGCTTTAGCAAAGGATAGATTGAATGTATTCAAAAATAGCTCAGTAAAATTGATTCTCCAAATTTAAATTATAGGTTTCAATTGTAAGAAATCCAAATCCTATTTTATTATAGAATCACTATACTTCTAAAATCATTCCAAAGATAATCTTTATTTGATCTAAATTTTGTTGATTGAATAATCTAATATATTGTTCTACTTGCCCAAGAAATGAATTAAATGACTATAAAGAAGTATTATAATCTTTATTTCGTATTGGTAATCGTAGTTGTTAAAGAAGTTAAATTGGAATGATGTTATTGTTATTCATTTAATTATAATTATGAACTTATTATTAATACATAATTAATCATTTGTATATCAATAAAGATTATTAAATTAATTATAGAAAACTAATTAAATTAATTCTGATCATGTTTTTAATTCAATATCTCTATAAAATAATAAAAAAGTTTTAACTGTTTAACAAAAACTCAAAATTTTAATAAAAATGAATTTATTTTAAATATTTTCTTAATAATAATTAAATAAATCATTCATCTTTATTTTATTACTATTTCTATTCATCTAAGTCATATTTTCTACTTAAAAATTATTTTGATTGTTTATATATATTATATGTATGTTGAATATCGATACCTAGAGTATTGCAATAATTATGTTCAGCCATAAATTAATATAAATCTAAAGAATCTTCTTCATCCATCTCTGCACCAAAGTATTTTTCAAATTATTCTCTAAAATGATGTTACATATCTTTTTTTTCAATTTCTATAAGGAATTTTCCTACTTAATTTGGCTTTAATTCTTTTCTTAATTATTCTAAAGTTTATCCATACGAACTCAATTCAATCTATATTTGGTTTTTAATCTCCTAAAAAGATGATAAAGTGCTAAAAATAAATTTTAACACAACTTTGTAAGATCATTCTAAAATCTAAGTAGCTTTTTATGTTTCTTTAAAAATATCTGTTTTTATTTGTCTGTCAATTTCAAATTCCTTAAAACACCAGAATCATTATTTCCATTTTATCCATTAAAAATATCTTATTCTGTTTTTGCTACTCCAATTATATAATTTAAATAAGGAGATAGGCAATTTTCATATATTTAATTAAAATAATGATCTAATTATTATTGTCTTTCAAATGATCCAGCTCCAAATTTTTTCTTATTTAAATAATTATTTTTACATTTAATGATTCTATTATACTATCTATATTCATTTCGCTAACATTATTCTATACTGTATTTTATAAATTTTAAAACAAAATCATTTTATTCTGATCTTACTCTTATTTCTAAATTATAATGTAATTTAACTTAGCTTATTTTATTTTGTAATTTTAATGCCAAATCAGCAGTGGAATCGTTAACTTTTTGAAAACTTTCCAATTATTCTGACAATATTGTAACTTTATTTTCTAATAATTCTAAGTAAATTTTCTTTCTCTTTCTACTATTTCTTGCAGATTCTCTATTTTTTTTTAGTTTATCTTCTTTATCAACACATGACCCCCCACCAAAGAGTTGATTTGAGGATTTTGCTTAAACTTATTTTTTTCCTCCTCTATTGTCATTTTATTTAAAATACTTTTCTTCTATTTATTCAGAATTTGCTATTTTAATCAAAGATGAGATTTTATTGATGTAAGTATTTTTGGTATTTCCTTTTTGTTTTTTCATTTAGGCTTCAGATTTCTTGTCATCTTCATCTTCTTTATCATATTATATATCACTAGAGTTGGAATCTGATTCCAAAGGATTAAAGTAATCATAGTGATTCATTTATAATAATTATTTATTCTCAATTAATTTATATAATTTAAATTCATAAAAATTAAATATTATAATAATAACAGAAATTATCTCAATATTGAAAATTTTATTGATTATTTCTGGTCTTTGAGAAAAAATATACAAATTATTTGAGATTATTTATATTTCTTATGATATTTATGATTAAATTTAATAAATTAAGTTTCAATTTTGCATTAAATATTATTTTTGATTCTAGTAATAAAATTAAATTATAATTGCATAATAAATCTTTAATACTAATTATTTAATAAATTTTCAGATAATTATTATCTTCGAATTAATAGATCTATTATGATTGACTAATTTTATTTCAATAATTATTAATTTCTCCATAAAAAAGTATTTAAAATTAAATTGAAATATAGAATAAAAATAAATATAAATAAAAATCTAACAATAAGATTTCTTATTGCTGCTTTCAAAATTAAATTTAATGAAATTTCATCATTAAAATTTATATTAATTTATTTGTGTTTTATTTGGTTATTTTTTATGTCAATCTATATATTAATATACCAATTAAAATATTATAGTATATCAACTTTTTAATAAAAAATCCATCAAAAAAATGATTTGGGATACACATTATTACCATAAATTAATTTCAATTTTTGAATAAATTACATATACTCATCCTCTTAAAATAAGAACAAAAAATCAGAATTAGATCAGAATTAACAAATGATTATATTTGATCAACAGAATTTGTTAATATATAATATATAATAAATAAAACAATTAATTATTAATTTATAATTCATATTTATTTTTTAAATATCACCAGGATTATACTGGAAAAATTCTTAGGATTTTATTATAACTATTCATTCTAGATTCATTATTATTAGAATATAAATATTTTACTTATTTATTTAGAATAACTTGCTTAATTCTATAATCTTTTATGATTTTAATTATTTTTATTTTATAAAAAAGTAATTAATAATTATTTTTTAATTGAATAAATAAATTTTCGAAATTTGTCGAATAACTTTTCAATAGAAAAAGATACAAAATATTAAAATATCACTAGTTTGAATTATTTATAGGTTTATTGGACAAGGTGAAACAGATAACAATATTTTTTGTAATTAATATTAATCATTCTACATATTTTGTATCAATTAATATCATGTAGATTCCAGGATGTTTATTGGCAAAACTAATTAAATCCTTTTTAGATATCTTAAAGATTGTAGCTTTTCTGGTTGCTCTAATAGATGTTGATATAGCAGTATTTTCAATCATAGCTTTTAATTCTCCAACATATGCTCCTGAATCTAATTCTTCTAAATCTTACTCAGGTGAATCATAAAAAGCAAAAGTTCCTCTTTTGATAATAAAAGCGAATTCAGGTTTATCTCCAACTTTCCAAAGAACAGTACCTTTTTCAATTTCGTGTTCTCTCATTATCATTTCCAATTATGTTTTTTGAGAAGGAGTTAATTCAGATAAAATAGAATTTTTAAAGAGACAATGAACAGCTTTAGATCTTCTAGCTGCAGTCAATTATTTCATTTTTTGAATAATAGGACCTTATCCACCTAAACCATCTCCAAAAATAAACCAGAAATCATGTTTTTCTAAAATAAGAACTTTAAGATGTGTAACAGCTTCTACACTAATAAATTAATAATTATTATTACGAAGCTCCTCTTCTTCCTTCATTTGATAAAACAGCAGATTCTCCAAAATAGTCACCCACTTAATAATATCTTTCAAATTCTTAGCCTTTTTATGTTGAATAAACTCTTGCTAATCCTGATTCAATAATATAGAATCTATCTCCAGCAGTTCCCTCTTTGATAACATCTTATCCTGGAAAGAATTCTTCAGATGTAACTGAATCTAAAAGCCATCTTACATTTTTTAAAGTCAAATGTTCAAAAATATCAATTGTTGAAAGTAAATCAAGTCTTCTTATAGTTGTCAAATGTTTATTTGTATTACTTGGTATTAAAATCATAGTATTTTCTATACCAGTTTTTGCTATCTTTAATCCTAATTCTTTTTTTAAATCTTTTTAAGCTGTATGCACAAGATACAATCTATTTTTTATATTATTTGGTAATTTGCCAAGAACAGATTATGCAGTATGAATAGGAGGCACTCCTGCTTCATGTAAGATTAAATCTTCCTTAAATTCTACAAAAGCTAAGTGTTCATATCTCTTTTGTGAGAGTATTCCTTAATTTTTATAGACTAACAATTAATCTGGATCAAAGAATGTATCAGATGAAAAATAAATAGATTTATTTTCTAATTTCACACTGAATCCAAGACTTGGAATAGTATGCATAGCATAGAAGAAATTAAAATAAGCTCCATATATATTCAAAGGAATTCCAATTATAGCAGGTCTATAATAGATAATTATAAAAATATACCTAAAAATAAATAGTTTTCTTAATGAATCTATGTCAATATTAGACATTGCAGAATATTTTCTTAAAAAAGAATTCATAATTGTTCTTGTAGTAATAATTTCTACTCTAATATCATCCAATATTTTATGGAATGTACCAGCATCATGATCTGCATGACAGTGACTAATAATCACTGCACATATTAATATTGAAGGGATTCCCATTTATTTCATATGATATGAGGCAAATGGAGGTGGATCTACCATAATTCCTCTTCCATTTACCCAGAAAATATAACCAGAAGTTGATCCTTTAGGATCGAATCCATGAGACTAAAAAAATATATTAAATATTAATTACACATCCTAAGATAGTAACACCAAAATCTGGAGGTGTAAATGATTTATTTTCATCAATATCTAATTAAAAAATAGCTGATCCACTTTCAACATGTCCTCCCATCTAATCCCATAAGACTACTGATAATTTCTTCTCACCACCTCTTTAATATTAATTACCTATAACCCAATTTTCCACTTTTTATTCAACTGTCATTTCTGGTAATTGTTTAACTAATAATGGTGTTGGACATTATTCTTTTGCAGCATCTCTTTTAGATTTAATATTTTTCATGCTTTCAGCTCTATAATCATCTGGTTTTGTAACAATATATTCATAATATTATGAAGGGAATGTAAATACATCTTAAATACTTTTTTAATATATCCCATTTTCTAAAATTTTAAATGAATTGTTATCCTTAACTATTTTAATTGTGATATCTCCTTCAGTGATTGTTGCAGTGTTATTTTCATCAAATAAACAAAATTTTAATAAATGATCTATTGTCAATTTTTCATCTAAATTTGATGGATTTTTTGAAAATACACTTCTTTCTTTATGAAAATCTGGATAAGCACTTTTTGGAAATTTATGATAGAAATCAAGTGCTAAATCAGGATGATCAATTGGACCTAATAAGGTCTCTTAAAAGACAGTTCGAATTGCTTTTTCTGTATCAGGTGTACAAATTAATGTTATTTATTTCTTTTTACAGAAGAAATTAAAATAAGCTGGAAATTCAAATTCAGCAGTACTTATTCCAAGTCTTTTATCAAATCTAATAATTTCTAAATTTTATACCTTTTTGATGGTATAATATAAAAAGTTGGAACTTCCATTCCTAAATTTAAACAGTCCTTAATTGTTTCTGGAGGCATACCATACTAAATTGGACCTATCTTGGTCTGTAGTATGCAACCTTATATAATTATCTATTTTTACCTCCTCTCTCCAAATCAACTAAGTCTGCACATGATACATTAGATTTACAATCTGATTATTATTTATATAGCTAAATGGAGCATGATTAGGATTTAAGCAAGGAAGGACATTAATCTGACTATTCTAACATGTAATCCAAATCTTATAGAAAAGATTTGTCATCAGAAAATACATATGAACAAGCCATTTTATAAACAAATAAAAAATTATTGAGTAATAAAATTATTGTTCATTTAGAATTAAAGGATGAACTCTATCAAAAAGTAATCATTTCCATTAATTTAATGCCATTCTAACTTCTGGTTTTGATAAATTAAACTTAACACTTTTTTTGCTACCAATACTACTACACCTTGAATTATTATCAGAAAATGAAGAATCAAGTGTTTATTTCTTTAAAATTCCTTTAACACAATTTTATTTTGAACCCAATTTTGAACTATAAGATGATGAATTAGATTCTAATACATTATTTCTACTAAGACATTATTCTGAAACTTTAATATTCTTTTTTTTAGCTTATCTGATTTATGAATCAATTTATAAATCACTAGGTAATCTTTCATAAGTTGCTCCTCTTTTTTCAGTTTAATTATTTTTTTAATCAACATTTAAAAGTTAAGCAGGTCTATGAATATCAGATTTATGATGATTTAATCTTCTTTTGATTTACTTAAATTTCTGTTCTACAGAATCCTTTGTTTTTATTGATAATTGATTAATTAATTAAAATGAATCAAATTATCTGGAAGGTGAAGTTTCATCACAATTCAAGTCTTCTTCAAGCTATCCTAATGAGATACCAAATTCTTGTTTATATTACATATTATAAATTTTATATTATAAAGTAGTTTATCAATTCTTTATATCTTCATTTTTATCACTATCTAAGATTTCATAATGTCTCTTTAATCTCAATAAATTAATAATATTTGGTACAGAATCTGGTTAGTTTTATCTGACTCCATCAATTAAATCATTTAAACAAATTTCTTATAATTATTGCAATACACTTTCAGTAGTATCTACATCATCATCTTTATCATATACATCTCTTATTTTCTAAGAAAATTCTTTTTGAATTCCAATTTATTCTTCATCATAAACAAAAAATTCATATTCTTTATTATTATTCTACTTAGTAAGTTTTAAAATTTCATATTTTTTCTTGCTGCTAAATATTTCATAAGGCATTCTAAATCTTCTCTTTTTTTCTTTGGGGACAACTTAAATCTAACTTTATATTTATGGATCCATATTTTCTTTATTATTATAGTTATTTGATTTTTGATCACTTTAACTAACTTTTTAGAATAATTATAGAGTATCTCGTTTATCAGCTGAAACTTTTGCTTAAGAATTCATATTTTATTAATAATTATTGAAATTAAATTTAAAAAACAAGAATACTTTATTTTATTTCTCGAAGAACTCATAATTTCTGTATAAATACTAATAAGATCAAAAATAATGATAATTTAACTTAATTAATATTTAATCATAGTTAATTACAAAGAGCAGAACAAGTCAAGTTTTTAAACTTTATTAATTCAATTTATTAGGTAATCCAGGACTTAATGGTAAAAGTTTAGTCATAATTATTGATTTTCTTTTATAAATAAATGCTTATACCTTTATCCCATAATTTCACTACCTCTCTTTTCCTTCAATTTATTTTCCATTAATTTCTGGACATTTTATCCATTTGAATTTCTTTCCTATATAATTTATTTTTCCTAAAAAGGGAATTAAAAGTTATTTTTCATTAATGACAATAATTCTACATAGGATTTTCCATTTGTTAATATATTCCATGATTCCATAGATTCCAAATTCTTTTCTAAACTTGTCAATTATCTTCTTCTTATAACCTAAAAAATATCAATTATTTCTTTACGCATAAAATCATCTATGTAATCAATTAAATGTAGTAAAACAAATCTTCATAGTTTGTATTATTTTTAATTCCATTAATAAATAATTTTGAATAGGCATTTTATAAGGATGAAATCAGTCCTATTTTAAAAAATATAGTTGAAATAAGTGAAGAAGGAGCCTAGTTAAGTATAAGATTTAGGAAACTAAAAATAATATAATATTATTACATGTAGAAATTCCTTTAGAATAGATTATTGGCATGGCTATCAAAAAACCAAATTATTAGAATATGAAGAACACTCTCATTTAGATATTTTAAAATGTATCTTTCTGTCAATTCTTAATTTGTTTGATAAATAAATTAAAATCCATAATTTAGTGTAGTTATTAATAAAGTTTTTTTAAATCTAAGAGTTGTCATATCTAAACCATTAGGGTTTTTATGAATTTCAAATATAATCTTACAAAGATATTCAATTGATTTCATAAAACTATTGCATAAATTTTATGAACATTCAAATAACTATTTTATTTCGATTACATTTTCAAATATAAAATTGATAAACACACCACATTCATCAGATATATTAAATTCATTATTTTTGATATTTAATATATTTAATAAATAAAATTAGAAATATTTATCGAATAATTCTTCATTTAAAAAAGATTTACAAATTGAAGTAATATCTAATCTGTTTAATGTTTATTTAACTTTTTCTTTATTAAGTTTTAAAAATTCTATCATTATTTTTGTGGATTATTATAATAATCTAATACCATCTAAGAAGTAATTAGAATTAAAATCTAGATTTTCCAATTATTTTTCATATTCAGTATTTTTTATTTAAGTTTTATAACTTGGATAAATGGTTCTTAGTTTAGAACTAGAAAATCCTTCAAATGTAGAATTTCCTTCAGTTTTTAATCTAAGTTTATTTTGATTATATAAAAATGGTGATTTTTTTTGATAACATAAAATCTTAGGTTTTTAGTCATCATTTATATCAATTCTTTATATTTGTGTTAATATCTATAATCCAGGAGATTCAACTTATTGAGTTGTAGTTGATTAAAATGAATTAGATTAACCAAATTTCTCTAAAATTTTGCCTTAACTTCTTTTTATACTAGTCAACATATTATTTTTTTGATGATAATTATTGATTGAAGTATTTGAATCTATTGATTATTTAAATATAATATTTTTATCTTCCTAAAAACTATTACCTACTATTGAATTGATATTAGAATCATTTAAACTAATTACTGATTTTCTTGATTTATAATTTTTTAAATCCTAATAATATTATTTAACAATTTAATTATTATTTCTTTGTTAATTAAATTATTTTAAATTATCTACATCTTATACAAGTATTTATTTTATGTTGATATTCTCTTTAATATCTAAATTTAATTGCCAATTTTATTGATTTGTTGTATAATATATTTCTGGAGTTTTTCCAGCTTGTAAAGATCCCAAAAGATTAGTTAGCTTAACCTTTTCTTCAGAATGCACACTGAGGTCTTAATGCTACTTTGAATCATATTATGTAAGTGCCTTAAGAGTTGATAAGATAGTTAAGGTCACTTCACTTTTAGAACCTTAATCAATTCCTGATTAAGAATGCTCTTTTGAAATTAATTAAGATATAAATTTGAACCAATTAGTTTAAGATAAGTATTTCCAAAGTTATTCTTAAAAAAAGGAACCCAATTAATATTTATCAATATTAATATTTATTATATCTAATTAATTATTATATATTTTACTCTCTAAAATTAATGATATCATTGGATTATAAATATATTAGGTTAAAGAAAAAAATAGATTTAAATCAATAATTTAAACTACACCTAATTTAGGTTCTCTCAATAAAATATTATCTATCAATTATGCTATATGATAAAGATTAGCATTAATATTGTAATCATTAATAAAATCATAAATACTATTAACTAAATAATATTATTTGAATAATTACATATTTAAATAACATTTTAAGGTATATGTTAATTAAAAAATGCAACATTTTCTTCTTTAATTAAAACTTAAAGAGCTTTATAAGATCTAATAGTTTGTTAAATACTTAAGTTTTTTTAATTATATTTATGATAGGTGTTATCTCTAATTTATGTATTTTATAATTAATGTTTATCCTACAATATATTATTATATAAATAAAATACCCAATATTTTATTATGTCACACTTTTGTGGTTGAGTAACATATTTGATTAAATCATTTAGATATTCACTTTGATTTAAAATATCGTTTAATTCTTAAATATCATATGTTTCTGTATCACATAACCATTTTTAAATTTATTCTTCTATTTTTTCTTCTTAACTTTCATCACTATAAAAACTATTTTGATCATCAATAATTCTAAAACTAACTCTAGTTAATTTATCTGAAATATTATCATTAGTAATATTTTTTGGTACATTAATATGATTTTTTAAGAAATCTAATTTAGATCTATTATGATTATACATTGATCAATTTCTTCATAATAAGTTGTTACCCATTCTCTATTTCCAAAGATATCATGTTTACATTCATCAAAAATTGATATTATCTTTAATCGAAATTCTTAGTCTTAAGTACTTTTTATAAAAATTTAAAAAATTCTCGCTAATTTTTCTATATCCATTTTCAAATCGTTTGCTAATTAAAAAATCTATTTCAAATATTAGGCACAAAACTTTTTGGCTTCAATGAGTTTTCGAGTTACTGACTTTGAAAATAATGCATTCTATGAGCCTTTCCTTAAATCTGTCATTGAATTATAACTTGAATATTAAATATATTGTTTACACATATGAAATTTTAGATAAAGATCTCTAACTTAGTACCATTCGTTATTCTTATAATTATGCAACTTCTTATGCAGCTTAATGAAATGTATTCACAAATTATCTATCTTTAAATCTGTCAAATAATATTGAAACTATTAGCTCTACACTTCTTTATTGAAATGGATAAGAACAAATTACTTTAATAGAATTATCAGTTATTACATAATTTTAATGATGAGATGTCATTAAAGCTTTATAGAGTAGAAATTCTTAAAGTCATGTCCTTGATTCCTAATGAAAGTTTTTACAATCTTTTATACTCATCCTCCTCATTTAACTAATTTTGAATCATAACTTACTGCTTGTTCTAGTAACATAAGGTTTGTTCAAATTTGTAATTAAATAATATAATTGATATACAATTAGTCTATCTATTAAATCAATTAATATTTGTATAGATATCATTATATTCATTAAAATTAATTAAATCTAAGTGAATTGTGCAGATTAATAATGATAACTTCTTTTAAATTGAGCCTATTTTAAAACTTATTAAATCAATACTCAACTCTTTAAACTAATCAACACATCTAAATTTCTATAATCTAAATAGTCTATTTAAATTATGAATAATTTATAAGCTTAAGAACTATGGAGTAATATTTAAAAAATAAGCAAAATTTATTTGATGACGAAATAAGAATATATATATATTTATATTAAAAATAATTAATTGTTTAATATATATATATTTTTAGAATTTAATAGGATGTTATATAATTTATTATGTGATCATATCAATTTAATTAATTATTTTAATTGTATTAAGATTAAGAGATTCTATATATCAAATATTTTTAAAGTATTAATATTATCACTTTTTTATTCCTTTTTATAATTTATATTTTTAGAAGCATTAAATTGATTCATAATATTGAAGTAATGAGATTATTATTAATTATAGTTTTAGGATAAACCTTTAATATAGGTAATGTTATAAGGTTATATACAGAAAACATTTAATTTTATTAGAAGTGATGAATATAATAATAATATAATAATTTTATATATTCGTTTTTGAGAATGGCTAATACTTGCCTTTATTCATTAATAAAAGCATCAGATGATAGTTGCCAATATGCAAAAGATAATTGCAATGATCAAACAATATTCCCATTTACACATTATTATTTCTGTTAACTTGATGAAAATTGGGTAATATTAATATTGATAGCTGTATATGAATTGAATTAATTATTTATAGCCATTCTTGTTTTTCATATTGTTTAACTTTTTAGCAAGGACTGTAGATGACTATTTATCACCTGCAGTTACTTTTATTGCAGAATATTTCAAAATGTCATAAACTTTTGCAGGGTATTTACAAATAAGTTATGAAGTGTAACATTGATAGCATTTGCAAATGGTGTACCAGACTTTTTATGTGCAGTTTTAGCCTCATAAGATGATGATGGTATATTGATAGCTGTTGGGAGTATATTTGGTAGTGGTCTATTTATGACAACAATAATAGTAGGTGCAGTAATTTTATTATCAGGAGTAGTGAAAGTATTGATTAAGATAAAAATTTTAAGGCAGAGAAAGTACCATTTATGAGAGATATTCTATTTAATGGAGTTGCCATTATATTATTGATGATATTTGCATTTATTGGATAAATTAATCATTACATGGCTATTGGATTTTGTTCTTTATATCTACTTTATATAATTGTAGTCTTAGTAAATGAAAATAGTATTAAGAAAAGTAAATAAAATAATTAATTATTAGAATAGAGATAGGATGAAATAAATTCATAAGAAGAAAAAAGAGAATAAGAGGAAAAATAATTATTAGCACAAAAAGATTAAGGAGAAGAAGGTAATTAAGCTATTTAGAATGTTGATGAAGAATTAAAAAAAGAATTGGCAGAATCAATTCCTGAATCTTTCAAGAAACCATTTGGAGAAATGACTACAATCTCTAAGATTAAATATGTTTATATAACCTCATTAGAATTTGTTAGAAAAATCACTATTCCTGTTAGCAATCAAGAAAAATATGATAAAACATATGCAGCCATACATTAACTTGTTTGTCCAATTGCAATGATAGCATTATTAGGATGTATTATATATAGTCAATAAATTTTAAATAGCATTTTCAATGGAAATTTATGAAATTAAAGTATGGATAATTTTAGAAGTAATTGGATTACTTTTGTTTATTTATTAAATAATATTTGAAATTCCTATTATTATATTGTCTATGGAATGTGTTGTATGTTCAATTATATGGTGTAAATAAGTTATTTAAGTTTTGATTGATTTCATTTTAGTACTAATTATTTTAATCAATTTTTAGTTAATATAAACAATCACAGGAGTGAGTTATTCTTATTTAGGTATGACATTTTTAGCATTTGGAAATTCTACTTGTGATTTCTTGGTTAATACTAAATTAGCATCAATTGGTTATGGATTGATGGCTATGACAGGATGTTTTTCAGGTGGTGTCTTTAATATGTTATGTGGATTTGGTGGAGCTTTAGTAAGATTGACTGCAATTGAAAAATATCCAGGAGTAGTATCATTTGATCTATTTAGAGATGCAAAGAGTGATTCATAAACTGATATTGTAAAATTATATATATTAAATTAGATTATAACAAGAATGAATAATTCTATTGCTTATTGTGTCATTATATTTTCATTGATGAATATTATTATGACATGTATTGTTGTAATTACTAAAAAGTATTAATTTATAATCTATTTTCAGATTCAAACTGACTAAAAATTTAGCATATTATTATTTCTTTATTTATTCAGTATTTTTTATTTTCATTACAACTTTAACAATTGCATTAAGTTCAATAGTCAGTTATTTATCAGAACAATGATTTTGAGCATTATAAATTTTATTTACAAAATATTTAAGTACTTTAATCAAATTATAGTAATTTGAATTTCCAATCATATACTAATTTGAGTTTGTTACATTACTTTTTTCATTTCTTAGATCCTTTTTATTTTGCATTAATATAGAATAATCTTTAATTTTTTATTAATTTTTTTATTATATTGCGTAATATAATTGTGATGTTGCGAAATGATTAAATTTATCAATTTTTAAGAACTTTGCATCATCGTTATTATCATTATTAAATACATTAAATCAATCTTCATAGTATATAATAATATTATTTCAATTAAATTTTTAAATGAAAGCTACCTACGACATTATTCCTTCAGATTCCTTAATATAATTAATTAATTCCTCTTATGAACTTGATCAAATGACAAACAAATGGATGTTTGGAGAAGAAGATCATCAATAAGCCTCTCCTCCTCATCACGATTAAATAAGGAAATGCAGACCACTTGACAAACATAATGAATCAATCATCAATAATAACAAAGACTTATTTAATGTGAACTATTCTAAAAGTGTTTATGTAAATAAAATAAACTCTTTAATTGAAATTGCTCCTACTTGTCAAGAATCTTCTTTGGCTATTAAAAAAGAGTAATATAAAATAATATACAATATAGATAAAAAACTTATCTTAAAACAAAGAAATAGTTTGAAAAAGATAATGGATACTATCATGAAGAACAAGGCTTTGATGATAGCAATAAAATAAAGTTAGCAAAGAATAGACAATCTGCAAGAGACTCAAGAAAGCGTAAGAAAATATATGTGGAACTTCTTGAAATAAAAGTAGCTGAATTAAGTAAATAAATTGAAGTTCTCCAAAAAAACCTTGAATAATAAAATATATTCATAAAACATTGTGTCAAGATACCTTCTCTTGTAATAATATTAATCACTATAAATAGATATCAGATTTTAATTTGAGTTATTAAAATTAATTCTAAGTTTTAAGTTAGAACATAACAAAAAAGCAATTGTAAACTTTAGATGATGAATTTGGAGTGAATTCAGAGAAAAGAGATTATTTATGTAATATCATATTTAATACTTTGGTTGATCATATATTACCCTTTGATTTAAAAAAAACAATTGAAACAGCTATTAATAGTAATTTATTATACTATATAATATTTAGATCTTGGTATATTCAAATTAGGAGAATAATAAGAGATCAAATAATTAATGGAATTCTAACAATAATTCATCTAAAATTATAAAAAATTTGAATTGTAATTATTTTATATTATTTCATAGAGCTGCTTTTGATATGGCTAAGTCATATGAATATATAAAGAGAGAAGCAGATAAACTTGAAAAACTTAAACATTAAATGGTATCACTTTTGGGTCCTTAAAAATATGTCAAAAATATTCTTGATATACAATAACTCCAATAATAAATTATAGTCAAAGAAGAAGATATCAATTAAAAAAGTTATACAAAATATGAATTATGAACTCGATTAAAATTTATATATAATTTTTTTATTTAATGGGCAATTGCAATAATACTCGTGATCTAAATGCAGGTGAAATTAAATGTAAATGCACTCTTTACCATAGTGCCAAATAAATGCGATTATACTTTTTTATATGTTATAGGAAGAGGTGGATTTGGAAGAGTCTGGAGAGCTGAACATAAGAAAACTAAACATCAATTTGCTATCAAAGAAATGTAGAAATGCAAGTACTGATTTCTACAATGCTTATAATAGAATTATTAATAAAAAAAGTATTGGTTCTGTGATGAATGAGAGATACTTATTAAGCAATCTCAGACATCCGTAATGAAATTTGTTTAACTAGATTTTTAGTAAATATGCATACAGCATTTCAAGATCGAGAAAGTCTCTATTTAGTAATGGATCTTATGACTGGAGGAGATCTTAGATTTCATATTTGTAAAAATAGGAAGTTTAATGAAGAATAGACAAGTAAAGAAACTATTTTATTTCTCTAGAATTTTTCATTATCTGTGTACTTTTAGCCTTAGAGTATCTCCATCACAATACAGTTATTCATAGAGATATTAAACCAGAAAATTTAGTATTTGATAGAAATGGTAATTATAAAAAACTTACCTAAGTAGGATATTTGAGATTGACTGATCTTGGTATTGCAAGAATATGGAAGCCAGGAAATGATGGAGATACAAGTGGAACACCTGGTTATATGGCTCCTGAAGTTATGTGTAGATAAGTTCATGGAGTAGCATCAGATTATTTTGCTGTTGGAGTTATAGCTTATGAATGTATGATGGGAAAAGTAAAAGTATAAACTTAAAGTAGAGACCATATTTGGGTAAAACTAGAAAAGAAATTAGAGATTAAATTTTGTCTAAACAAATTACAATTAAACCTAATTAAATACCAGAGGATTGGTCTGAAGAAGCTGCTGACTTTATTAATCAAATGATTTAAAGAAAACCAGTAAATAGATTAGGATTTTATGGGCCTGATGAAGTATTTGCTCATCCTTGGTTTAAAAATGTTGATTGGGATACCTATTTAACATAATAAAAATAAGCTCCTTATAAAATTAATGTAAATATATGATAAGATTTAATTCAGTCAAATTCCGATAATTTTGATTATAAATTTGCGAACATTAAAGAACCTGAAGGTGAAGCTTAGGCTAAATTAAATGCTGAACTTTTGAGAAGAGATTCAATCTAAGAAGCCTTTAATGGATATACTTATAAATCTTAAAATTCGTAATAAACAATATAAGATTAAACTAATTCAAAACCAACAACATCAATGAGTTAATAAATTACTCCAACAAAAAAGAAATTACTTGATTCTGAACCATAAGTTGAATTGAAATCTTAAAAAAAATATCATTTAGTTTAAACTCCTAGATTCAATAAAAAATTAAACTTTACTGCAGATTAACCTCTTACAGAGAGAGGGTAAACCAAAAAACATTTTGATTTTTGATTTAATTTATATTAATATTATATATAATAATTATGAGATTGGTAAATACTTATCTGTGACACTAATATATGGTTCATTCTAAAGCTTTATCGTTTAATTTATGCAAAAAATCATAAGCTACTTAAACTTTATTGTTGCAAATTTCTTTTGTAAATTAATTGAGCATTTACTTAAGCATTTTTCTTAATCTTCTGTCAATCTTTTCTCTGCTACTTTGATGCATTTCTTGAAACATATTTGATCCTACTTAAATACTTTTGTCAGTAATTAAATCTATGCTTCTTTTTAAATAATCTATTCTCGTGATTCCATAAATAAAAAAATTAATTTAATTATTTTAATCAAATATAATGACTAACATAAGAATCATTTTAGAAGAACATACCTTCTGTTTTACATTAAGATTATACATTTTGATTTCTCAAAGCCTAAGATAATACATTTTCTTTGATTCTCTCTGTAATATTATATTCTGTTGTAATTTATCTTCTATTTTTTAATTCTTTCCTTTATCTTAATACTTGACTTGATTTAGGCCTAATATTAAATGTTTTTGTAATAGATTCCATTCCTTTATTAATTTTGTTTTAAATTGATAAATAATTGTTTGGCATTTCCCCATATTCAACTCTTTCATCAGTAGTAGTAATTCTATTAATTGATCCCTTTTTGAAATTTGCTAAAGATTAAGTTTTATCTAAAGCATTGTCTATAAGCCAATTAAAAGAATGAAGATTAAAATTCATCTTACCTCCATATGGTTTATTTAATATATCTTCTAATTCTTTCTTTTTATCTTAAGCCCAAATAATCGGTTATCTTTTTCCTTTACTAGATTCAATGATCATCATTCCCAATAATTTATTAGCTACTTTCATAGTTAAAAATTTGCTGGTTCCTTATTCTTTATCTTCATTATTAACAACACTATCAGAAATCTCTGCATTAAAAAAACTAATATATAATTTAAAATGATTACTCAAACTAAGTATTTCTTTTTTAATGTTTCATTGGAGAAACAGGTGAAACAATATCTTATTTTGATGGTACAATATCACTTTAAGCATTCAATTTGGTAAATAATTCTTTCTGTAAATCTATTGGAAATTACATAACTTTTTTATCTTCTAAATGTGCATTTCGAAATGCTTCAAAAGTTTTTAATTTAGGATCTTAAATAATCACATATATTAATACTTTCTTCATGTTATCTATCTTTAATAAATAATCTTATTTTTTTTTCCAAATAATAATGCAATTTTTTAAGTACTTCAATTTCTTTAATTTTGTTAAGTTTCCCTCTTAATTCCAATCTCTCATTCATTTTTTTCTCTATATTCTTTTATTTGAGTTTCTCAGATATATATAAGAATTCTTTGACTGATCTGATTTCATTAATGTGTGAATAATATTTAAGTTATTACACTGACTATGTATCCATAACTTTATTGATGGCCTCTTATTTTTTAAAGTATTCTTCTTTAGGAATGAAGGCTTCAGTTTCTTTTAATCTTTTAAGATACACTTATTCAACAGTAGTCCTATGTGGAATCTGTAGTTTTGTAGTAATTGCAGGTGGTTTCGTATGAATTAATTATTATTTTGCCATAAGAAATTAAAATAATTTATATAATATATTAAAAACAATAACACAAATCATATATCTTACATAAATAATTCAATTCATATATTAATAATAATAAATGATATAATAATAAGTATTTTTAAGTTAATCATATAAATGACTTTTAGTTCATAATAGATCTTTTAGCTTCATGAAATTTAGTATAAAAGTCTCTATTATCATTTGATTTTATAGATTTTTTCTAACTAGATCGTTCAATAAAACTTATAGAATTATTATTTTCTTTTTCTTCTCTTAATATTTAATTATTTCCAATCATAGAATCTCTAGTTTTATCTTCAATGGCTTTTTAATAGATGTATTATTCTCTTTAAGTAGGATTAATTGATTCAATTCCTCTTAAAGAAACTAGTTATAATTTGACTCCTCTCATATCACTTATCATTTATTATATGGATCCAGAATCCAAACAAAATTTCCCTTGAATAGTAGGACTTATTTTCTCTTGTCTAACTTATTCAATTAAATTCTAAATCTTTTTTTTCTCTTTAACAACAAAATTACAAGCCTCAACACATAATGAAATATTTGGATTAGTACATCCAAAATATTAAACAAGTTATTCATTATATTAATTTACTCTATCTGTTTATAGTTTAATTTTAGCCATCAAACTTTCTATTTCTATAAGTTTATCAGCTACTAATTCATCAGCAGCTTATAACATTTCTTATTCTTTGAGTCTTAATGTTTTGTAAATATCTTCAAAATTAGAAGTAATCTACATTTTAGCTTATCCTACTAAGTCTACTAAATCTTGTTTTTTATTTACAACTTTACATTATTCATGTAACAAATATTCACAACAACTTTATAAAGATACTTAAAGTTAATTTCCATTTTCTCTTATTAAATCAAAAGATTTTGAAATATTTCTAACTTCATGATTTTTATGTAATCCTTATAAATAACATTCCATACAAAAACATTAAGCTTCACAAGTAAAACAATATAATACACAACTCTCAGTAAGATGTTATTAACAAGTGATATTAGTAAGTTATTATTATTATTATTATTATTATTATTATGATTGATTATGATAATCTGTATGCTATATTTGTTGAGATTATTTTGTTTCTAATATTTCACTTCTTTATTCAAAATCATCAGAACAACAAGAAGATTATGGATTCATCTCTAATAAAACTTACACAGCAGATGGATCCAATTAAGTTTTTGATGAACATATTTAACATATTAATGGAGGATACATAGTAAATGAACCCCACTTTGCTACAGCCTTAGCTGCACAATTCAAACATAAATTGTGATCACATTAAAGTGATAGAATTTAATCTACTTATGCTCCACATTTGCAACATTCCAATAATTCACTTTCAGTATCAGACATTTAGCAGTTAATATAAAATTGCAGTTAATTTTATTAATTAATGAATTAATGTCTAAATAAGCTTTTAGTATTATTCAATCTAGCATATGAGTTTATCTTATAAAAACTTGTAGAAATACTTTAAACAGGAGGAATCATTAGACCTGCAATTAGAGAACCTCCAATTTTAACACTAGAATTACAACCTATTGATTAATCATTAAAATAACCCTTAACGTTACACTCATCTTCCTCAACTCCTGTTTTTACTAAAAATGAATCTATATATAGAAGGGCAGAATCTGAAAAAGAATTTAGAAAGTGTATTATACCAAAGTATTTTTTTATATTAGTTAAGTCTAGGTGACACAATCAACAAAGTTGAATGCTACTCTAGAGACATATCCTTACTAAATTTATTTGATGAGAAATAAGATTCTAATCAAAATCAAAATTAATTAGATAATCATAATATAAGAAATAAATTATAACCAATAATAGAAGAACAAAAAGTATGTAATAATCAAGAGAATATAGAAGTTGAAGGAATTAATTAATACTCTATTAATCATTAATAGCATATCTAAAATCAATAAAATAATTAACATTCATAAGAATAAATAACATAAGATTAATTTTATTCAATCATTGATAATCCAAACAAAATTACTTAATCAGAATAATTTTATAGCATTATCGATAGAAGTTCTTTTAGGCATAGTTTCAATAAGAATTTGCCAAAAAAGTGATATTATTTAATTGTCTTCAATATTATCTATTTCATAAATTTTATTAATTTATTCTAAATATTTCATCAATATTTAAAAGTGTTTAGATAGCTTCATAACTCTATATTATCAACCATTTTTTATATAGATAAATACATTTAATTTTAATATAAGTTTATAATAACTAATTATGTATAAGATAATAAATAATAATAAATAGGTTTATTAATGAATATATACTTATAGGAATTGATAATATTTTAGTTTTTATATGATATTTTTGATATATTATTTATTCTATATATAATATATTATACATTGAACATTTTCATTAACATAATATATATAATATGGTGGAAATAAATTATTATATTAATGAGCACAAAAATTGAGAACTCAGAATAATTATATTCGGAATTAACTGATTAAGGAGATGAATCCAACATATTAATAAGTAATCAAGATCCTATAACTTTGTATAATAAAGTAAATATTCAATCATTAGTCTAGTTTATTAAAGTATATAATGTAGATGATAATAAAGTTAATGGAATAACTTTAAGATATATGATATAAAGTAAAGTGGTTTAATTCATTCATAACTATTTAAGGAATTATTTGGGAATGGCTGTCTTTTTATTAATTTTGATTCTGCTTCCTTTTATTAATCTATTATTTTACATCTTGCTTTTAGTAGCTTGGGTTAGATTATCTTAAAATTATGCAATATTTTAATAGAATATAGGTAATAATTAAAAACAATATTTAGGACAGGTAATGGATCCTTTTGCAAATATGATTGAAAATTCAGATCTTTGTGAAATGATGAAAAAAAATTATGTAATCTTTGATATGGAGATTAAAGAAAATGAAGGTTTGCACTTTTCTACAAAGGTTAAGGAAATGATTAAAAATAGATCAAATGGAAACAATAAAATTAAATATACAATCTATAATCAAACATTAAAAGAATAATTTTATGGATATCCTAATTCTAGAATAACATATTTTAAATGGATTTTAGTCTCAACTCTAATCATAATAGCTCAATTAACATTAATGATCATATATTTTTCTAAGATTTGAAAATTTATATGCTTAAATATGAATTCATTAGTAAATAAAATTATATTTATTAATCTTTTATTTTTATATTTATTTAAAGATTTGTAATTATATCTTAATTTTAATTAAATGACTAAAATAATTATATCTATCTATCTATCTAATAATATCTATATATTTTCAAATGTATTATAAACTAAATATAAAAAATTAAAGTTTTTTCTTAAAATATATATCAATTATGAGCTAATATTATTTCATCATTTTATTATGACTCAACTAAACTTAATGTTTTGATAATAGCATCACTCCAATTTTAAGTATACCAATCATATTATTCCTTTTCTTTTGGATTAAAATAATCAAAACATTCTTAATTAGATAAGTCGTCATCCTTTAATTCTAAAAAGCTTCTCTTTTATTTTTTAATAGATTCAACTCTTAGATCATTAATCATATTAACATCTTTATGATATATTTCGAACAAATATGAATTTTTTATTCCAATCTCATCATATGCATAATCCATTGCACTACCAAATGCCAAATATCCAACATTTTTACTTGATAAACCTGTCTCACACATTGGACAATGATCTTCTCTAATTACATTTAAAACTTTCATTAATTCTTCATAATTTTAAGCTATAAAATACTTTTAATGAAATACGTTCTTCCATTGAATATGCATGAGGTGTAAATAATCCTGCACTTCCAGAGTGAATTGATAAAAACATATTTGGTTTATAAGATTTTAAAAGATCTCTGACTGCTTTAGTTTCTGGTTCTGAAAACGGCTCTGGCCCTGAATTTGTTTACATTTCCATATCAGTATATTACTTGAAATGAGCATCATAGTTTCTATTCAAATCTACATTGTTTTCATTTAATCTTAAACAATATTCTCCATTTTCTACTCTCATCCTTGATAATGGATTAAGATTTAAAACCATTTTAATTTAATACTTACTAACATCATATTTATTATTGCAAATAGAATCTAATAAATGAAGACCTTTCTTTATCGTAAATTTAATTACCTGTTTCAGGACTTATTAATTCTCTTGCATGTTCACCAAACATCAAAAATGCTTTAAATTTAGCATTTTCATTAATTGTAATTATATCAACTTTTGGATCTTCAATTAAAGTCTCTATTTTTGCACAATTAGAATATTAGTTCAAATTGATAGAATCAAATTGATGATAAAAATCTGGCAAAGCAAAACTTATGTTTAATAATAATAAAATAAACATATATATTTATATATTAAAATTGTAATGATATATGTATTTACATAATTTATATCTAGTAATGTATATCAATAACTTTATTTTAAGTATGGAAATAAATGAAAAATATACTATTATTCAAATCATGAATTTTAGAACTATTTATCACATTAAAATAAGTTTATTTATAATCTGTATTCATCATTTATTCAAGTATTCAATAAACTAAAAATAATTAGATTTAAAAACCATTCTTTATAATATTATATGAAATAATATAAAAAAATTAATTTATCTTTTGAATTTAGATTCATCATTTATTTATTTTTCTTATTATAAGTAGAATTTGATTGATTTCGAAAATTCAACTTATTTATTCTCATAATCTATATTAATTAAATTTTATACTTTGTAAAGAGAATACTAATAATTTACAAATAATGTAATGTCTAATTTAAATTGTCTCAAATATCAATAATAAAAATACAATATAAATTTTAGCAATAATAATTTGAATAGTATTAAAGGAATAAAATTAGTTAAATAAAATGCGTCATTAATTAATGTTAAATAAAATCTTTCGTTCCTTTCCTTGTTTCTCTACAATATTCCCAAAAAGAAACTTTGCCATAGATTATCTCTAAGATGTTGAAATTATAACTAGAGATTACTATGGAAGTCTAAGAAATATTCTTAAATCATTTTCAAATCATAAAATCAACCTTTCCGATATTGAAACATTGAAATTGAATCGTACAGCAAAGTATTTCTATAATAACTATTAGAGAGGACAGAAGATTGTAGTAAAGTTAACATTTGAGAAGATTGATGATTACAAATTTAATGAATTATTATTTGATCTCTAACAAAGGTATGATGAAGTGGTTATTGATAATGATTCTTAAATTCCACTTGTTCCATGGTATCCAAGAAATGATGAAGATCTTAAGACAAGTATTACAATCATATATAATTAAGTTGGGTTAATTATGGAAGTCAAAGAAGAAAACAATTAAGACCATCCTCAATTTAAAGATTAAGAATATAGAAAAAGAAGAGAAGAAATAGCTAAAATTTCACAATAACATCTTATTGGAGAGCCAGTTCCATATATTAGTTATACAGAATAAGAAGAAGCAACATGGAAAAAGATATATTCAATTTTAAGAGAACGTGTTGAAAAAGTCATGTCTCAAAGATACCTAAAGAACTTAATGAAAATTGAGAATGCTTTAGGATTTAAATATAAAATACCCTAGCTTAGAGATATCGATGCCTATTTAAAAGCTGAAACAGGGTTTAGAATCAAAGCCACTCATGGAATTTTAAGTTAAAGAGAATTCTTAAATGCACTTGGCCATAGAGTATTCTGTTGTACACAATACATTAGACATCATTCAACTCCAGAATATACTCCTGAGCCTGATATTGTTCATGAACTTGTGGTATAATATTCATTATAACAATTAGGGTCATGTACCATTATTTGCTGACAAAGAAGTTGCAGATTTATCTTAAGAAATAGGAATTTTATCTTGTGGAGCTGAATCAAAAGATCTATCAAGACTTGGAACGTTATATTGGTTTACACTTGAATTTGGAGCTTGTAAGGAAAATGGTCTAATTAAAGGATATGGAGCAGGAATTGCTAGTTCTATTGGAGAATGTGATGTATCAACTATTAAATATTTTATTCTAGAATTTCCCAAAAGCAAATTATGAAAAATTTGATCCATTTATTCATGCTGATAGACCTTATCCTATTTAGACAGTCTAACCAGTATATATGTATACTGAAAGTTTTGAAGAAGCTATGCAAGAATTAATTATTTTTGGTAAAAGTCTTTAAAAACCATTTGGATTATATTATGACTTTATAGAAAAAGAATTGAAAGCCACAAAAAGAATTAAAACACATTTAAATAACCAATGAATATTTTATTTATAAAAATCATACATCCAAAATTATTTTAATATAAAAGATTCTATAATAATATTATTATTATTTTATAATTAATCATAAGAGTAGATATATATATATTTAATTATTTTCAATGCTTTAGTATTCCATCTATATTATTAGCTTTTATCAATTTAATATACTCTTTAATATACTCAATAAAATATTCATTCAGCAATACTAATTATTAATTTATATTTCATCGAACGACTAAAATTTGATATCTTTATGTTAATTATCGATATTCAAATTAATGAAAATCAAATTTATGTGAATAAATGATAGTCATAACCAAGAAATCATATCTTATTTAGTTGATTACTATAAATTCAACCAAGTAACAAAATATGGTTTCATTAAGAAAAACCTTAATTAAATTAGATTATAAATTATTATAAATTTATTATTGAAGTTATTTAGCAACTATTACATAAAATCATTAGAAATATTATTAAGATTTGATAATTCAGAAAAATAATTAAAACTCCTTTATAAAATCCATGAAATATTATATATCACATATTGTTTTATTATATTCTTCTTTATTTTATTAATTTTCTCAAATCCTCTGGATCTCTCTCTACAGATTTATTCCACACATATTTTTATTTCTTTTATTCTAATTTAATTTATTCTTCATGAGTTGAAAAATGATCAAATGTTTCTAAATTTTAGTATTTCTTTATTATATATCTAATATTTTCTCCTAAAACATCTAATCTTCTTTCTAACAGAGATTTAATTTCAGACTTTTATAATAAATTGTATAATTACCTCAAATTTAGGAAGTTCTATTACTTTATTACCCTAATCTTCAAATGAATAATAATATTTTTTAATTTTATTATCTGATAAGAATTCTTATTCAAATTCTATTTCTGAAAGGGGAGGATTTACTTTAAGCAATTAAGTTTTATAATCAATTCTCATTTTGAATATATCAAATTCTACAATACAATCTTCAAATGATTCATAAGATAAAGTATTTAAGAAATCATAATTTGATTTGATATATTCAGCTACTAAATATACTTTATCACTATATCTAGGAATCTTTTCAAAGAATATAATACTCCATATTAATGCATCCAATTTAAAATAATTATTTTTAACTGTTTAAACATTTCGATTAAAATGATATTCTAAATACTTTCGACCTGTTTGCATATATGCTTCAATATCCCTAACTAAATCATGTTTTTTTCTGAGATGAATTTTATCTACTTCATTAGCTATATACTTATCACAAGCTTTAAATAATAAAGCAGCTAAATTATTTGATTCTCTAGTGTTAATTTATTATAATCTATTGCAAATCAACCAAATATGAACATTAATAATAGATAATTCAATATGAAAATCAGGAGGAATATCTAATACTCTTAAAAATTCAATGCAATTTGTATATAAAATAGTTCTAGTAAATAAAGTTTAAGAAATTGTTTATAATCTTTTTTTGGATTTTTATAATGCATGTTTTTCAAAAAAATGAAATAACAATTTATCTTTAATTGATGCATTATCAATTTTCATTAATTACTAATAAATTTTTATCTTTAAATTTAATAGCAATGGTTCATAGATAGGTCTTAAATCATCATATAAATTAATATCTCTTGCCATCCAATTTTTCATTAATTCAACTCTTCTTTATTAATTATGAGTCCATAAACATTTATCTTTTGATCTTTATTAAATTTGGTACTTAAAAAACTTACTTTATTTAAGTGCTAAATATCTAAATTCTATCTCTCTTTCTAATTAACTTAAAGGATCTCCAAAAAAAAATACTTAATACAGTTGTATTATTTAATTTCTAATTTAATTATATTAGTCAAATTTAATTAGTGGAGGCATAGATCCATTAATTAATACCTTCTTTGTGTATTCATCCATCATAGGTTTAAAATGCTCTTCACTAATTATAGAAATTATGTATTAAGAATCCATCTAATCATTATCATACATAGATTTTAATCTATTTTCACTTAATAAAATTTTTAATGGTTATAATTGCTATGTCTATAATTAATCTTTAATATCTTCAATTTATTAAATGACATACATTCTTCCAGGAATCTCATGCTTCTAAGTCCATCTTTTTTATAAGAAAGCCCTCAATTAATAAACAAATTACATAAATAGATTAAGGGTATCTCTCTAAATCTTAATCTAACATAATTGATTTATTTCCAACTTCTATTTTTGCTCTTTAATGTTAATTAGAGTAGACAGAAAACCTATTAAAAAATTTTCTTAACATAAATTTTAATTATTTTATCAAAATTCCTATTATATAAAATCATAAACAAATTAAATTTATTGAAATTTCTTTTTCTATATTTGTTAAATTTCTTATCAAAATTATATTTATTAGAATTTTGAAGAAATAATTATACTAAATAAAGATTTTATTCCTTTTGCAATAAGTATCTTTTCCAATCTTTAAAATATATCATATTAATATTAAAAAATTAGTATTATTTTTTTTATTTTTAGCATAATTTTGATAATAATTAAATAGTAAATAGTAAATAGATTCTCTAATAATGATAATGAATGATTCGTTACCTAAATTGAAGATGGAAAAAACAGCTTAATTTTTTAATCCAAGCAAAATCATACTTAAATAGAAAACCATAAAAAAACTATAACCAATCGTTGATGAAGAAATTGTTAAAGAATTTTAAATTCCAACATTTAGTAAGATAAGTTAGGAAGAAATAATTGATTTCAATCAAATAATTTAACAACAGCTTTAAAAATATAATAGTCAAAACAATATTTTGTAAATTAATAAAAATTTTAACAATCTTCATTTTTTAAAGTCTTCATAATAATCAAAAAGAAATTAAACACCTTTGAAATCCCTCCTAGAAGTTTAAGAAAAATTATTATATCCAAAAAGTTAATCTACTCATCTTACAATTAAAGAATAAAATAAATAATATTCACCAGAAAAATATAGAAGAAACATAAGAGTTTTACTCAATCCTTTTAATTTTGAAAGAAAATCATAAGAAAAATAATAAAATAAAAGTTCTTCTTAAAGTTAAAGGCCTTCAAAATCATAAGGAAGAACATTTTTATAAAGAAAAGCATAAATTGGTGTTTTAAATAGAATATTCTCTTCTAGATCATAGGATATTATTTGATTAATTATTTTATATCTATATATATATCACAATTTTATACTTTAATTTGAATTAATATCTTTAGAGAACTTATAGTATATTCAATCAAAAGCTTTTAAATATCAAATTATAGTTCTAAATTATTAAGAGAATTAATATTTTGTATTCAATCAGGAATATTATAATAATAATTAGTAAAACATGAATTTTTATAATTTAAATATTAAATATATTATTTAGAGTCATATTTTCATTAATCTTATTGATTTTTAAGTAACAGAAAAAATAAATATATAATATTAGATAAAAGATACTCTAATAATAAGAATTAGAATTATCAATGAAATTCATTAATATAAGATTATTAATTTTCTATATTTTTATTTATTACTATTTCCTTATCTAGTTATATTCATAATTGTATGAAAATAATTAAATTTATTGGATTATAATGCATTGATTTTTATATATCCAAAAGTTCATAATTTCAAAACTAATTTAAAGAATTAAGGATTATATATAAAAATGAGAAAATGTTTGTTTATTAATATACTTGAATATATTGCAAGTTTATCAAAGAACTGAACCAGCAGCTGATGCAATCTTTGGCCATAAATCGGCAGCTTCTTTTCCAACTGGACCTGTAATGGCAGATCCTTTCATTTCACCCTTAGGATTGATGATAACACCAGCATTGTCTATAAAATATAATAAAATTCAAACCTTCAAAGTAAATATAATATCCTTCTCGACGTCTGTATGGCTTTCTTTATCTTACGACGACTGCTTACATGACTATGATAGTTAATTTATGTTACCCTTCTTTCTGAGTGCTGGCTTACCCTATTTGACTGAGCATAAGACCATATCACCAATGGAAGCAGAGGGTAATCTGCTCAAATGTCCCTTAATTCCAAAAGTAGAAATGACATAGATATTCTTGGCTCCTGAGTTATCAGCACAGTTGAGTACTGCACCAACGTTGCAAGCAAGTGTGATTCTCAATTTAATACCGACTTATCCTCCTCTTCCTCTCTTTGACATTCGTAAATTTAATTAATTTTAAAAATAGATTTGTAAATATTTTAAGTGTTAATAAAGTAATCACCATGGTCTTTTAATCTTATTGAATACCTAGTTTGATTCTGTTAAGAAATTGATTTATGTAAAATTTAGAGCATCAAAATCATCAAATGTAGTGAATTTCAACGATTATACTATATTAAAATCGAATTGATATTACATTTAAGCAATTCTCCAAAAGAATCAATTTCATTATCAGAATCTTTATAGCTTGATTTATCTGGATGACTTTGTTTCCTCTTTTATTAATATTACTCAATTATAGCATCTTTTGGAACAGATATTGATTATTTCAGAATCATACTTTATTTTATAGTACCTCTACCTGATCTTTATGATTAAAGAGTTTTAATTGAGTTTTTTTAATAAAGTGACTTAATATCATTAGTATGAATAGAGAAATCTAATTAAAATTCTTTACTTTATTTAGAACCATTAGATTCAGAATTCTTAATACTTTTGACAGATTATTTATTGTGAAAATCTAATCCAGAAACCATTTAGAATGATTTATAATTAGTTTCTGAAGTTATTTTAGTATAATGAGAAATAAAAGAAGATTCTAATGCTTCTAAAGTTGTGAATCTATCTTCTTATTTTGGTTCTAACATTTTTTTAACAAGACTCTTTAATTCAACACTTACATCAGGCCAAGGAGATTTATCATAATTTACTTAGCCTTTAGAATTTAATAATTAGATTTGACTTGGTTTTCCTCTGAAAGGAGCATATCCTACAGTCAACTATTATAATAATTGATAATTACAATATATAAAACACAACCAGCACTAAATACATCTCCTTTCTAGGTATAAGGATACCCACGGAATATTTCAGGTGCTAAAAATCCAGGAGTACCAGCTTTGCTTATTAACTCTTTTTCATTAATTTCTTCTGCAAATCCAAAATCAACTAATTTAATTTGCAAATGTTCTTTAGATTCTAACATAATGTTTTCCAACTTTATATCTCTATGAACAAATCCATTTGAATGCATTTCATAAAGAGCTTCTAAAATTCCTTTAATCAATTAAGCAATTTGCTTTTCTGACAATTTTCCTTTAGATTTATAAAATTGATAAAGAGTTCCTCCTTAACAATATTCAATAATGATAACTAATTTATCTTTTTCTTAATAAACTTCATAGATCTCTTCAATTCCTGGATGACTTAATGTTTTTAAAGCTATAACTTCGTTGTATACCATTTACTGCACTAATATGTTTAATAATTTTATACTATAAATTTATCTTTATGTTTATTTTCTTCAAACATATTTCTATAAATGACTTTTGCAGCAAATAATTATTCATCTCTTTTTCTTTATACTTTATAAACAGTAGCAAATGCTCCACTTCCCAATGTATCTATTTAAGTATATACACTATCATATCCTCTCATCAAACAAAATTCTTAAAGTGCTTCACATAATTTAAGTGTCTATTCAATTTAATGATCAAATATTGTTATTCCTATTCCTTCAACTCTTTCTAAATATAAAACTGGCACATTTAATCCTTTTTTTGTTTTTTAATATGAAATTATCACTCTGCTTTCTATACTCAATTATACATAACCTTTAGGCTCTTTGTCTGATTCCTATTATAAATTTATTTAAAATATACTTTTTTGAAATACATTAACATGCCAGAATAAGTCAACTTAAAATAATATCCTTTTACACTTTTTTTCTTTCTACCAATTCTAAGCATAATTCCTTCAAACAAATATCCTTCACTATTCCAGTTTCTATTATGGTCTTGTTAAGTGCGTCTATTCCAAAATTACTTTACAGTTTCATCTTTCTTAACTCTAAAAAATGGCCATTTAGCATCTCCAACAAACCTTGATATTTTAAAGGCAGCCTTTGGTTGTTTCTTAATATGTATTGATTAAATCATTCCTATGTCATTTTTCATTGTAGGTGTTTTTGGTTAATTTTAATTATCTTCTATAGGTACTTGTTGAAATGGTTTGGAGAAAGAATGAGTTCTTTAAAAGTTTTCAAGAATGTTTGTTGAAAATTCTTAACCCAAACCTTTTATTAAGATAGGTTGATTATTATCACAACTTCCTTTAAACATTGTTTAAGTTAATTTTTCTCTTAAAGGTTCTTCATTTTTTATTGTTTTTTTCATTCAATGAAATAATTTTTACAAATTAGAATGATTCAAATAATCAACTATATTATTTTTAAAATAAGTGAACATTTTAATACTATACTAAAATACATTAATTATATCAATTACTTTAAAATTAATATTCCTAACTTATCGCTTAGTATTAAAGAAAAAAAAGTGAAGTTATTATAATGAAATACTCTTTGCAAAAAAGTAATTCAGAAAAAAAAGCAATAAATTAATTTTAAAACAACAATAGTAATTAAAAAAAGAATAATTCTTAATTCAATTGTTATTTTATATCAAATTTATTTATATATAAATTTAAAATCTCTTAAAATTAGATAGTTAAAATTATAATTATCATTTTCTATATTTTTTAAGAGATAGATTTAAAATTTATTTGTTAATTCTTATAGAATGTAATTAAATTTAAAGGAATTTATTAGTAAAATTTTAAATTATAATCTCATTACTATAAGTTGTATTGAATTAATAATAATAATAAGGGGGATTTAATTACAATAATAAAATAATACATCCTTGCTTTTTGTATTTTATGTTTAGTTAACAAATTTTGTATAAATTTCTTTTAAAGTACTTTAAGAGAAATTTCAATGTAATGTTTGCAAAATTAATTATAGTATAAAAATTCATGATGAAATTAGAATATAATCTTATATAAATTAATATTGATTAACAAAATAAATTCAGAGATCAAAAAATTTGATTTAAAAATTACAATTTCTAGAAATTAGCTTGCTTTAATTTTATTTTTGATATTTTCTTTGTAATTAATCATCTTTAAAAAATATGGACTACCTATGTTATTTCTTAATAATTTAATAATATAGCAATATGAAGACATTCTGATCTTTAATTATTCTATTCTGCTGATTTAAAAAGCCTGTAAGTAAGCATAATTAAAAGAAAATCTAATGAATTCTTAAGAATTAAATAATAAAAGCAATTATTTAAAATAATGAATTGCATGAGTGAAGAATTTTAATAGAAATTTTAACAATTACTCTAATTAAAAGATATATATAGTACTCGGGAGGTTTTACCATAAAGGGTGTAAAGATTAAAGCTCTTTGATATAAAATTCCAATTAAAGCAAATCCGTCATTAATAACAAAAGAGATTAGATCAAATTATAAATAGTTCTATCAAATCCTAATACACTTAATAGTAATTAAAAGCAGAAAAAACTGTATCAAAGTAATATAGCAGTCTATTTATTGCAGATTAATAAAATATATGTTTGAGTTGTGATAAATACATATTTGAAAAGAAGGTTGAACTACTTTGTCATAATAAATTTCATCACAGTTACCATTCAAGCTGTTTGGCAACAATAATGAAACATTAACTATAATAATAATGCATTTAATTTTAATGTTTATGTAAAAGTTAAATTAAAAATGGATAAATTCTAAAATAAAGAGCACTTGATTTAGAAGTATATGTTAATAAATTAATGGAAAATTAACTCTATTACATGAAATACCATTTACCCAATATGAAATAATGTGCAAATAAAGATTGTGATTTTTTTTGGGTTTGTAAAATTCCAGAAAAAAAAAGAAGCCAACCTCATTCAAATACTCATTCTCCTTTGAAAACATGTAGGCTAACCTATGTTAATTATTGTCCTAATTGTAGATTTTTATGATAAAAGTAGTAAATAAATAGTGAATAAATAATTTATTTTCATTAAATTTTAAGTAATTTTTAATTCTAGTTCCATGAATTTGATTCATTTCTATTTTTAATCTATTGATTTGCTCCATTTAATAGTAATAGATCAGCAATATCATAGTATCCATATACAATTGCATAATGAAGTGCTGTGTTCCCCTCTAGCTATATTTAAACAATAAAATTACATCTTTAACATTTAACAAAACATTTTAATTTATCATATACTATACTAATTCTTTATTTCCTGATTAAGCAGCAATCATAATCAATGTTTTTCCTTATGCATTCCTAGAATTAAGTGAAAAATTTGGATTTTTTTTTAAATAATCTATTAATTCATCATTAAAATTGTGTTCAATCATCATTTAAACTACAATAATACTTGAATGTTCTTGCTTTATGGCATTATCAAATATCTATAGATTTTATAATTTTAACTATTATTTATATTTCACTGGCTAAAATTTAAAATATTTGTAATACTTTATCTTTATAGTATTTTTATATTTCATCTTCTTAGTTACTTTCATTTGTATGAATTAATTCTTTTCTTTAATCTATTTCATTTTCTGAAAGACTTTAAATTTATTTGCTTTAATTTTAAAAAAAATCTATTTTAGATTATTATTCAGGAGTAAGAAAATTATTATGATAATTATGATTTATCAATTATTATTAAATTATTCTATTCTCTTTTTGAAAACCTAATACTGATACTTTTGGTTAAACTTTAGTTTCTCTAGTTTATTTTCTAAGATTCATCATCATAGCTTTTTTATCCATATTCAAAGCAATTTATTATTATTATTATTATAGATAATTATTGTGTTCAAGATCAATAATTTCATTATTATTTATATAATTTCCTATTAAAATATCAGAATATTTTTTATATATTATTTTTTAAATAAACTTACTTAATTAAATATCATCAATTTAAATATTTGGAACAAATTCATCTAGATTATTTAAATATATTATTTTATCCATATCATTATAATCAACAGACAATAATTCATTTTTTGTTTAATTATCTAATTTACTAATAAATGGCAATATCTGATATTATTAATTGTTTTAATTTTTTTCAATTCCAAAATATTCTATTTTTTTTATAGAAATTTCATCCTTTGATTCCTACTATAAATACTCTGATTATAACTCTTAATCTTATGCTTCAGTTAAAATATCTATACTAACCTATATTATTATTATTTTTTACATTCCAAATGAAATAATTTCTTATTTATATCTAAATTATTATTCTTCGATTTCTTTAAATTTAATATTATGATCTTCAATATAAAGTATTCTTAAATCATGAACAGATTCATGTAATTAAATTTTATTTTTTTCAATCTATTCTATTATTTCTATAATTTATTTATATAAAAGAAACTTATTTAAACATTTTTCAATGAATTAATTAAAATACAATTTAAATTGTAATGAAGATTATGAATATTTTTATTACTCTTAAAATTATGTTTATGAAAAATTCTCCTTCCAAATTTTTGAATATTTTCTTACTAATAATTTAGAATCTGATTTTTCATTTTATGATTCTTTTATATTCTACATTACCTTTTATAAAAAAATTTATTGTTTTTATATTCCTTTTTGATGTTGTAAAAATAAATATTTTGATTTTCTTTCATATTCCTTATAAGTTATATTGACGAATATTTGTGTTTTATTTTTAATGCCTTTATTCATAATAATAGAATTTTGATAAATAATATCATTATGATATTAATTTATCTTTATTTCATCTTCATGATTTAATTTAACATTTTTTGCTGAACGAAATTAAGATTAATAATAATGTTTTTACTAATCAAAAAATTAATTACTCTAAGGTTCTTCTTAAGGAGATATTTAATAAAGTGATACAACTCTAGTAGTTTTTGGCAAAGTATTAATTTTAAATTATGATGATAATATGCTAATTGATTAATGTCTTTCTGTATTAAAGAGTTATGCTTATTCATCCATATTCTAAGATTATTATTATCCTTTTATATTAGTAGGAGTTGTTGAATAACTCTTGTAATGAGATATAGTATTGGCTCTTGAAGAAGGAGGAATTGATTTTTTATCATTAATTATTTGATCTGTAACTTTGTTATTCATTAGATTAAATGTTCTATCACTGTTACTTTAAATTATTCGTCTGGCTATGTAGAATGTGGATTTTGTTTAATTTTTAACTTAAACAACATCTTATTTTGGAATTTTCCATTTTAAATGATGCTTAATCATAAAAATATTTGTAAATAATTAAAATATTAAGCAACTCAAAATAGTTCTTAAGTATATTTGAGATATTGTTAAGAAATGTATTTCTATTTTTAAGGTACTCTAATCTAATTTAGTTATTTTATTTTCAATTAACCACCATTTATATTCAAGGCAGGAGATTTAGCCAAATTATTAACTATCCCTAAAGTCTTCATAGATAAAAAATTTTGATAAAATTTTATTTCTTCTTTAAGATCTTATGTATCTTCTCCTTTTAGTGGTTTCATATAAATTTATTTAGTTCTTGCTGTAAATTTTGCAAATTTCTTCAATAATTACACTGTTTTCCAGTGTCCTTAAAGTCTAGCAAATCTATTCGATATCTATATGCAATATCTAATTATAATACTTCTTTATATTTTTCAGAGTTCTTTTTGTAATGTAAGAATTATTACCATGATTCAAATAAAGCTTAAGCTTTAAAGAATAGAATACAAACTAAACTAGATTAAGGATTAAAATTTTAATTATAAGGTATTTATTAAAGTTCCAATATTCTATTTATATAGAACATTCATACTTTTCCTCTTCAGTTAATTCTTTCTTTTTATTATCCTTCTTTTTATCTTGAAAGTATGCTGGCTTTTATTTATCAAAAAATCTTCTACTTGTTATCTTATTGGAATTACTATCAATCACATAATTAACTGATTCTTAAAATTATTTTAATTGTCTTCCAAATTATGTTACTTTCTCTTAACAAATAAATGATGGAGATATATCTAACCATACTTATTAAAAATCTTTCATCTAATTTATAAAATTATAATAATACTTTTTAAAAGGATTTAAGAAGATCAGCCAGTAAAGCAGATTGAATTTTTAAAATCATAACCNATTGGCTCTTGAAGAAGGAGGAATTGATTTTTTATCATTAATTATTTGATCTGTAACTTTGTTATTCATTAGATTAAATGTTCTATCACTGTTACTTTAAATTATTCGTCTGGCTATGTAGAATGTGGATTTTGTTTAATTTTTAACTTAAACAACATCTTATTTTGGAATTTTCCATTTTAAATGATGCTTAATCATAAAAATATTTGTAAATAATTAAAATATTAAGCAACTCAAAATAGTTCTTAAGTATATTTGAGATATTGTTAAGAAATGTATTTCTATTTTTAAGGTACTCTAATCTAATTTAGTTATTTTATTTTCAATTAACCACCATTTATATTCAAGGCAGGAGATTTAGCCAAATTATTAACTATCCCTAAAGTCTTCATAGATAAAAAATTTTGATAAAATTTTATTTCTTCTTTAAGATCTTATGTATCTTCTCCTTTTAGTGGTTTCATATAAATTTATTTAGTTCTTGCTGTAAATTTTGCAAATTTCTTCAATAATTACACTGTTTTCCAGTGTCCTTAAAGTCTAGCAAATCTATTCGATATCTATATGCAATATCTAATTATAATACTTCTTTATATTTTTCAGAGTTCTTTTTGTAATGTAAGAATTATTACCATGATTCAAATAAAGCTTAAGCTTTAAAGAATAGAATACAAACTAAACTAGATTAAGGATTAAAATTTTAATTATAAGGTATTTATTAAAGTTCCAATATTCTATTTATATAGAACATTCATACTTTTCCTCTTCAGTTAATTCTTTCTTTTTATTATCCTTCTTTTTATCTTGAAAGTATGCTGGCTTTTATTTATCAAAAAATCTTCTACTTGTTATCTTATTGGAATTACTATCAATCACATAATTAACTGATTCTTAAAATTATTTTAATTGTCTTCCAAATTATGTTACTTTCTCTTAACAAATAAATGATGGAGATATATCTAACCATACTTATTAAAAATCTTTCATCTAATTTATAAAATTATAATAATACTTTTTAAAAGGATTTAAGAAGATCAGCCAGTAAAGCAGATTGAATTTTTAAAATCATAACCGAGAATGTGAAATCATTAAAATTTTTTTGATCCTTTCAATATATAATATTATAATACTTTAGTGAGAATGTTTTCTAAATGTTTATGAAAATCATGCATTTCTGTTTTACATAATACTAATTCAGTATTCTCAAAAAGTAATCTATCTTCAAGAGGCTATTCTGGTTCAAATAGTTTAGCTGTAAATATTGGAATTTTGTAAGTTTCATCAAAATATTTTATTTCAATATAATTTACCTCATCTTCCTTATTTTAATGAGTGTTATTTATATCTATATGTATTATCATTTATTACCAAAACTATCAAAAAAATCAGAAAGATCATCATCTTCATCAACTGAATCCTCTTATTATTAATCATCATAAACTGGAAATTAATGATCTCCAGGAGGAGCTAATAGTCTTTCTTCTGTCTATTTCTTTATAACTTAATCTGATTCAGCAAAAGTTGAGAATTAAACTGATGGAGTTACATTTCTAAAACTTGGAAATGGTCTAAAATTTGATTCCTCTTCAGAATCTTCATCATCACTAAAACATTCTAAAAAATCTTCAAAATCTTAATCTAATTATGCTCCATCATCTTATGCTAAACCATTGAAGATATCATCAATGTCATCCAAATTTTTTAAAAGATTGATTTAGCTTGAATCTACAGAAAGAGGTGGTTGGTTCATATTATATATTAATTTTATAATTATATTGATTATTCAATTTTTTTTTCTCCAGATTAATATTTCTTTCAATAAAGCTTCATTATATGTAACTCTATAATTACTAAAAATTTTCTTATATAATTAAACATATATTTACTTAAAGTTCTTCTTTTGGCATTTTTACTTCCTTTTCATCTTTATTCATTTAATTTTCATTACTCTCCTATATTTTTTTCATTAATTTCGACATTATTTTTTCTAGATCACTTGAAATCAAAAAAGTTACCATCTTCTTTTGTGAAATACACTTTCTCATCATTTAAATCTTTTTGCTTAAGTGAATCAGCAAAATTAAATCTAGGATAATATTTTACAATTTTTATGAAAGAAATTGAAAAATTCTTCATTATTATAAATATTTGCAATCAAAATCAAACATTAATAATAATTATTATATCCATTAGTATTAATCATTTTTATTGAGCATTTATTACTAAATCATAACACTCATCCATATTTATTGATTAGCAACTTAATTACTTTATTAATTTCTTCAACATATAATTAGATTTATATTAATTATTATATCCTTATTTCTTAATGGATATTACAATAAATATGCTATGAAATTAAATGATCATAAAAATATTCAAATTTTATTTTATTTTTAAATTGAAATGTCTATTTAAAATTAATAATTTACTATATATATATAAATACTACTTAATTTATTTGTCTGGAATTGACTAATCAAAGTTTTGTATTAATGTCGAAAGAATTCTATTAAGTTTAAACTTCTTATTATTTTAAATACTTTTAGCAATTATTTGAATACTTATTATTAAATACAATATTCTGAACATATAAAATAAATATATATTAGCTATTAATTTGAGACTCTTAATATAAAAATAAGGAAATTAGTAAAAAAGATATATTTTAATTAAATTTATTGTAATATATAATATTAATTGATATAAGATAGATTTCATACAAAAGAAATAAATAGCAATTTTTAATATTTATGCCTATTTCCTGATTATAAATGAAACTTTTTCTTTAAGATTTATCAATAATAACCTAATTTAGATGGATTTGATATTATTAAATATAAATGAATTTTCAATTTGGAGTTTTGTATTTTTAATTTTATTACCGAGCATGATGAATGATACTTTTTTCACTTTAAATAGTACTTTTAGAAATCACTTCATCCTTAAAGCTACTTATTTTTATGAGTTGCCTTAAATGATATTTTATCTATTTTACTATTATTTTTATTGCGATTATATGCTTATTATTGTTTTTTGAACATTTTCATTTAATTATTTTAAAATTTATTTTAAAAATTAAATTTAAGTATTCATTTCCTCGTTTTATGAGGGAATTTGATGACCTTGTTCTTCATATTTTTTCATATAATCACCAAACCAATAATTTATTTCTTATCCATCTGACTTAATAGTGTTTAAAATTAAGTATAAGTCAATTAAAAATTAAAAAATTTTCAGTTAGAGTTGCAAATCTGCTTAACTCATTAATGATTCTAAATTAATGAATTATTTGAAATCTAAATTTATAAAATGTATTGCTTAATCAATAAGTCCTTAGGTTTAATTTTATTACCCTTTAAAATTTTTAAAATGATCAACTAATAGTTGATGATAAGATAAATATTCACTTTTTTATATATTCATCTACATAACTAACTTATTTATTAGATTATCATAGTTTTATCTATATAAATACTTATTATACTTTTTCATTTTAAGGTGATCTGTAATTGGATGGCTTAGAATGAAACTTAGCTTTTCTATTGGAGTTGATTTATCAATAGGTAATGAAGGTTCTTAGATTAAATTTTCCTGAAGTTTTTAATTGTTATGTTGCTTTCCTCCTACGCACCCCATTAATAAGTAAAAAAAATAAATTAATATTAGCTTTAAATATCTAAATTCAAATCTTAATGTCTCATTTATCTGAGGATGATGATGAACTACTTTCAGACGAAGAATCGGAATCTGATGATGATGAGGACGAAGAAGAAGATGATGAGTCATTTGATGATTAACTTGATTTACTTTTTCTCTTTTTCTAAATTTAATATAATTAAATAATTACTTATATTGATTTCATTGATTATTTATTTTATTGTGCTTGTTCTTATTTTACCTTTGAACTATCTTTTTGAGGTCCATCATTTTCATTCTCTAATTATTTATTTTTTTCCTTATTCTTTCCATTATCTTTTTGTTATTCTCTTTCTTTTAGTTTCTATTCCTCTTATTTTTATTTTTCCTTCTCCTTCTCTTTTTCCTTTTCTTTTTCTCTTTTTCTTTTTCTTTCTTTTTCTTTTTCTTTTTCTCTTTCCCTTTCCCTTTCTCTTTCTCTTTCTCTTTCTTTTTCTCTTTACTTTTCTTTTTCTCTTTATTTTTCTTTTTCTCTTTACTTTTCTTTTTCTCTTTCTTTTTCTCTCTCTCTTTCTTTTTCTCTTTCTTTTTCTTTTTCTTTCTCTTTTTCCTTCTCCTTCTCTTTTTCTTTTTCCTTCTCTTTTTCTTTTTCTTTTTCTTTTTCTTTTTCTTTTTCTCTTTCTTTCTCTTTCTCTTTTTCTTTTTATTTTTCTTTTTCCTATTATTTTTCAAACTCTATTTATTTTTCATTTTATTTTTAAATTTATTGTTATTTTTCTAAATCTTATTATTTTTCAAGTTCTTTTATTTTTTTCTTCTCTTTTTTTTTTTGTTAATCCTTTTCTCTTGAAACATCTCTATCATATGACTTATGTTTATTTTTATGTTTATCTTTTAGTTTTTAATTTTTATAAGATTAGCTATCACTATCACTTTCATCAGAACTAGAGCTTCTATGTCTTTTAGTCTTTTTTTCATTACTTTTTTTTTTATTTTTTTTATCTTTTTTTATTTTTTCCTACTTTTATTATTATTGTTATTATATTTTTTATTATTAACTATCGAATTACATTTACAATTAAAGCAATTATTATTCTTATAACTTTTATAATTCCTATTAATCAATAACAAAATCATTATTTGCTTTAGTATGAAAATAATCTTTTTTTAATTCAAGTGATTCAATAAAGCTATGATCTTTATTTTTACTTCTTTAAGCTAACTCTCTTTATAAATTCAATTCTTTCTTTTTTCTTTATGCTTTTTTTAATAAAGACCATTATTAATGAGCACTTTAACAGAAATCAACATGTATTCTTCTTTCATCTATAATTACATTTTCCATTTTCATATAGGCTTCTTCACATGCTGCAATAGTTTCAAATTCTATAAAAGCATATTAAAGAGAAGATCCTGTTTTCCAATCCCTTACAACTTCACAATTCTTAATAAGCCCAAATTTAGAAAAAATAACCTCTAAATCCTTTTCTTCAGTAATTGGATTTAATTTGCATACATATAATACATTTTCAGGTGGTTTCATATCTGCATCAGGAATATCTCCTATCATTTCTAATGTAACAGCTCTTTTCTTTGCTTAATGTTATTTAGTCTTTTATAGTAATTATTCTTCATCCTCTTCAATTAATACTTTCTCATCATATTCAATTCTTCCTTCAGCCTTATAATTTGGAGATGGAGATCTTGAAGGGTATATCATATTTGGCAAATCTTCAAATGGATCATCAAGAATATAGGTATGCTTAATTCTGATATTTAAAAGTGGTCTGCCATCATCATCTATATGAGTTCTATTTATTTATTATAGGACTTCAAAACCCTCCTAAACTTATCCAAATATTGTATGTTTGCCATCTAATTAGGGAGCATTTTGTGTCAATAAAATATAAAAATCTGAATTATTTGCATGTGGTTTTGAATTCGATGTTGCTACAACTCCATATTAATTATGCTAAAATATACTTATACATAGATACTCTTAATAATGGATTGATTTAATCTTCAAAATAAGGTTAGTTATATATTGTTGTTGCCGGGTTTACAGATTTTATAGATGTCAAGTAGTCTTTTTAAACATTGTAAAAAAGCGCTCCATTATAAAATTTGGATTTGCACAATTTTATGAAGTTCTTGGCTGCTAAACTAACTTGAGGGTGTAGATCAATAATTATATCTCCTAATGAGGTTTCTAATACAATTGACATAAATAAAAAATTATTAAGCGTCAGATCAATTCAGATGACTAATTAAATAAATAATGAATCAAAATTTTGAAGGATCTTAAACTGAAGTTCTACATCCTAAAACACATATGTAGATATAGGCAGTTTAGCATGAAAAAATAATCTAAGGGTTTGATCATGATCCTGATAAATTTTTAGGAGAATTTTAATTTAACTCACATTTACTTACAAGACAATATCTAGTAGGAGAAGGTACACATTAAAATCAATTTAATAGGAACACAATTAAGATTATACTTTACAAAAATTACTCCATAAAATATTTAAATTAAAGCATCATTAGCAATCATTCATGGATTTGGTGAACATTCAGGGAGATTTTTACATGTATATTATCAATTTAGAATAATAGTTAGCTGATTTTTATGCTAAAGCTGGATTTGAAATATTTATGATTGATTTAAGAGGATTTGGTTATTCTGGTGGTGCAAGAGGATGTGCTACATAATAATAATTACTTTAAGATGTCAAGGTTTTAATTTAATAAGTGAATCCATCATTACCATTATTTTTATATGGTCATTCAATGGGAGGATTAGTAGTTTTATCATTTACATTATTAAATCCAGCTATTTAAATTGCTGGTGTTATAGCTACAAGTCCATTATTAGGATTTCCATCTGATCGTAAATTAGATTGGTTGAAACTCAATTTTGTTACTACAGCTGGTAAAAAATTAGAAGACATGGTTGTAAATAGTATGGTTAATCCAACTGCTTTAACAAAAAATAATAATCAATTGAAACATTCATTTGGAGATAGATTAATGATTCCATTTTGTGGTTTAAATATGGCAGCATCTATATTATCATAAGTAAAAATGATGAAGAGTCATTCTCATTTATTTAATAAACCATTATTAATTTTACATGGAAAATAAGATGCTGTAACTAATTATCATGATTCTGTATATTTCTTTGAAAATTGTAAAAGTTAAGAAAAAGCTTTAAAACTATTTGAAAATGGATATCATGAATTATAACATGATGAAGAATGTGATGAATTAATGACTATTACATTGGATTGGTTATAGAGACGTTTGGATAATGCAAAAATCCTTGGTAATGTTCCTACAGTAATTAATGTACATCCATTAAAGAGAAAATCAAATAATAAATTGAAAATCATTTTATTAATATTGATAGTAGCCTATTTTATTGTTTCAATAAAGTATATTATTGTATATGATTGTTAGATATAAAAATTTAGCTTAAGGTTCAAAACTCAAGAAACTAATCATCCCATTATTATTATTTAAAAAATGAATAAAATAGTTTATTATTATAATTATCATAAATAGTAATATGTATATGAATATTTTATTCAAAACAATCTAATATTTAAATAAAACTCTAAGCTCTAACTTAAAAATAAAAAATTTCAGTAAAACAAAATAATGTTAATAAAGATATTGAATATAAATATTTTATTATTTACCATAAAAAGGTTTAAGGATATTTAATCAATCAAAATAATTTGCAGCATGTTTCTTTTTCTTCTTCAAAACTATGGTTGTATTTTTTCCAATTTTCAACAATATATATTTATTTTATAGGTTAAGCAAATCGAAGAACCCTTAATTTTTATTAATTTCCTTTTTTCTCTTTTTTAAGAGAACTTTTCAAAATAAAATTTAATGGTTTATTCACAATTATTATATTTCCATCCTATTGATTAATATCAACTCTTTCATTTATTTGTTCAGATGGTATTATTGATCTAGTCATTAATGAATTTAATGAATGCACTTTTGAACTCATGACAAGTAATTATTGGATAAAGCTTTAGAGAGTATGTAATTAAAATTATTAATATTGATACAAAGATATATGTTGATTTCATAAAAATTAAAATATCAATAAATTATCAAACAATATTTCTTAGTATATTTAATCAATTTAAACATAGAATGTATCCTAAAATATATTGTTATTAATGAATAATTTCAAACCATATTCATAAAAGATTTGTATTATCAAATGTGAAATAAAAAGTTACTATTTATTAAGTATGATTTATGAATAGATAATATTATTTGAAAAGAATTATATTTTGTTTGATTAACTATATTTAGTTTCAATTTATATTAATAAATTATTTATTTATTCACAAAAAAGTTTCAATCAGATTCATTCTTTGTTTTTATCTTTGATATCATTTGTTAATTTTTAATAAGGTTAAAAATAAAATTCATATTATTTTTAACAGATGATTTTCTCAAATATTGTGTTGAATAATCTAACCAAAATTATAATAGTAAAAAATATGGATTCATAAATAATTCTTTATGCGAATAAATCAATTATATTTTGATGATATAAATTTAAAATATTATGAAGAGCTTTAAAAGTAACTTAAGAAAATTGAACGATTATTACAAAATCAATTATTCTATTATTTAATTATTGTATTGGAAATTTCTATTATAAAGATTATTCATTTATTAGAATTTACAAAGTAATATTTTTAATTATATTAATTGTTGCAAATACACCAAACTAAAATTATTTTAATTATAGTTACTATGCTGATTATTAATAAAGTTGTATTAAAAACTACATTAAAACTTTCTGAACCAATAAGAGCATCCTAAAATTTAACATTACTAAATGACATTCTATGACCCAAACAAAACCAACTATAATTTAACATTAATTATATTGTTGCTCCAGCTATTGGAGGTAGCCAAGCTTTATCAATTTATAAATAAAATTTCGTCAAATAGCGAACCGAATAAAATAAACAGCAATATATCATCATTCCCTATTTTCCTGAAACTGTTAATATGATTAAGAAAACTATATTCATATTAAATAATTACAATAACTAAAATCGCGAAAAATGATAATCATTGCTACAGAGCATATATATAATAACATAGGTAGATAGATAGTTATTATTCTTAAATGGCTATCAAATAATTAGTTTAAAATGTTATTAAATACTGAACAATTGTTATAAAAATGAATAAACTAAGCTAAACCTAAAAAGACATAAAAACATATTCTAAAATAAAATATAAAATTACTTAAAATTTAATTTATATAGTATTTTTTACATTAAAATTATAGGTAAAAAAAATTTTATCCAAAATGATTCAAGTATTAAATTTATGGCAATAATAATTAGAGGGGACAAAGGTTTATTAGATTCTTAAGGAAGATTATATTATTCTGCCAAAATTAACAAAAATAAAGCTAATAAAACATATTGAATTTATTTTATTAATCTAAATTGAGTAATTATAAGGATAATTAAAATGTTCAATAATGTACCAAAAATATTTGATGAAGATACTATTTATCTATTTATTGATAAAACCTATATTCCAATTTAAGTAATTATATTTGCAAATATCATAAAGTATTATCTATAATGTGGCAATGGGTTTATGATTTTTGTTATAATAAGTCTTATATTTTACATCTATGTCAATGGTTAAAGTATTTATTTTAATATTGCCAATATCAAATAAAGTGAAATAAACTTGATTGAAAATGAATGTGAAAACAGTAGATCTATCAAAATAGCAATTGGTATTATAATGATTAAAAATTCCAGTCTATAAAAGATATAATGATATTAATTTGTAAACTATTTATTAAACAAGTATTCAGATTATTTTATAATATGAAAAGCAAACAATATGAACATCATACTCAAACCTAGAAATAATAAAGTGTAATCATAAGTTTTGACCTTTTCTTTTATTTCAAACTATAATTCTTTTATTATATTTTAAATGTATTGGCATTTCAATTTTTAACTTTATATTTATTATTCGTATTATTATAGATTTATATTTATTGAACCTTAGGATTTCACTAATTTATTTAAGTAATTCATAATTTAAATTAAGTTTTCTTTACAACTATTTTCTTACTTTTCTTTTGTATTAATCATTTCTGTTAAAATAGATCCCATATTACTAAAAGGAAGAGATATACCCATTAAATATGAAATAGTAGGAGCCAAATTAATGCTATATATTTATCTAACATATAAATTTCTATCTATTAATTACTAAGTTATATATTGTTGATTATTGATAACTTAATCGAAAAGATTCTTATTGAATTTATATTACTTATTAATAGCATAAATTGTAGAGCTAATTTCATAAGGACTATCCCCACCATGATTACCATCTTAAGACATTCCATGATCACCTACTACAAACAACATTGTATTATTATCCATTTAATTGTATATTTTATATAAGAGATCTGAATATTATTATTATTTATTCCATAATGCTTAATTACTATCATTATAACTATGTCCTGAATGATCAATTCCTAAAAGATGACCAACAATAAAATCATATTTATCTTCTTTAATCAATTCCTCAATATTATTAATGATAATATTATCATCAGAATCTAAATCTCTTACATCAAATGACTCAGAAACAAATTTATAATCAAATGATTTTGGAAACATATGAAACCAAGTGTCATCTCCTAATAATGCCAATTTTTTATTATTTCTTTTCATTGAATATATTACATTATCTTCTTTTAATTCTTATGCTGCCATATTTGAACCAAAATCAATAAATGATGGAAAATTACCTGTTGTGATTGATTGTAAATTTAATTAAGTTGCAGTTGGCGTAGAAGATATTCCATAATAAAGAATTTAATACTCCTCTTTATTTTCTTTCATATCCTAATAAAAAGTAAAGTTTTTATTAGCAAATAAATCAATACGCAATGCATCTACCAAAAGCAATATGATTTTCATTGGTTTATCATTTGATGATTCTATTTCATTAATATCCTCAAAAGTTGTCTTAACTTAAAAATATCCCATCAAAAATAAAGAAAGAGCAAACAACTCCAAAATTAATATTCCAAAAGAAGTATTATTCCACATTTTATTAAATAATTTTACAAAAAATAAAAATGTTGTCCTAAATAAAGGTTTTAGAATTTGCTGGCTTAGCTCCCACTGTATATATAGGCATGGTCTTAGCAGATTATGGAGCTTAAGTTACATTGTTATCAAGACCAGATGCTTAACCTTAAAATAGTCCCATGAATAGAGGTAAAAAAAGTATGACATTTGATCTCAAATGTTCATAAGACATTGAAATTGTTAAACTTATGATTAAAGATAGTAATGTTCTAATTGATCCATATCGTCCAGGAGTGTTGGAAAGACTAGGGTTATCTTATTAGATTTGTTCAAAGATTAATCCTAAATTAATTTATTGTAGAGTTACAGGTTTTGGTCAAAATAGTCCTTTAAAAGAAAAGGCTGGACATGATATAAACTTTATTTCTTATGGAGGAGTTCTTGGATATTGTGCTAGTACAGGAACTTAAAAGAGACCAGCCATTCCAGGAAATGTAATAGGAGATTTTGCAGTAGGAGGAATGTTAGGAGTGGCTAGTATTTTAGCTGCTTTAATTAATGTTTAAAAGGGTGGGAATGGATAATAGATTGATTTAGGTATGGCTTAAGGAGCTGCATATTTAAGTTAATTTATCTTGCATTAAAAAAATGAAAAATTATGGTCTAATGGTATTGGAAATAATGTACTTGATGGAGGAACTCATTTTTACAATATATATTAATGTAAGGATGGAAAATTTATGAGTGTTGGATGTCTAGAAGAAAAATTTTATTAAGATTTTGTAAAAGGCTTAATTGAAGGTGGTTTAAGTTAATAAAGGTATAAAATTTAGATTATAATTAAGAGGTTAATTTTTATTGGAAAATTAATTGAATGCAAATGAATGGGAGAATTTAAAATAAGAAATATCGAAATTATTTGAAAGTAAGACTAGGGATTAATGGGAGAAAATTTTTGATTAATTTGATGCATGTGTATCACCTGTTGTAGAGTTGGAGGAATATGAAACTAAAAATTATTTAGGAGAAAATGTCTTTATTAATAGAAATGGTAAAATTGAAGTTAATGGATAACCCATATTTTCAGATTATTAATATTAAATTAAAGATATACCAAAAGTAGGTTAGCATAATAATGAAAAACCAAAATTATGATTTTAATGATCAAATTATTATAAATTTAATCATAAATGTTCATTATATTATTAATTTTAATGATCTTATTATAATATCATTTCATATTCTAAATAAATCTAAGAAAATTTACATCTAGATTATTATCAAAAAATTTCACAATATTTAAGCTGGAAATATAAATTAAGTATTTTGCTTAAATTTTAAATACAATAGTTCAGAATTTATGATAATTGAATTATAAAACGAATTTTTGTTAATAAAAAATTTGTATTTTATATATAATGTAATCAAAACTTCTGAAGTATAGAACTCAAAATCGTTTAACGTTAATATAATAGTTAAAATAACTGAAAACTAATGTACTACATTAAAATTAACTTTTATTAATCTAATAATTCTTTAGAAAAAGTATTTAATAATAATTTTATGATTTGTTCTCTCGATATATGCAATACCTCTATCAGCTTAGATTCTTTAATGAAAGGACTTATTATATAATGTCTATGGTGTCCAAATGCCTTTTATTGTTGTGAAGATTGCAGATAGTCGGATAGGTAATTGAAAGCAATTAACTCTTTAAGCAAGCACAAATCTTAATGTAGAGGGATACAATAAACAGTTCTTGTTGACAAATAAAATATTTTGAAAGAAATGCAATTATTAGAATAAATAGGTTAAGGGAGTTTTGGAACAGTGCATAAAATATTAATATAAGGGCAATTATATGCTCTAAAGAAGATGAATAAACATTAATGTTCAAAGGAAGTTAGAATTCATAAGCATTTAAATCATAAGAACATAATATAGTTTCATTACTTTATTGAAGATGATGAATATGTATATATAATAATGGAATATGCATGTAATACTTTATTAATTTTTAGCTTAGGGAACATTAACATTGAATAGGGACAATTGTGATATTTAAAATATATTCTTACAATTATGTGAGGCTACTATGTATCTTCATCAAAAAGGTATAATTCATAGAGATTTAAAACCTGATAATATTGTATTGGACAATTTTTGGAATCCTAAAATTTGTGATTTTGGTTTAGCTACATATGAAAGTGTGATAAGTAGTTTTTCTGGAACATTTGAATTTATGGCACCAGAAGTAATTAAGAATTTACCTCAAACTCAAAAAATTGATGTATGGTCTTTAGCTGCTATATTATACTGGTTGCTTGAAGGCAAACCATTAGTATAAGGTTTAATAATAAACAAATTTAGGCAATTAGATTGAGAAGATGCAGTAAATTCTTGATTTTAAGAAACCTTAGTTTACATAAATAACAAATCCATTTATTAAAGACTTACTAAATCAAATGTTAGATCCAGATCCAGATTAAAGAATTTCATTGCAAGGTGTGCTAAATCATAAATGGACATAAAGCATAAATACAATAGAGAAAGAAATTAATGATATTTCTACTCAACCAAGTGTTTAAAGATTATAGTAAATTGAAATTTAATAATAATTGTAAAAACATGATTCGAGCATGTTATAAAAGATTATATCACTTTTTGGTTGTGGAGGTAGAGAGAAGCAGTTTTGATAGTGATTTTGATTTTAGATTATTGAGTTTTTAGTTTTTCCCACTTAATAAATTAATAAATCTAACTGATATTCAATACATTATTTGAAAAATGAATTCTGAAGTCTAAGACATTATAGATTTATATTAATAGATAGTTTCCAATTTAGATTTAAATCCATAACGTGATATCACAATGTATTTATTAAAGTGATACTATAATAGAGAATAATTAAAAAATGAAAGAAATTATTGCACAATATTCAGAATCATGTTTCCATTTTTAGAAAAGGAAATAGATAATATTCAAAAAGAAAGAAATCCAACAGGTGAAAAATTGTAAGGACTAATTGAATTTTTAGTAAATCATCATGAATATATAAATAGTCTTATCCAGTTTTAACAATGGATTTATCACATATAAGTGGACATTCTATTGCATAAGGAGATTTGAGACATCTTTACAACTTTTTATAAATTTTACTTGAATTATCAAAACTTTATAAGGATTAAGTTTAAAATACAAGATCAAATTCTACAAGCTAACAAAATTTTTAATAAGATAATTCAACTCCTCCAGAATAATAATCAGGTAAGTTATTTAATTAAATTAGATTATTTTAATGATAATGCTGAGTATGAAGAATCATCCTAAAAAGACGGTGGAAATTTTGAAACCAAGAAAATATAAAGGAATCAATCCCTAAAGGATCTTAAAAAAGGTGCTAATTAAAATAATAATGCTACTGCTAAAAATTAATTATCAAATAATTAACGAAAATCTTCAGCTAGAAAAGTTGAATAGAAAAAAGTATTAAATTCAAAGGAAAATAAGTTAAAAGCTATAAGTAATGATTTATTACCTGTTACTTAACTTTAATAAAGAATAATAACACAAGATCCTAATATAGCTATAAAATATAAAAAATAATAATAGCAACAATAAAAGAAATCATCTAAAAAATAATAAAAATCATAATCACCTAAAGAAGAAGAAGAAGAATAACTAGATTAATTAGATTTTGGTTTTTAAGATATAAGTGAAATAGATTATTAGTTTTTGGAATAACATGATGAAGAAGAAATTAATTAATTAGATGATCATGATCCAACAAAAGTTAAATATTTTAGAGAATTATAAAAGGATGATATAAGAAAATTATTATAAGAAAAAATGAAAGAAGAAGAAGAATTTGGTGAATAACCAGAAATTGATCATTTTATAGATTCTTAAATTCAAGTTATAAAAGAATCATTAGGTAATATGAAAAATTAACCACCAAGTGATGAAAAAGAAACTATTGAAAAAATTATAAAAAATAGAAATTAATATAAAGAATTTTTAAAAGATTATCTTAAAACTTATCAATAAAAATAAAAGAAACAAGAATCATAATAAAATAAATCAATGCAAGATTAAAAATAATTAAATAAAATGAATCAAAAAAAAAAAGATGATTTAAAAAAAGAATTTGAAAATGAACATTTATCAATGTATTATAAATTAAGAGATGAAAAATTAAATTATTTAAGAAAAATGTAAATATTTTATATATTTCTCATAGTCATCGAATTATTTTTGAATTAGAAAAAAGAAAGATTATAGATGAGAAAAAAGATCATCTATAAATGAGAAGATAATAAAATATAATTACTAGAAATGCATTAGCATCTGTTGAAAATGCTTATAATGATAAAATTACAATGTTAAAAGAAAAATTATAAAATGAACGAAAAGAAAGGCATGTTGCAGGAGTTGCATAAAAATAAGTAAATTATTTTATGATTTTAAGATTCTCTCAAAATTAGAAAAAGAATTAAAAGATGAAAAAATTAAATAAATTCAAGAATTGAAAGATATTTGGAGATAAGAAAAAGAAAGATTTGATTATTTAATGAAAGATGATGGAGAATTAGAAAAGAGAATTCTTTAAATTTATAAAAAATATTGAGAAATTATATGCTATTATTAATTATTTACCTATATTTATTTAAATTAAATTTTATTTTCTAAATGATTTTTGATCTAACAGGGTTAGATATTGCAATTGCCTAAATATCCTTAAATTTCTTGGTTTCTATATCATTTTTAATCAGATCAAAATATAATTAGAGGATTCAACAGAAATCTCAAAAAAATATTTTAAAAGTATTGACTTATTCTATTTAAGAAAAATAAAAAAAAGCAAAGTGATAATAACTTTTAAACTAAAATTACTATTTAAAACTAAACATCCTCAAGTAAGTGTTAATTCAATTATAGTAAAAAAAAATATTAGTGCTCAAAAGTCTTTAAAATCTAATGAATTAGAATAGAATAATTCAAAAAAAAATTAGGCTGAACACTATCCTTAATCTTCAGGGTTAATACTATCTCCTTGCAATAAAATATTAGGTAATAACATTAATAATAACTAGAAAATGACAAACTTATATCAGATACAAATCGATAGACTCATAGATCAAGTTTAGTACCTATACTTTAGACTCAAAAATAGTAAACAACAAGCAAATCTAGTAATTGTAGTTAGAATATAATTTAACTAAATCCAAAACCATCATCTGATCAAAATAAATCAATTATTAATTAGTTAAAAGAGAATCCTAGTTTTGGAGGATCTAAACTAGTTTAGTGTTAAGTAATTATAATAAAATAATTATATTTTAGTAATGTAAAGCTGATAATTCAGTTGAATAATCTGATGATATAATTACTATTGAAAGAAAAAGAAATATGAGTGTACCTTCAGAAATAAAAGAAGATGAGAACTAAGAATAATAAATTTAAAAAAAGCAATAAGAAGAACTAAAATAAAAAATTTAATAATAAAAAGAAATCGAATATACATAGTATATTCAATTATAAAATCATTTCCTTTTATTTTCTTGTATGTTTTTTGTACAATCTATTATATAAAAAATGAATTCAGATTTAAAACTATATGAAGAAATAAATTTAAACAATATATTGGAGATATATTCATTGTAGGCTTGCATTGGAGCCCTATATTTTAATGTTATTTAAGCACTATTAATAATATTTTTGGAAAAAATTCTAAAATGCCATAAATTAATAACTCGATTATCATTCTCTGCATATAATATCTCTATCCCATTTTACCTTTATTCAACTATAGAAGAGGAGAATAGAATGATAAATTTAGAATTTTTATTGATGATTGGATGCATTTATTTTTTATAGTTCTTAGTCTTTATTTTCTGTAGAATACTTAATTGGAAAAATTATCCTTTAACTTTATTTTTGACATTTTGATATTTTATAATTACATATATAATATTTATTTGACTGATATTTATATTTATGTAGTGATCTATTAATATAATAATAATATCAATTTTAAAGATGAGAGAGTACATTATAATTATTATTCAAATATCAATATTTATTATCAAATATTAGTCAAGTCTAATAATAAATAAGTATTTGTTTTATATTCTTGAAAAGAACTATGATTAAATCAAAATAAGAAAAGGAATTTATGATAAAAGTAATTATAACAAATATTATATTTTCTCATTAGAAGGATTTAAAAATATGAAATATAGATATCTTATATATATATGAAAATTATTGTTTTAGTGAAAATTATTGATTTTATAATCAACTTAAACTTTTGTAATATGCAATACATTCTTTCCATGAATCTCTAAATGTTTGGCATTTCTCTTCTCCATTATTTTAAATGCATTAGTTCATGATTCTTCTTACTGGGGCACATTTGCAACAGGCACCATTTTTGCATTTACAACCTTTTTTAGGTACTTCTGAGTCCATAATTAATTATTAAATTAATAAGGAATATCTTTTATATTATTATTAATATTCATATAAAGAAAAATATCATTTATTTTATTACTAGTGTTCTTTGTACAATTTTTCATAATATGCCTCAACAATCCAAGGTACATCATCTTTTTCATATTTTAATGGAGGAAATTTGAATGAAAGTTATTCTATTATTTATTATTTCAATTATGCTGAATTTTTTTTTGGAGGATATAAGACTCCTAATTCTGTATTAGCTATATACAATTAAGTTGCATTTTTTTCCATTTTTCCCCAAGCACCTTAACTAAAATTATGACTTCCAATATATATAGATGTATAATCATTTATATCTTCATCTAAACCTGTAATAATCATAACTTTTAAATGGGGAATATTACCAGTATGCCAATAATAATGATCTGATCCTTAGTATTTATAAAATAGATGTTTTGGAAATTTAGGATTTTCATATAATTATTTTTTGAAATGCAATGGATTTGCAAAGTCAACTCCTCCATGAGTTTAATTTTCAATATAATCTGCTGTTGGATATATTAATTTCAATTTTGATTATTCTTCTTCTTATTGATTTAGTATCATTTAATTAACTTTTTTGTTATTTTATTCACCTGTCAATGGTTATTTATAGACTCTACCTGTGCAACATTATAAAGCAAAATCAATATAATTATTATCTAATTATCCTATACTAGTAGTTTAATAAGTAACACAAACTTATTTAGGTATTTCCATTTTGTTATTACATAATTCTTAATATAAGACAGACTGAAGTCTCATCATACCATATTTATATAATTGATTACCTACAAATCTTCCTGGGATTGATGTAATAAGTCTTATATTTACATCTTTAAAATCATAATCATCATATTTAATTTTAAGGAGATCTTCAAATTTATGAGATGTAGGCAATATTTCATATAAGAATTCTCTTAACATAGTTTTAAACTCTTAAGAAGTTTAGTCTAATTCACTTTTTCCTAATTTAAAATCTTATATCCACATTGCTTATGACCATATTGTCCAATCTCCTACATGTAAATTTTAACTTCCGATGACAATCCGAATAAATTTAGGAAATTTTAAAATCCATATTTTAGGATGAAATGCACCACCATACATACTTGAACTTAATTTTGATGGCTTAATTACCATCCAATTTGGATAATTGTTATATTTTTCAATAACTTCAAGCTTTTTGTTTTAATTATCATTATTATACACAATGAAGAGTTGTACACCTGATTTAACTATAGGTTCTAATAGTTCATCTTCAAATCCAAAACAAGTCATTAAAGCACTTTCCAATGTTTTTTTTGGCTTTTAAGTTTTAACATCTATATATGCATTTTCATAAAGGATGTTAATAAATGGTAAATGATGTTGTTATTTTTCATCTGTAGGATATTATGTTAAACAATTTAAACAAAATGTTCCAATAGGAAAAGATAATTAAACTTCATTTTCTTCAATTTATTATTTGATTTCATCATCTTCTATGACAACAATTTGCTCCTTTTCTTTTTGTTTTTCTTTTAGTCTTTTTTGATTTTCTAAATAGAGTTCTTTCTAAACTGAATTAATTTCTATATAAGATGAATTAATCTGGTCTTGTTCTTCAGACAGATCCTGAAGTGTTCTTTTTTTCATAATGATAATGATATGAGAAGAATTGAATAAATTATATTCAATTAATTGTTTATATTTCTTTTGTAATAAAATGAGTTTTTTTTTCCCATTCTTTATCAAGATTTTGAGTTTGAATTCGGTCTTTTGGATGAAGCTGAATCAGAAGGTGATCTCTTTGGTGTAACACTTCTTTTTCTGATTCGTTGATCTCTTCTAGGGCTTCTGCTATGTCTCTTTCTTTTGTTTTGATATCTTCTTCTTCTAGATCTGGATGATGAATAAGAAGAATATGATCTTGATTCAGATCTTCTATGACGGCGCCTAAAATTTTTAAATATCTTTATACTTTGATCTAGAATCGGATCGTCTTCTACTACGTCTAGGTGATTTGATATTTGGACAATTACGAGCCCTAGAAATTTAATTAAAAATTTACCAATGACCACCTTTATTGCATTTGAAACATTTATCTTCTTCATTTGGACCTGTCTTTCTTCCTTTACGATTGTCAACTACATCTACTTTCAATTTTTGTCCATTGTAAGTTTATCCATTTGTACCCTTTAAAGCCTCTTGTGCTTCCTACTCATTATTAAAGGTCTTAATTTCGAAATTAGTTCATACAACAAATGAATATGATCCCTTGTACGCAACTTCTTTGACCGTTCCATACTTTTTGAAGATATCTCTCACATCTTTCTCATCCTATACTTTGTTACGGCTGTACCCAGCAACAAATAGTTAATTAGGGATAATATCACCCATTATTTTTAATTAATAAAATTAAATCCTAATAAAAAATTATATTAGATATATTTCATTCTTTTTTAATTAAACAAAAATATATCTCATTAATACTCACTCCTTCCAATCAGATTGTAGATTTACAATTTTCTAATACTATTCTTAAAATTGTCAGTTAAACTAAACCATACAATTCCTTTAATTATATTAATCTTATCACATCATTTTAAATTGCATTACAACATCAATCTAACTATTTTCTTTATATATAAAGAATATATGAAATATAATATAATTATTTAGATAAAATTAAATTCAATCACTTTTATACTTCCATATATTGATATATTTGGAATAATCCCATGTTATCAAATACTAATTATTTTTTGAAAACTAATAGAAAAAGTTATGATCAAATTGGATTGTCTAGATTTATTAATATAAATTTTTTGTATCCTTTCTTAATATCGAGAGATATTTATTTTTTTTCAAAGCACATATTTCCTAGCTTTATGAGATTGATGAATTAATTTCAAATAGCTAATTGAGCATTTCCTAAATTGTCTAGGATTCTTTTACTATACCTTCTTCATATAATTCATTTTCTCTATTAAAATTAAATATTAAATATTCTCCTTTCTGTCTTTATATAACTAATGAATCATCATCTATGTTATAGTATTTCTTTCCTTTTATCATTTTAAGATTGATTGATTGTCTCTTCTTCCATAAATCCTATTAATTCTTAGAAAGAATTTAAACCTAACCGTTTTATGTTATGATGATTATTTTCTTTTAATGCTTATCATAACTTACCTAATGAATCTAAGAAAGTTCATTTTGACTTATAGGAATAATTTAGCTTTTTATCCATTTGTTTTCTAATGTTCTCTTCCATACAATGATAAAATTGTAATCCATGACTCCAATCAGTTCATCTTCATCATTATTTAATATTAACTAAACGACTTCAAATTCTCTAGTTTGTCCTTCCTTATAGATAAGGTATTATTTATTCCATTTTCCATCTACATCTCTAGTCCAAACTATGACATTATCATTCCAACTTCCAATTGAATAAAACATATCTTCTTTGTTACTATACAGAATATTAGTAACACTAGAGGAGTGTCCTTATAGAGTTGATTCCACTCTTAGGGTCTCATTTTATCTTTAGCATACTAAAATTTGAAAGCCATAACCCAACACCCAAATATTATTGGAAGAATTAAAACCAAAAGCTTTACACTATTGTGAGTGTTCAAAACTAATGATTAAGCTATACATATTTAAGCTTTCCCTATGATTTGGTTCTGATTTTCTTTAAGAAGATTCTGGGTGTTTCATTATATTCAAGGACATAATATAAACTCAAATAAGATTATGATATAATAATAATTAAACATACATTGGTTTAATAATCCAGTTTTAAATTAAAGAATGATACATCATATTTAACAAATTAAAATTATTTTTTCGATATTTAGAAGTTGAATAATTATACAATTATAATATATTTCCATTAGATTATGATTTATAATAGAATCCTTAATTTTTAATACTTTTCAATAATTAATTCTGCTTCTATATCATTATTCAAAATTATGACTAAATTCTTCAAAAAGAACCTCATTATTTCTTTATTAATATTTTTAATATTTACAGATATGAATATCCTCAAAGATTATTATAATGAAGAAAGTATACAACTCATTATTTAAAAAATCAACCTATAAATATTGAATAAAAACTTAAATTTCTTAACTAAACTAAAATCTTCGAAATTTAGTGAAAAAGCAAATCGAAAAGTACAGAAAAGAATTTAAAAAGTGTATACTTCAATTCATAAACTTTTATATAATCCCTTCTAATTTTAATGATACAAGTATTTAGTTGATAAGATTAATATCGTATATGGCATCTCACTTCTTTTCTATATATAAGAAATATAGTACATTCATTTTTAAGTGAATTTAAACTTAGGAATATTTATGCTATTAATAATATATAGAGATGAAGTTAATCAAAATTAAGTTTTTAATTAATAAAAAATAAATAAAATAAATCAATTAATTTTCGAGAACAATTTTAGTTTTACTTGTTTTTTAATAATATTTCACCCCTTTTAATAAAAGAACACAAAATATAATATTTTTAGTCACTGTTATTTTCTAATCTAATTAATATTTAAAATATTAAATCACAATAATTATCTTGGTATTGATGAAAGCAAAGAATCCCTTAAATTTCTAATGAAATATTTTTGCTTTAGCTTTACAACTAACTTATTTCTTTAGTGGAATTTTAGATAATCAAAGTGAAAATTATGTAATTAATCCTCCAATATATCATTGTAATTTATCTTAAAAGCTGATAAATTAATGAAAAAAAATATTGTCAATATTATACATCATAGATATGCTCTAGTTCCTTTCGAAAATTTAAGCTAAGTTCATTTTAAAATAATATTCTAAATTTTTGAAATAGATTTATATTCCAGAAATGTATATATAATCTTATTTGGATGTATAAAAATTAGATCTATAAAAAATTAATAGAATTTCAAAATAATGATCTAAAAGCTCCATTAAAATATTGAAAAGGAATAGCCATAATATGACCTGATGTTTATTCATAATTGCAAACTAATAAAATTAACAACAAAACAATAATCTAACCAACAAAATGCTTGGATAATAGAACATGAACTGATTTTTAATTGTTTATTAAACCCCAAGAAGTTAAAATGTTGTATCATTGATTTCTTGGATATTATCCTTTTATTTATTGATTCCTCAAAAAATACATAGTATAAATAGTAAAGTACAATAATTTTATCAATAATAAATGATATTCTTCAACATATATTAATAAACATTTATTTTGGATTCATTGAAATAATTCAAACTCTTAATATATTAAATATAAAAATAACCAAATTTTCGAAATCTTTTTAGAGTGTCTCCATATAATATTGCTTTGTTCTTAGTTATCTTTATTAATAGTCAGTTAATATTCTCCATAACCTTATAAATATACCATATTAATTATTAATTTTAATTTAATGTCGGAAGTAGAAGAAATTAATTTGGAATAAAATATCAAAAAGCCAAGACATTAAAGACAACAAAATTAATCTAGGCGCATTAAAAAGACAAAGAATAACTTTAATAGACCAAGAAATAATTCATAAAATAGAAATAGAGATAGATAAAGAAGAAATGATTGGAGATAATAAAATGGAGGCAATTCAAGAGATTTATATGAAATTGATATTTACAATTTTCTAGCTAAAAATTAAATATCTGACCTTATGGTATTTAGATTGCATAAAGTTAGAGCGATATAAGATCTAGATGTGGGAATTTGGTTAAACTTCATATTATTGCCAATAATATATAAGAAAATGAGGCTGAAACAAAAGTATATATTTAATTCATTAAAGGTAGTTTTGAAAGCTTTTTTCAAAGATTAAAAGTCAGCTGATGAATGTGAATTTCAATACAACGATGCCAAACTTGATGATTTATCATTAAGAACAGAAAGAAAATATTGATATAAAAATTATATATTAAATGAGATAAATATATGAATTTATTGTGATTCATATTGTTTTCTATGTCGTCTCCGTGCATATTGACTTAAAATAATAAGAATTCGTAAATGAAAATCTATATTTTAGAATCCGAAAGACATTTATTAGATGTGGATGTTATTTAACATATTCTTTGCTTCCATCTATATTATAACTAAAAAACTTACTTTGATTCTTGTCTTTTTACTTCAAAGTTATATGTACTTTTACTTAAGCAAATATAATCCTTATTATGTCTAAGCAGCAACTGTATTGATTCCCATAGCATTAATTGAGAAATCTAATCTATTTATAATATTGAATTAAATTGGAGCTTTTTTGATATCAGGTCCTTACAATCAAAATTAATAAATATTATTTGTAATTTTAATAATTGCTTTGGCAATATATATTTATGCAAAATAACATGTTGAAGAAATTTTAACAAAAGTATTAATATTTAAATATAAGTAGAAAAAGTAAAAAGTTGATTAAGATGAGAAATTTTTATAAGAATTACCATTCCCATTATTTATAGTTAATATCAAATCATAAATACATTGGTCAAATAAAATGGCTAGAGAATTGACTGTTAATTGTGGTGTTAAATAGGGAGGATCATTAAAAGAGATATTTTAAGATTAAGACTTATTTTTATAATACTTAAATTAAGATTCTAAATAATTGATTGTTTAAATGAATACTGTTTTAATTTAATAATCTCTTGAATAAAGTTTAATTATGCAATAAAATAAAAATCTTACATAATAATAATAGTAATAATAAACTACATAAATAAACACTGATCATAAATTGTCTAAATACTAAAATCAGAAAGAAGATAATCTATAAAAATCAATTCATAAATATTTAAATGTAGCATGTTTAACATTAAATTCTCTTAAAATAACAGAATAAATTTAAAAAGAAGTAATACTTTGATTTAGTTTTAGATATTAACAGTTTTAATTAAACCATTTAAAATCAATTAAATGAGATTATTTATGATATGTATAAATGCAAATAAAACATTTTAGTAAAATAAAGTTCTTTAAAATCATTTAATTTAATAAATTAAATAAAAGTAAATTCATATAATTTATAAATTTTAGTGGATAATAAATGCTTGTAAGTTTATAATAAGATTTTTAAAAATGGGATAATATGAGAAGTTTAGAAATAATTAGAGAATCAGATTTGAAAGTGATTTCTTAATCTATTGTAGATTTATATAAGATAATTTTTGAATTTGAAACTTATGAGGTATCAACAAGTTTCTTTCCATAATCAAACTTAATAAATTTTTAATGTAGAAATCATTATTTAAATTTTTAGTTAAAGGATTAGTAACTTATTTAATTGAAGTTTTTGCTGGCAGATATTTATAAAAATTTACTAGCATAAATCTATATTTTGATAATAGTATTTAAGATAAAATGAAGGGTAATTCTACTAATTTTTCTTTAATATTTATGAGTATTTTAGAATTAATAGCAAAATATTCTGGAGATAAAAAACCATCTCTAAAAATTAATTGTAATTTAGATTAAGTAACAGATTAAAATAAAGCATATTAAATTTAATTGTAATTTTTGTGGAGACAAGATGATGAATTAGACTAAATTTTTAAAGAATTCTTTCATTAATAAGTCATGCCAATGGATGTTGATCCATAGGTTTAACGATACTTGATGACAATTAAAAAATTATAGAGTTATTCTGCTATGAAAATATTTTATATTGAATAATCTGTTGAATCTATTGAATTATTAAGTGAACTACATATTTTTGTAGATTTTTATATAAGTGATTCTGAAGAATCAAATTAATAAGTATATTAACCACCTCAATTACAAATTACTTTTAGTAGAGAATTTGTAGGATAAAACCCAAATGAAATTATGTGGCAACCTAAAAAATAACCTTAAGTGATTGTAGATAAAAATCATTAAGCCATAATACGACCGATTAAACCTATGCCTCCAACCTTTTTTAACAAATAAAATTTACCAATTAATGTTGAAGCAAAATAACCTAAAAAATAAGATGAGAATATTGAAGATGAAGTTGCTATTTAAAAAAAATAAAAAGTTATTAGAGAATTGATTTAAGCCTAATTTACTAAAGTTGCACCACGTCTTTCTGAAAAAATAGCTTATTTGATTAAAAAGAAATTAGAAAGTTAAGTTAATAAATTTTAGGATATTTAATTTGTTGGAGATCATGAAGATAAACTTGATAAAGAAGATTATTATTAAGGGAATGAAGAGTAATCAGATTATGGAACTAGTGAAGGTATAAAGGGAAATAGTTATGATGATGAAGGATAATCATAAACTACTCCTAATCTTGATTCTGTTCCTACTAATAGAAGATTTATGAATATTCCTTATTAAAGTGAATTTTCTAATATTGATTCTCGAGCTACAAATTAAATGCTTTAAGGTTCTGATTTATCAATAATTACATACAAAAAAATTAAAATAGATTAAATTATTGAAGAAATTAAGTCTAATTAAATTGACACTGCTGATTTCAGTTAAATTACAATGAATGAATAATTTATTCTAAAAATTGCAGAATCTTTAGAAAAAAATAATTCACTTAAGACTTTGAAATTTGTTAAATGTGATCTTAGCGATTAAATACTTATAAAAATCTTAGATTCCATAACAAAAACATAGTAAAAATTATTCTAAATTAGAATCGAGAGTTTGCATTTATAATATAATTTATTATAAGAAAAAGCTTTGAATCATCTCATTAGTTTAAAGTAGGGTTTAAAAGAATATCCTGTAAAAGAATTACATTTTCACAGTAATCTAGTAAAAGAAATTTAAATTAGCAAGGAGAAAGCATAATTATCAAATCTAGGAATAAAAGTATTAATTGGTTGAGTTATATTATATTAATATAATTAATTAAATAAAACTGATGGATTCAGATGAAGAAAAGCAAGTAGATCTTCCACCTATTCGAGTAAGAAGTTCAGAATTGAATCCAAAGTTTATGAAAGACATCTTATTAAGTAAGTAGATCATTTATCATATTCTTTTAGAATTAGATGAATTATTCAAAAAATATACGTTGGATAAGGATATTTGTGTTGAATTGGTCAAACATGTGAAAACTAATCCTGAATATAAGAAAAGTATAAACTATTATTTTATAAAAATAGAGGGTGAAGGTGAATGGCAATGCATTATTGGATCTAACTTTGGATGTTCCTTAAGTTATGATTTAGAACTTTTAACTTTTTTTGATTTTTTATCTAATGGGAAATCAATACTCCTCTTCAAGTCAGGATGAAAAAAAATAAAGTATCAAGATCGATATATAATATCAAACATATAAAAATGCATCAACAGCATTCTTTTTTTTAAATCATCCAATTTACATTCATTTATTAATCATTTGACTAATAATATGGAATTCTGCCATTCATAAAATTACTGATAAAATTCAATTTTTTTCCATCTTTTTTGTTTTTTTATTTTTTCTTTATTCTGTTTAATATATTGTACCACAACAACTCTAGGCTTTGAAATTAGAATCTTCGTATTTCGTAGATAAAATCACAAGGTTAGTTTTCACATTATAATCCATAATTTAAATTATAAAAATCAACATAAAATGAATAGAAATTTTTATTTACTGATAGTTTATCCTGAAAAATATATTAAAATTATCCAAATCTTTAACGTAATATCAAGTTTACAAGATATGTGGCTTATTTTAATTCGAAAATTATAGAATACAAGATATATTTGATTCAATTATTTTAAAAGAAGTATTTTATTTATTCTTAATATTAATAATTGTTATAGTTATAGAGAATAGAAAATGCGAATCCTTGGATGAAATTTTTCTATTTATTTTTAATGAAAAATAGAAATTATTTTTAATTTAAAGGTTTTATAGACTGGCAGCAGATTAAACGTTTGACCTTAATCTAAACTTACATAATAAATTGAAAATTAAAGATTCTAACTAAATGATCTCTAAATAAATGAAAAGTCTTCTTCTTAGATTGCAAAGGGTAGGTTGAAATAAATTAATTTTATGCAAATAATAAATTATTATTAATCTAAGAAATTGCTTTAGTATTAGCATATATAAAGAATATTTGCTTAAATATGTAATTTTTGACAATAAAAAATTATTTAATTACATAAGACATGTTTCTTATTAGACTAAAAAAAAGAGAAATGACTCTAATAACTAAATATAAATTATTATCATATTATTTTTTCGAGTAAACATGTTGTATACGTTGTCTGGACTAGAAAAGTAGTTATAGTTAAATATTGGCTTTTAATCTATTTTGACTATCTTTAATTATGATTTATGAAGTTGTGAGTAGAATGCCATAAAATTACTACCTTAGAGTATGATATATAAGAGAGTGAAGAGGGGTAGCTTTCTATAAATAAATCTGCAATAAATTAATTTAGGAGTTGTATAAAGGTTTCAAGTAAAATTTATGTCAAACATAAATTTTATTTTTGTTTGTAAATGTCATAGCTAAAACTTCAAGTAATAGGGATTTCATATTCTAGCATTGCTCTAGTTCATGCGCTTAGACTTCTTCATGTAAGATTCAACCAATGATGCATGGGAGGCAACCAGATCCTATTAGTGCTTAGCAATAGGAAAATTTAATCAATTTAGGAAATTCAGATTAGAAGAAAAGAAACTGTTGTGCTGGAGATCGTTTCATACCAATGATCAAGAAGAAATTCAATATTCTTTCTGAAACTAAGGCTCCAGCCCAAGACATAGCTTCATCTTAGGCTGCCTTAGAAATGCTATACAAACAATAAATTCTTGATTAAGAGCCTGTAATGGAGCCTGAAAATGGTTCACTCAAATTTGTGAACTAAAATAATTTCTAATATAAGAATGAACATCTCCATTATATAGATTCTATAGATCCAAAAAATTATAATAGGTAAACAATATAAAAATAATAAAAGTCCTTTGGTAGATCACAAATATTTTGCATTGCCAGAGACTATGTCAAGCTATTATGGGAAATATATTAGGAAAATACCAAAAGTGCCTTTTAAAGTTTTGGATGCCCCATAATTATAAGATGATTTCTATTTAAATTTAATAGATTGGAGTAATCAAAATACTCTTTCTGTAGCATTAAGTAATTGTGTATATTTATGGTACGATTTTAATCTAAAAGTAGGAATGCTTAATCATCAAAAGTAACAAAGTTACTAGATCTAAGTAATGATATAGTCACTAGTGTTGGATGGTCTTTGAGAGGTCCTTTCTTAGGAGTAGGAACTAACAATGGAGAAGTATAAATTTGGGATGCTTGTAAATTATAAAAAGTAAGAACTTATAAAAGTCATGTTGCAAGAGTAGGAACTCTATGTTTTGCTGAGAATATGTTAAGTAGTGGTTCAAGAGATAAATCTATACTTTAAAGAGATTTAAGACAAAAGGAAGACTTTTTCTTTAAATAGACAGCTCATAAATAAGAAGTTTGTGGATTAAAATGGTCACCAGATAGTCAATTATTAGCTTCTGGAGGAAATGATAATAAATTATACATTTGGAGTGCATCATAACATGATAAACCTATATTCAAATTCACAGAACATTAAGCAGCTGTAAAAGCAATAGCATGGAGTCCACATTAACATGGATTATTAGCAAGTGGTGGAGGAACTGCAGATAAAACTATTAGATTTTGGAATGCTTTAGAAGGCAAATTATTATCAAAAGAAGATACTGGAAGTTAAGTTTGCAATTTAATGTTCAGTAAGATGGAAAATGAATTGATATCTACTCATGGTTACAGTCAACATTAGATAATTCTTTGGAAATGTAATGGAATGAAAAGAATAGCTACTTTGGTTGGACACACTAGTCGGTAAGAATTCTATTTATTAATTTAATAGTGTTCTCTATTTAGCAATGTCTCCTGATGGATATACTATAGTAACTGGAGCAGGAGATGAAACATTAAGATTTTGGAATATATATCCATAAAGTCTTGGTGAATCATATAGCAATAAATGCTAATTGGTACCATAGAATATCAGTATACGTTGATGTGATTAACTTTATATACTCATTTTTTATTGATTATCATAATGCTATATTTTTTTAATTCTATTGATGAACAAATTAAAAATATTGAATATTAACATCAACCATATAGTGATAATATACCTAACAATAGATATTTCAAATTATTTTGAAATAAATATATATAGTTTTACATACATAGTATAGGGATGAGTGTCTAAAATTTAATATTTATTTTGAGAATTAATATTATTATTCTCAAATGCTATATCAATCAGACCTATACTTATTTTTTATTTAATAATTGAATCGATAAATAATACTTTAATTTGTAATTCAAACCAATCATGTCTTAATAGGATGAAAAATAGGATGAAATTGAAGATAACCAAAAAAAAAGGATATTATTAAGTGAAGAACACAAAAGATTTCAAGAAATTGCAGATTTATTTAACCAAACAATTATTTAAGGTAATCAATCTAGGATTTAAAGTCCATTGTTGAATTCTGAAATCTATTCTAATCATCTAAAATAGTTCAATAAAGATTCTAACCAATCTAATATTGTTTAAATTGACAAAAGGTTTCTGCTTCCTGAAGATGCAAATTATATAACTTATCTATCAGAAAACTCCAAATTATTAAAGGAAAAATATGTTTAACATTGTATGGATAGTGTACAATCTATCTAAGAATTTGTGTTAAATCAAAGATCAAGAAGAAAAAATAAATATAGCAATTTTGAAAAAAATGATGTAATTGACCTACCTTAAGTTAACAACCAAATTAATTTACAAAATATTTAGCAATGTCAATAACTCATTTCTGAAGTAAATAGTAGTAAAAAACTTTCAAATAGCAATAAACCTAATATTTAAAAACTATATGAGGATCCTGAATTAAAAGAAAAGTTTTCTATTGTTTCAAAAATATTAGAAATTTTAAATGAAAAAAAAAAAATATAATCAACATCTCAAAAAATTTCCATTTTAGAGGATGCCTTGATTTTATGTTTAGTATTTTTGCAGTTATCCAATTTTAGATAAGGTCAATAAGAATGGTATAGTTTTATATAAAAAAATTATAATTATTAGAGATCCTTTTAAAGTTTTGTAACAAGGTAATTATAATTTAGGATTAAATTAGAATCAAGGTTCAGCGTAATTTATATGATTAATGGACTTTATAAAATTTAGATTAATTATATAAAGTTCTTAAAGAATATCCAATAGATTTACTTGAAAATCTGCCTTTAATTTAGCAAAATAGTATTACACTACCTAAGCAAAGCTGATAATAATATTTATTCATTAATTTTTAGTTATAATTATAAAAATATTTATCATAATTTATTAATGGAAAACAGATAATTAGAAATAGTTAATTCTATTCTCTCAAAATCTCCTCTAACAATTTCAAAGCAAGAATTTCGATAAGTTAGTGAAATTATATTGGATTATAAATTAAATGGTTTTGTAATGGCTCTATTAAGAATGCAAGAATTTTATCTATATTTTGATATACCATTGTCAATTAAACATAATATAGATTTATTATCATATATGGATGAAGAGAGAATCAATTTTTTTGAACTAATTGGATACACATATTTCAACAAAGGATCCTACATTAATTTTTATAAAAATCTTGTTTTATTTAAATATAAATAAATTACTAGATTAAATCAATAAAACCTATTTATTTTACATTAAGTGATTGGGGATATAATAGCATCAATTTGGTGGCATTATGAATTTTTCAAATAATTAGTTTCTCGAATATACAATAATCAATACATCTAATTAGTAAAATTGATTTAAAATTAATAAAAAGGAATAGATGAATAAATCAATTTATTAGAATTTTCAAAATTTTCAAAATACTTTAAACTTATAATTAGTAATTCATTAAGTTATAATTTGAATAAAGATTAACTATTATAGAATACAGATGAATTTATTTAAACATTATTGAAAAAAGATGAATTAATATATGAAGCTATCTTAAATTATATATAATAATCTTCATCAATTTCAGTAAAGAAAAGAATAATCTACCATAAATTATTATTTTATTATTGGCTAATCAGTAAAGAAAATTAATTATAGAAGGAACCTTAATAAAAAAAATAATAATAAAGTCTGTCATAATCTGCCATTTAATTTAGGAATACTTATTCTCAAAATGCATCTAGAATAAATATAAATTAATTTTAATCTGGCATATATTAATCTGGTATATTTGGTTCTAAAATTTAATCATAATTATCTAATAGTTCTATACGTTATAAAAAGGCTACAAATTCAATTATTTAATATTTATAAGAAAATGTCATAAATTTAGAAGAATAACTTCAAGATTCTGATTTGTACATGCAATTTGATGCATATAATGAACATTATTAGAATCTAGCAGAAAGTCTAGAAATGTATGAAATAAATGATTGGAATGATTTAAAAGTATTGTCAGAATAAAGCACTTAAATTATAAAATCAGTATTAGAGAATATTAATATTGAAAAACTTGTTGAGGTTTATTAAGATAGATATTTTTGTTTGAGATCCTTTAGTTTAATAATTGATTGTACTGAAAATTTACAATCCCATATATAATATATTGATGAATAAGTACAAAAATCATAGTATTATTAATTCCCAAGTGCAACAAGCTAATTTTACTAGTTTTATGATTTTATTAATTCTAAATGCCAAATAGATTAGATTGAGATTATTAGATTGTTAGGTTTAAAATTATAATTTACTAAATCATAAATAAATGCTTTTTATAGATGTATATAATTAAAAGTACCTGATCATTTTATATTAATGGAAGCTGCTATAAAATTAAAGAGCATTCAAACAACATAAAATAGTTTAAAGAATCGAGATTGGCTCTCATAAATTGATTAGGAGAGTTGGCTTATGTTGAAAGAGATTGTATTCTAATAAACATTAATAGACATTTTCTATCTTATTGTGTAATGTTGTTTTGAGTAGTAAATATTTTTAAATAGCTGGCATAGAATTTTAAAGAATTTATTTTAAATTATTACATTAAGTAAAACAAATGATATTCTTTTACATTTTTTCTAATATGTGATTTCTAATGAATAGGATTTTTAACATTTTCTAAATTTAATTTTTGTAACTGAACCACCAAAATATTCAAATAATTTATATTAAGAATTACTAAATTTTCTTGAGAGAGTTCTGAATTTAGAAAATCAGTAATAAAAAATTTACATATTAAAAGGATTTCAAGTAATATATCCATTTCCAAATATATTTAAAGTAAATTTTCTTATTGAGAATATAAACCAAAAATCTAGAAGTCTCATATAATACATTATGATAAAGTAAAATTAAAATGATAATGAATAAATGTCTTAGTTATGTTATTAATTACATTCATCTGATTAAGAATTTTATTCTAAATTTATACCTCCTGAAGATACTCCTGGATTTGATTTACATTTTACAGTTGAAAGATAATTGAGTGAAACATAAGCTAAATTATTTCATTAAAAAATTGTAGAATAATTAAATTTACCTAAAAAAGAGGAAGTATTAAATGAAATATAAAAATATCTAAATCCATTAAGAGGCACATGCAAATCAGTAATTAAGGAATTAGATTAAAATATATTTACTAATTAAATTAGAGAGATATCAAATTAAGAAATTCTTGAATATGTACTCAATCATAAAAAATTTATAGAAAATCATATTGAAAAAAAAATATCATAAGTGAAACTTCGAATCTAATAAAAAATAAAAAAAATAGATATTTTGATAGAGAAATATCATAATAATCGTTTGATTGTCAATTAAATGAATAAAAAAATTAAATTTGCATAAAGATCAAAATTCTATATTAAATCAGAATATCATCATTTAATTGAACCTGATTATATTGTCTACAAATTTATATATGAACTTATTTTGGTATAAAGAAATATTTCAGGTTCAAATTTAATTAACTCTGAGTTTTTAAATGTCTTTGCAATGCCTAAAAGTTTTAATGAGGATAATAAAAAATCAAATAGTATATAGATAGATTAATAATAAATTAGAAAATAAGAATAGGATATAATTTAATATTATTTATAATTTGGAGAGGAAGGAAAGATTCCAATTTTAAAAGTGTTTTTAGATTAATTAGAAATTGAAATGAATAATTAAATACTTGTATTAGAATAATATTAATAAGACTTAATAATAAAAGATCTTGATGATTAAATAAATGAATTTAAAAAAATATAAATTGGTTGTTCTGAATCTTGTCCATTTTGTGGAAGAAAATGTGATCAGGATGTTTTAAAAAAACATAAGCATAAATGTTCTAATGGACATTAAATTAGAAGTAAAAATTATAAATAAAAATGATTATAGGCATGAATGGTATTTTGGTTGATTATAAATTATCATTGTTGAGTTGTGAAGAATTACAGGATGATTATTATGTTTATGATTAGCAAGTGTAAAATCTAAGAAAATGGATAGATTTAAAATAAAAATATAAAAATTGGAATTTTTGTAATTTCAAAAATAATGAAGAGTTAAAATAGCATTAATTGAATTATAAAACTTATTGGAATAATAAGGTAGGTAAAGTTATTTGTAATTTTTTAAATTGTAGATTTTTTTAAAAGGAATTAGATTAATCGAATTAAAAAAATCATTATATTTTAGTAATTGATGAATCTGGTTCAATGGCAGGGTAAAAGTGGAAAATAATGATGGAAGCAATTTAATAATGTTTTATAGAGTTACAAAAAAATCCAAACAATAGAATTACTGTTATTTAATTTAGTGATGATGCTAGATTTGTTATTGGACATAATCAGCCTGAAGAAATTCCACCATTAGAATAAATTAAATAATTTGAGATGATATCTGGTGGGACTAACTTTGAGAATGCTTTTCTTTTGATATTCTATGCCATTTAAAGATGCATATCATAATTTGATTTGTAAATTTTTTCAAGATATTTTATTTAGTTAAACTATTTTATTTTATACGGATGGAGATGCTGATTATCCTAAGATATCGATGGATTTATTTACATAAATTAATTAAGAACTAAGATAGAGAATTGATATTTTGATATGCAGTGAAATCAAAGAATCTAAATCTTTAGAAAAAGTTTGTTATCTATTTTAATAAAAAATTGGTAAGGGAAGAATAAAAGAAAATGTTAATATCGATTAAGTTGGACAACTGCTATAAGAAAAGGTTTGTTAAAAATATTGATGCTCATGATTGTTACTATTTTATTATAACACATATATAATTATATAAAATGTCATAACAATTTTATAGTAAATACAGACATTTATTTGAAGATGAAATGTTTGATTAAGTAAAGCTTGGATATGATATGTAAATGGCACCTCCATAATAACAATAATAATAATAAATCCCTTAGTTTAAATTTACTTAACAACAACCTAAATTTTAACTACAATAATCTCCTATAAAATAAGAATCACCATTTAAAATTGGGCAAGTTCAAAACTAATACAAATAACCTTAGGTTTAATCTTTTTAACCTTCATCATAAGAGAGATCATCATTGAGTAGAAAGAATTTTAATGAAGATAGAATAAGGAAATAAGTTATGCAAGATAATATATTTAAATAATCTACATTAGAATAACGTTAGACAGATAGAGTATATTAATTAAATTAACCTCAATAAATTTAACATCAAGAACAACCTTTATAAGAGAGAAAATAATAGTAATAGACTTATAATGTGTTCTAAGATTAAGACATTTTAGATGATTATGCTCCTAAGAAATAAAGATAATAAGTTTAGACTACTAATGACAATTCATAAATACATAATATTCATAAAGTATATCTCTAAAGATTGTAAATTTAAAATATATTCTTAGAAATGATCTTGATTATATAAGGAAAAAATACCTTGATCCAAAACAATTGGCTAGAGATATTGATTAAAATAATCCTTATAAAGCTGCTTTAATGTAGCGTATTTTATCTTAGATGAATGGAAATTAAAGAAAGAGTAGATTGAAAGAAGCTTTAAGAAATTGATATATTATTTTTATTGTACTCACAAAGATTAAATATATTTATATGCTTGTATTAAAAGATATAAAATAAATACTGATTTTATAGCTCATTCTTTCACATCATCATTCTTTTGTTTTGTAACTTTTGCAGAATTAATAGCTATTATTATTATATATATAAATACATAAGACTTTTTCTCCTTATTTATCTATATCAGAATGTTGCTTTGGATCGTATGGCCATTTATCAATTAATTCCAAAGGATTTTCAAGATAACTACCGTCACCAAAATTGACCTTCAATCCATAGATTTTACCCTATAATATTAAAATTATTATATACCCAAAAAGATGGATGGCCAAGATCATTAACAACTCTTAAGTAAAATGTATTAGGCACAATGTGTTAAGCAATCAAAATCTTTTCACTTGGTCCTTTAGGAGTCAATACATAGGCTCTGGCATGATGTTTCTCATATCCAAAGTATACAAAAGTCCACTAATGCTCTTTTATATCGAAAGTATGTGACAATGGTTCAAATGATGGATCCTTTATTGTATAAGTACTAGCCATCAATTTATCTGTTTTAGTAAAGAGTGCTAAAGTTCTATCTCCAATAAATTTATCATCTGCAGCAAGATCAGGCCCATTGGTGGTTAAACGAACTAAAGCAGTAAAATCATTTTTCATCTCAGGAAGTAACATGGCATTTTGGAACCAGAATCCAATACTATAAGATTACATTTCTGCTTTGTCTGTGAATTCAAAATTCAATTTATCCTTTTTAGAATCAAGATCATCTTGATTAGTTGTATCCAATAAAGAAACTGGCCATTTGAAATCTTCTGCTTATTAAGGTGAAACTGGTAATTTTCTGTGTAATTTATGAATCATCTCTACAACTTTTTGAGATTCGCTAATATAACTTCCAGCACCTAAAAATATTCTTGGGTCATAGAACCAACCATGGAATGCTTTATATCCAAATTCATTAGCACCTAAAACAAAATGAGCATAACCAGTTAAAACTTGATGAGTCACTTCAATATTAAGATGGACAGCCTTTTATTGATCCTTAAATAAGACCATACCATAAAAATTCTTATTCTTATATGCAGCATAAACATAAGTCCATTCACCTTCAATATTTTCATAAGGTAATTATGCATCTACTGCATTAGAAGGTTTAGATGCATCATATGTACTAAATTCATAATTTCCTTTTGTTAAGAAGGCAGATAAGACTCTATTACCTAATTCACTCTTATCTTAATATTGACGAGTACTTGAGAATCTGAATATAGTGTGAACATCTGCTCTATCAGTTAAAGTAGTAGGGAATGCTATTAACCATCTTGTCCAAACACCAACTGCATATTCATCGACTGATTCTGTTTCTGAAGTAAATGTTTATTCTACTTTTTCAGGTGTCTAAATAATTCTATCTTCTTTTTCAAACCATAGATATTTTTAATTAATCTGAATATGTCTAAAGTTAGGTAATGTATCTTCATAACCTTTTTTCATTACATCAATAAATGCTCCTTATCCATATTAAGCTACCCATTTTTATAATTCTCCTTAAAATCTTCTACTATGAGGATCCTTACCTACATAGATTCCTATGAAATGAGGAACAAAATGTTAAACTCCTTTGAAAATTACTGGTTTATCTTCTTCAAATAAGTGTAATAAAGTATGAACTTCACCAACATTTTCATTATAAGCCATATATAAATATGCCCATGCCTTCTTTGAATTTCCAAGTTCAACCTTCTCTTCTAAGAATTTAGCTTCATTCCAATCTTTAAGTCCTTTCAATGTATATGTACTCAGTTTAACAGTATCACTTGTACATATTTAAGCATGTAATGCTCTATCACCTTATGATTTACGATCACTTAAATGTTCTTTATCATTATTAGTAATTCTAAATAGTATCTGACATGGTGAGTTAATCTCTCCTTCTTTCTTCACTTAAGTTTCAGCAATCTTAAACCAACCAGAAATAGCATATTCTCCTACACCACTCCAAGTATCTCCAGTACTCTCACTTCCTTCATTATTATCACTTTCACCAATTAACTATTGTTAACCATGCTTTTGTTTATGGATATAATCTACAGTTAATTCTTAAGGTAAGGCAAAACTAGTATCAATAGATTTCATTAATTCTTCACCTGATAAAATGAATGATCCAACTCCAAAGTGAGCTGCTACTTCAGTAAATAGACCTTAGAATGGAGCTACATCCTTTTCTCCTCCCAAAATTAAATGAATATAATCTCCAAGTGGTTTATGTAATAATTTTTCATTTGTGGCATGTTTAATTTCTTCTCCATCAAATACAAAGTAGTTTGCTTATTATAATTATCTCTTATAACCAAGATATATGTAATGCCATCTTCCTTCCAAATGATTATAAGGTATAGTGCTTATTTCATTAGGAGCATCATCATTCAAATCGTAAGTACCAAATTAGTAATTATCTAAGACAACTAATGCATTTAGAACTCTATCTCCAATAGCAATTTTTCCATGATCTACTTCATCATTATAAGTTAATCTTAAGATCTACATTTCAGATGGAGTATGCCATTATCTCTCTGGCCATGCTTACAAGAATCTAGTCCATAAACCAACAGAATATTCCTAAACACTCTCAATTTTTCTATCAGGTTCAGAGAATGTAATTTTCATACCTTATTTTTCTGAATCACCTGAAACCAATGTTATTGTATCATCTGCTTCCCAATCAAATTTACTATCAGAACTAAATAATTTAGGTGCTGCCAAATAAACTTAAAGAGTGTTGAAATTATCTTCTCTATAACTACCATCTCCAATATTCAATATAACTTAAGCTAATCTACTATCGAATGGTTTTGTCATTGCATCTTTTACTAAGAACAACCAATAGTTAGTGGAAACAGCATGTAAAGCTTATTCTAAACCTTTATGTTCATCATCATCAGCTAATAAATAGTAACTAATTTTCTAATGATGTTTTGAATAGCCAAAATATACAAATGTCCAAACTTCTAATTATTGTTATGGGATCTTAGCTTCATATGTGTTCTACAAAGATAGGGGATTTAAATTATAAGTACTGAATTCTATACCATCTGTATGGAATAGAGCCAAAGTTCTATCTCCTATTTTTTATGCATCTCCTAAAGAATCAGGATTTGAAGAAGTGAATCTATAGATAAGCTATTATGTTTTGACTGGTAATTTGAACCATCTGAACCATAATTAAATTGAATATTCTCTAGCTTCTTCATTTATGTGTGTAATGTGTTGATCCTCTTCAATCTTTGTAACATCATGTTTTCCAATCAAAACCTCATACTTTTTGGATGGAGCCAAGATATCAGGCATAACATCCTTATTTTTAATTCTTTATAACAAACCTTATTTGTTATCAATATAGGCACCTGGACCAAGATTGAATCTAATTGTAGTTATTTATCCATTAAAATTTGAATAATATTTGCCTGCATTACCAACAGTCAATTACAAATAGTTATTTAATAATGAATGCATTACATCCATTTAAATTCCTGATGTAGTATCTTTATAATGAGTGAATGCCATGGCATGTCCTTAGGTTTAAGTAATTCGTTTAAAACTGAAATAAATATATGTCCATTCACTTTCAGAGTCAATTTAATTAGGAATATCTCCAGCCACATTATTTGATTTAGTGATGACATCATATGTTCCAAAATGATAGGATTGTTTTCCTAATAAAACCAAAAGAACTCTATCTCCTGGATTATCAAAATCTTTATAATCTTTATTACTAGTAAGTCTACTTAACCCCATTAATTAAGGTCTACTATATATAGTATTCTTATTTGCAAAATATTAGAATTTAACCCAATAGCCATAACCATATTCACTAACACCATGCAAATGTAACTTATCACTTTATTAGAATTCTATATGTAAAGGCACTTCACCACTTTATGATGAACATTCTAAAATAGTCTCTTCATGATGTGCTTCTTATCCAGCTTATTGTAATTTAATATGATCAGTTCCACTTATGAATCCAAAATGAACTTTAATATTTTCATTTTCATCAAATCCTCCCTCTCTGAATGCTCCATCTCCAATATTAATAACCCATGTTTTAATTTAACCAATAAATTATGTATATTATTATTTTTCTTAGATTAATACTGAGAACACAGCCAAATAAAAATGATTAACTTTTTCTTATCTAAATTCACTCTCTGTAAAAGTATATTTCAAATAACCATAAGTTTACTATTTCTATTAAGAAAATCCATAATATATATATGTCCATTAATCAGCATATTCTCCATAAGCTTCATCTTAAGTAACTAATTTGTATTCACCTAAATTTTGATTATAAGTAATGAAAGTAAATGCTTGATCTCCTCTTATTATTTGTAAAGTTTCTTCATTTTTACCATCTAAATCATCCAATCTCTTCTAAGCCATTGTTATGAGATGAGCAACTTTGCCAGTAACTAATGGTCCACTCCATCTGACCCATCCAGAAATAGAGTACTCTTCTGCTCCTTAATACTTGTCAAATTCAAATTAAATTGGTTCCTCCTTAAGTTATTGAGGAGCTCCCACTAATTGTAATGTTTATCTGGCTACTGGATGAATCTAAGCTTTTTCTGGAAGAGTATTTTAAGTAAAGATTTTCAAAGTTTCAGATGTGTGAATGAATGATCCAGGTCCAAATGAAAATGATATTCTTGCCATTTCCCCATTGAACAATGGAGCTGATGTTTTACCAACAATGAATTCTACATACTCAAGTAAATAATCATGGAAAGTATCAAAGATAACTTCATCAACTTCACCATCAACACCAAATTAAACATAACCTTTAGCCAATCCCTAATTACCATGTCGAATATATCCAAAGTAGACATAATTCCAATGTCCTTCTAATTAAGAAAATTCAATATCATCTTTTAATTCTAATGTTTAAAATTCATAAGAATCTGGAGTCAAAGATATTGATAAAGTATTATCTTTAGGAGTACTTGGTCTGTTAGCATTAGATCTTACTAATTTACCATCAATAGATTCAATAACATAACCTTAAGTACCCATTCTAGCAATAGTATGTATTGGAGCTCTCTTATTCAAATATTTAGGTAATGTACTCAACCATCTAGTCCATAATCCAAAACCATATTCACTCTATCCATTAATTCTCATTCCTTCCTCATTATGAATAATAATCTTATCCACAACATTATCTGCAGCATCATATGATACATATTTTGCTTAATTAGCATCTCCTGCAATGTAAGTGACTGGTTTACCAACTTAATAGACTCCCATAACTCCTTCACCATAATTAAATGTCATTTCAAATCCTAAACCTTCTCTGTATGCTCCTGTTCCAAGATAAATACCAACATATCCAATCATACCATTAAATGGAGATATAACATTATCACCACCTAAAGTGACACTCAAACTGTTGACTAGTTTGTGTTAGATACCTTCATATTTGATTTCTCCTACTAGTCCTGGCTTAATCACTGAACCATAGGCACGTCCTCCATCATTATCATATCCAAAATAAACATAAGTCCAAATAAATTCAACACTTTCAACAGTCTTTGATAAATAAGGTTATCCCTTTGCTCTATTACCCTTAATTGTATAGGTATTAAAATAAATTGTACTCTTAGCACCACCACCATATGTATGATGTATTTCTAATGCTCTATCACCTAAAACTCCTTTTCCTGCAGTTTTGACTTTGTTTGATCTCAAATTAATTATCTAAAATGTATTTGGTTCATCCACTTTTAAATCATCTATCCATCTAAACCATAAACCAACAGCATATTCTTCTATAATTAATTAAGATTCTTGTGGATCAAAATGATATTATTCCCCTTTATCATTTCCATTCAAATGTTTAGGTTTCTAAATTATTGTTTCATCTATCATTGCAGGCACACTTTATGGAGGGTTACTCAAAGTTTTCAGGACTTCATCTAAAGCTTCATCTCCATCGACAAAAGCTGGAGCATCTATATCAAAGAAAATATTGGCGAATTATCCATTTAATCCATTATAATTCATATGCTTACCACCAAATATAATTTTTATATATGAAGGTGGAATGTGAGTAGCCTCTATTTCTACTCTATAGACTCCATTACCTTCCCCATAACTTACAATATAACCAACAGCTTTTCTTAATGGATTACTGTAAGAGAACATAACAAAATACCACATACTATCCATGTTTTCATTTAAAGCAACTGCCTTATCTTTAGTCTTCAATTTTTCACTTGTATCATATGTGCTGAAAACAAAGGAATTATCAAACATGAATATTGCCAAAGCTCTATCTCCATAAAATGAAAAATCTTCATATTCCTCATTAATGGTCATTCTTGATAAGAAATAGTATTCACCATCTTCTCTACTATGCTCCTTAACTCCATGTTCCGTATATCTCACCCAATATCCATATCCATATTCAGATGAATCTTGAAGTAATGATCTATCAGTAAATTCAAATTATTCTGTTGGCTCACCATCAAAATCTGAATTTTAATATTTTGTATTCACAGCTATAACTTTTCTTTCTTAAACACGACCTGAATTAGCTCTATGTTTTGGTGGTTAAAATTATGTTGGTTCATTTGGATTAGGTTCTTCTCTTAATGATTAGATTTTTAATGAACGATCATCACTAGATTTTTATTTTTTCATTTTCTTTTCATCATCTTAGTTCTTAGGTGGTTCTTTATGATTTTCATCTTATTTCTATTCACTTTCTTATTTTTATTCACTTTCTTATTTCTATTCTCCTTCTTATTTCAATTCACCTTCTTATTTCTATTCACTTTCTTATTTTTATTCACTTTCTTCTTTCTAATCACCTTCTTATTTTTTATCATCAGTTTTATGTTCATCAACTCTTTTAACTTTTGATGATTCAATTTAAATATCTTTTTTATCATCTTAACTTTTAGATTGATTATCAACAACTATATCTTCATCATTTTCTGTTTTTTAATTATCACTACTATCTTAGGTTGATTTTTAATCTCCTTTTTCTTCGACCTTTGATTCTTAATTTGTATTTTATGTTTCTTATGTACCTGATTCTGAATCATCAGTGCTTGTTGTTTTTGAAGATTCTTATGTAGTCTTTTTTTATGTTTATTCTTAAGATGATTAATCAGTTGATTCTTATTTTTAATTTTATTAAGAATCATTTTTATTTGTATCTTTTTTTTCATCACTTTCATCATCTTTTACATCAGTCTTATTATCTGTTTCAACTTCAGTAGAATCATCATCAGCTTTTCCAATTGTAGATTTATCAACAGTCTAATTTTCTTTTGTTTCTGATTCAACTTATGTTAATGGATTATCATGAGTTTCAACAATCACCTACTATTAATCAGTTTCAATATTTTCTTGATTTTAATCTCCATTTGTTTAATCTTTAGAATCTCCTTATACTTTCTCCTTATCATTATCAGTTTTTTTACTATCATCTTCATCATTATTTAGACCTTCTATTTTACTCACCTTAGCTGCCTACACTACGAATTCAGCCTCTTCTTATTAATTTTATTATTCATCAACAATCTCTTTAACTTCTCCTTCAATCTCATGACCTAAGGCAACATATCTTTTATTTCCTTTAATTTCTTCAACGATTTCTTTTGGCACTATTTTTTTAACTTGTTTTTTTTATGGTTTTTAGGTTTCATCCTAATAAGTTGGATATGTATAATGCTGAGGTTCATGATAAATGTAGTCAGAAGGAGTTTCAACATCTTCCTCTTCAAAATAATAATAAACTATTTCTTCTGGTTCTTCATCAAAATTTCTTACTTCATCATCAGGGTCATTATCTATAATTATAGTAGGTTTTTTTATTTCTTGGTCACACACTCTTTTTAATGTTTGAAGCTAACTTATCTTTTATCTCAGACCTTGAGTACGTTTTGCATATTAGCATTAATTTAAGTATTAGTGAATTTACTCTTAAGTCTACCTCAAATGAGCTATGATTTTATTTGCTAGAGCAATCTTTTCCTCATTAGCTAAGTTAGAATAAAAATGAATACTTTAAGTGCCATTTAATTAAGCTACATATTCAAGGGCATCTTCTACTTTACAAGCTGCCCATTTGTTTTATGTAAATATACTTTGTAGTGATTTACTCACTTTGCTTTATATTTGCAAAAGCATAGATGAATGAATGACTGATATTGTACCTTTAGCTTTTTCTACTATGCTTATAACTTAATTAATTATTGCAAGATCCTTGATTAATTGTTCTCGATTATCTATAATATCAACCCATCTAGCCAACTCTCCGATTGTGTATTCAAAATCGATGTGGCAATTTAAACGAGAAACATCTAGATTTTATGCTTCAGTGTAGGTCATCCCTGAAATTTTATATAAATGTACCTTGAGTTCTAAGCTCTGATGCTTCTATTTTGGTAGAGATAACCACAACCATCAACAACAAGAATGTTATTAAGGTTTTCTTCATTTATGTTAAAAATATATATGCTTTAAACCGTTTTTATATTTGCTATTAAATTTATTCTTCCCTAAATACACTAATACATGGTCACTATATTTAGATAATAGTAAGATTTTAAGCTCTCCTTAATGGAATACACTCTCTCCTCTTTTATAAAAAATAGACTAAATAATAAAATTATTATATGCCTTTGATAATATTCCTAAAGATTATTAAAAAATTTATAACAATTTTTTTATTATTTCAGAATACCCCAGACTCAAAAAAATTAGCAATCAAATTAGACTAAGAAAATATTATACAAATTTGTTAAAATATAGTTTATTTATTAATTAAATAAAAACTTATGAATTTTAATTCTTTCTTAGATTCTATTTTAATACCAATAAGCTTAGTGCAATATTGTGAATCTGAATGTATTAATAAAAATATCAATTTATTTTCATAAAAATTCAGCTTTATACATTTAAAATTAGTTACAATTATTTAATCTTCTCTCATAATATATAGTTCATCTATTAACAATTTCATATTCTTAATAATTGAATATTAAATAAAAATAAAAAATGGTTGATAGCAATTAATCCAAAATTTGAATAAGTTTTAAAATTAATAATCTATTTATTAAGAGTAATGGAGAAAATGAAAAAAATAATTAAGTTGATCAAAAGATATTAAATAAAATAAAGAATTATCTGATATAATGAATTAATTGATGAAAGATATTATAAATTATTTTAGTTTTTTCATTTATGAATAGAGATCATTCATATTTCTATTAATATTTTTAGAATATTATAATTACTTTATCTTTTGATCATTAAAAAAAAATAGAAATAATAAGAATCGATATTATTGAATAATTTTGAAAATAAATTTTAATTTATAGTAAACTTCCAAAGATGGATTAGTTTTTAGTTTTGATTATAATATAATTAATTTATAAAATGAGACCAAAAGAATCAGATGTATATAAAAGAATTCGTTTATTGGGATAAGGATCATTTGGAAAGGCTTATCTTTGTGAATGTTTAAAAGATCATTCATTGTGTGTGATTAAACAAATGGACATGAGATACTTAAATGATTAAGAGAAAAAAGTAATTTATTTAGCTAAATAAATCAGGAAACATACAGAGAATTCAGAATAATGTCTGAATTGAAGCATCCAAATATAATTAATTTTAGAGAGGTTTATAAGACAGTAAAAGGAAAATTATGTATAGTAATGGATTATGCTGAAGGTAATCATATATAAAATATAAATTAGGTGGTGATTTAGCATAAGTGTTAAAGAATACAGATGGATATATAGCAGAGTCTAGGATTTTGGACTGGTTTACTTAAATTTGTCTTGCAATAAAACATTGTCACGATCGTAAAATAATTCATCGAGATATAAAAACTTAAAATATGTTCCTAACAAAAGACATGAGAATTCGTTTAGGAGATTTTGGGATAGCTAGATTATTGAACAATACGAAGGACAAAGCAAAAACAATGGTTGGTACTCCTTATTACTTGGCACCTGAATTATTGGAAAATAAACCATATAGTTTTAAAGGTGATATATGGTCTTTAGGAGTTATACTCTATGAAGTAATTCTAACAATAATTACAAATTAGATGTGTGCTAAGACTCCTCCATTTACTGCTGAATCGTTGGCATAATTAGCTCTAAAAATAGTTCGTGGTTAATTTTAAGCTATTCCAAATGTTTATTCATCCCAATTAAGAACGTAAAACTAATCTTATATTTAAACAAAGATAGCCTTGTGAATTAGCTTCTAACAGTAAATCCTGAAAAAAGACCAGCTGTTCATTAAATTCTTAAGATGCCCATTATTACAAATAGGATTAAGAATTTCCTATCAGAGACTATGAAGAGAAGTGAATTCGATCACACTATATTGCACAATTAGTAGATTCATCTGTCTGATACAACTATTCCTTTGATTGATGATTAAGATGCAAAAGGTGATTTAACAGAATAAACTTCTAAAGAGAATCATATAAAATAATTACCTGGAATAAAGAGTCCTCCTATAAATTTATAGAAATAAAAAAAAAATAGTGATTTAAAGAAATTACCTGAAATAAAATTATCCAAACCTGAAAGACCTCCGATAACAAGATAATAAACCAGTAGATAATAATTAAATTAACTTCCAAATTAAAGAGCATAACCATCTACTCCTGAAGTAGGTATTATTAATAAACATAAAAATGGTCGTTTTATTACAAAAGAAAGTCCTGATTCTTATTAAGGTTCAGATTAAGTTATAGAAGAAGGAACTAAAAATAGTGAGTAAGAAAGTCCTAAATTCTTTAAAAAAAATATTGAAATTAAACCTCATATAAAAAATTTAAAAGGTCTAACTAAATTAGATTAAATTTAGAAGATTAAATTAGGATTAAAATCAGAGGATGAATGTAAAAAGCCTATTTATCGAGTTCATGCATAACCTAAATTTTTTGAATTAAAAAAATAATAGGAACGTAAAGTTTCTGAAGAAATTATTTCTAGTCATAAAAAATAAGAAGAACAATAATAGAATCAATTAGAAAAAATATCTGAAACTCCAGAATAAAAATTACTTAATTAATCAGTTTTTGATTTTTAAAATTCTGAAGAAAATTAAGATAATAACAAAAAATAAAGTATTCTTACACCTGCTTTTGAAATTCAGAAAGAATAATAATAATCTCAAGTACTTGATATTATTTAAAAGAAACCAGTAAAAATAAATAAAGAGTCAATATCTAAAACTGATGAAGAGAAAAATAAGAAAAAAATATACAAAATTATTTATAGAGATCCTTTTTAAAAAAAACCTGTCTAGAAACGAAATAGTGAAGAAGACATGAAAGAAATGATAAATGAACTGAAAAATGTTCTTGTAAATAAATTACATATATCAATTAGTCGGATTAATAAAAAAAATTGGAAGAACCTATTATTCAAAATGAAATTGATTCTGAAGATTCTAGAATATATTCTGAAGAATCAAGTGAAGATCTAAGAGATGATGCTGATACCTTACCACCATAAACATAAGTTAATACATGGATGTAAAGTAATAATTCAGAGGCAGTTAATATATCAAAATCATAACCAGAACCAAGGAGGAAAATTAATAGTAATTAAAGAAACCTAAAAGATAAATTGGTTGATGAATTGGGACTTCATTTTGAATAATTATTTAGATTAACTAAATTATGTTCACATTAAGAGGATTTAGGAAAATAACATATAAAAATGGCTATTATGGATAATCTTAGAATTGATGAAAATAGGGCAGAAATTTGTGCAACTCTCTTGGTTACATTAGCCACAATTGGTTACTGATATTTTTGAACTTTAAAAAGTTTTTCAAGTTTTGATTTAATTTCATTCTTCAACATATATATTATATAACAAAAAGAGGAACAATAAAGAGATCATTCAAATTTACTTATAATTTTTTTATAAAATGAAGAAATATATATTAATAAATAAAATAGAAGCAAAATAAATATCATGATTGACAAAGATTTTATGCAAGATTTAGAAGAAGAGGAAGAACAATAAATTATAGAGGTAAAACAATAGATTGAGGATGAAACCACTTGTTCTTTACTAAAAGATAATAAATTTCTATAGCATTACCAAAGAGTTTTAGAAGTATCTGCTTATCAAATCTAAGATGAAACAATAGATGCAAGTCATGAAGAATATCATCTAATTTTAAGATCAAATGAATATAGTACAATCATTGATTAAGAGTATTAATTTTCAATAAAAAAAGGATTTTAAATATACATAAATAATTGAAAGATGTTTACCATAAAAAGTTTCCAGAATTGGAAAAAATAATCATAAATCCAATAGAATATGTTAAGATAGTCCGATTAATTCGAAATGCAATAGATCTTTAGTCTATAGATTTTTCATCACTTTTAAGTGGTTAATAAGTTGTTGCTGTCAATATAGCAGCTAAACAATCATTAGTTGGTTAACTTTCAGAGGAAGATATTTCTTTGGTTGATTAATTGTGTCATAAGATTGAAACTTTAGATAACTACAATTAAAAAAGTAAATATTAAATAATATTATTAGTCATATGTTATATTGAATCAAGAATGAAATATATAGCTCCAAATGTTTCAGCCTTAATAGGTACATAATTGGCTTCAAAATTGATGGCAGCTGCCGGAGGAATAGAAAAGTTAGCTAATATGCCAGCAGGTAATATCTAAGTAATGGGAAGTGTTAAGAAAAATATGTTGGGAATGAGTAGAGCAATGCATAATAGAAACACTGGTTATTTTGGAACATTAGAAATTGTACAGAAAGCATCAGGGAAATTACAGAATTAAATTGTAAGGATGTTAGCAACAAATGTAGCCAAAGCTGCAAGAGTTGATAATATGAAGACTTGTCCCAAAGGAAATGTAGGAGAAGATTTAAGAATAAAAATGATGAAAAGATATTAAAAAATATAGGAGCCTCCTCCTGCAAAATTAGAGAAACCTTTACCTATTCCGGATGAAAATAAAAAGAGAAGAAGAGGAGGAAAAAGGTTTAGAAAATAAAAAGAAAGATTGGCTATGACAGAAGTGAGGAAATATGCAAATAGATTAAAGTTTGGATTGGAGGCTGAGGATGAAATTAAAGATACAGGAATTGGGTTGGGAATGTTAAGTTAAGGTATTGGTAAAGTGAAGTTACACATCAAAAAAGATAAACCAATTGGTCTAAGCAAAAAATTATAATAAAGACTTGCACAAACTAAGACTTAATCTGGAGGTGGTACAGGTGGATTAACTTCAAGCATTGCTTTTACACCTACATAAGGAATTGAGTTAATAAATCCAGAACCTGGATATTTATCAAAGGTTCCTGATTAGTATTTTAATAGAGAATCTGGGTTTAGAACTGTTTTAAGAAAGGAAAGAGAATTTGGAAGATAGCATTGATTAGTTTATTTAGTTTAATTTTTAAACACATAAATATAAATTAATTTTGTATATTGTCATTACATCTAAATAATTAAATAGGTTTTTAGTATTATGTGAATGGTAAACAACATAATCTCATTATACTAATGATATTAGTGAGAAATACTAATATTTTTGAAGGTTAGTTCCAAAAAGAGGGAATAAAAGTTGTTTCATAATAATTATTATTAATTTAAATATGATATAAAGTTCCACTCGTAACCGTTCTGAGCAATTAATCTATTAACGCAGACAATAAGAATAATAAGTGGGCAAGTTGAACACTAAGTTAAGATAGGAGCATTATGAAAAAACCTTTGCAGCTTGGGAAAATAAGGGAAAGGATGTTGCCAATATGTAATATACAAAGAATAGGTTTGCAAAATATTATATAAAAAGACTGCAATAGATAAGAACTGAGGCTGAAGCACATAAAAATTAAAGAAAAGAAAAATTGGCTGCATTGTTAAATTCTGAACATTAATAATATTAACAAGAAATTAAGGCTATGGTTGAAACTCCAGAATAGGTTAAGGAGAGAATGATGAAAGAAGTAGCAGAATTAAAATAAAGAAAAGAATTTGAGAGAGCTAAGTAGGCAGAAGCTGCATATGAAAGAAGATTCAGAGATAATGCAGATGAACTCAGATTGGTAAACTAGTAATTTAATGAATAATAAACTGTTGCTTATAGGAATATGTAGATGATGGAAAAATAGAAAATGTTGGAGGATTAATATGAAGGTATTTTTAATTTAAAATCTAATACTAGAGGAAATGATATATGCTGAATTATATAGAAGGGAAATTTTAAAGAAGGAAAGACTAGAAAAAGAAAAAGAGATTTAATAGAAAGCTAAAGTAGATGAAAGGAATAAAGTTTTAGGGATTTAGTCTACAATGAATGTGAATAAGTTTTAAAGAATTAAGGATGAGATTGAATAAGAGAAGCAGATGCTTGTAAAATAATAAAAAGATTAAAATTTTAGAGAGAAGAATGGAAGAGAGAAGAGGAGAGACATAAATAAAGAGAAATTTAACATTTGAATTATAAAAAGGAAATAAATTCAGAAATTGCATTAAATAATGAATAATAAAAAGAGTATAAAAAATAAATGAAGCAAGAAGAGAAGAAATAAGATAAAGAAATGATATAATAAGTTTTAGAAAGAGAAGAGGCTATAGCTAGGATGGAATAGGCTGAAAAACTTAGATAAAAAGAAGAAACAAGATAATTTTTACTTAATTTTAAAAATAGAACAAATGAATATAGTGTAAATGATTAATTGAAAGAAAGATTAATTAATGAAGAGAATACTCGTTAATGGGAAACTAAAGAGGCTAAATGGAAGGCTGAAGATGTAATTATACAAATAATTTTAGGATGCTAGAGTTAAATTAATGTATGAAGTTTATGCATAGAGAGCAGAAAATGTAGAGTTAAAGAGGAAACTTATAGAGGATGAAAAAAATATTAAATAGTAAGATAAAGTGGAATTATTACGATAGTTGGATTTATATTAAAAAGAGCTTGAGGAAAAATAACGCTTAGAATAAGAAGTATTATATAATTTTATTTGAAGAAAATTATGTAAACCAAACATAATTTGTTAAATCAAATGGATGAGAAGAAATAAAGATAACAATAATTAAGAGATAAAAAACAGCAAGAAGAAGAAGATCTTCGAAGGAAGAAGGAAGAATATGATAAAAAAATAGAAATGGAAAAAGCTAAAGGGCGTGTTTTGCTAGATGAACTTAGAAAATAAAGACCTTATTGAAATATTATAATCAATTCAAGTATATTATTCTAAGAGTCTTTTCTCGATAGTTCGATAATATTGTTTCTTTAAAAGTTTGATTTCAGCAGATTAAGTTTTCTTGTCATTCTTTTTGCATTAGATGATAGCTATGGCAGCAAGCTTATTATAGTATTCTATCTTATCCAATTTGTGTTGCATTGGCAGTTAATATAAAAAATTGATTAAATTAAATTATTTAATTATTGGATATGTCAACTCCTCAAACAAAATCAAAATTGGTTCAAACTTTTGGTAGAAAGAAGAATGCTGTTGCTAGTGCAAGTGTAAGAGAAGGAAAGGGTACATAATACATTTAATCAAAGGTTTGGTTAGAGTGAATGGTGCTCCAATTGAATTGGTGAACCCAGCTCCTTTGAGACAAAAGGCTCTTGAACCACTTTTGCTTCTTGGTTAAGTCAGAACAGGTAGAATAGACATTAGAGTCACTGTAAGAGGTGGTGGAAGTACTGCATAAATTTATGCTATCAGATAGGTAGAATGGCAATAATATATTGTATAGGCAATTAGCAAAGGTGTCGTGGCATACTATTAAAAATATGTAGATGAAACCTAAAAGAGAGAAATTAAAGATCTTTTATTGCAATATGATAGAACTCTCTTAGTTGCTGATCCAAGAAGATGTGAACCAAGAAAGTTCGGTGGTAAGGGTGCCAGAGCCAGAAGACAAAAGAGTTATAGATGAAAATTTTAATCACAGTACATTAAAAATAATATTAAATAATTAATGGAATTTTAGTGTTGCTAATGTTAGACAGAATTCAATTAGGCAAGTCATTCTCCATTTGTTTTGCCAAGTTGTGGACATTCTGTTTGTTATAAGTGTGTTCATTAATATATATCTGGTGGTCAATAATTAAAATGCAAAGAGGATGGGTAACAATAAAAAATATTAAAGAATTGAATGTAATGTCCATAGAGATCAAAAATGCTTTCCTTAAAATTAAAGTATTCTCACTATGCTTAAAAAGCGTTAATCGTCAGCAAAGAGTTTAACAACTTTTCAAACTCCTGATGATCAACATTCTTATAATTCTACTAAAGAAATGGGGGAGTGTTTTTCTGAAAAATCTACATCATAATTTTTATCAACAGAAGTTATTCCAAAGACATCAATATGTCAATTACATTAAAAAGAATTGGAACTTATATGTCAGGAAGATGGTTAATGTATTTGTGTTAATTGTGCTTTATTTGGACCTCATAAATTCCATAATTATCTACCTATTGAATAATTTTGGAAATAAATAGAGCTAACTGTTAATGAGATATCATGTTTATATAAATAAATTCAAAATGAAAGAAACAATAAAGAATAACTTGAAAAGTTACTATTATTAGGATTTAATCAATAGTTATGTTGCATAAAATCAAAGATTGATTTATATTTTAGCGATTTGAATAAATAAATAGATGAAATCAAGATCCAGACTCTTCATAAAATTAATTAGGCTTATGAGAATTCATAAGAGATTATTCTAAATAAAATTGATAGTGAGTTTTCACATCTATAAATTGAAGCAGATTAATGGCTTAATTAAGCTAGCTATTAATTAAGTCAATTAGTAGATGAATCATAATAGTCAAAGTTTAGGAAATTCGATTAAATCATTATAAATTCTGGATAAACTATTTTGAAATAATTTAATTTAATTAAAGAATCAATAACTATTTTAATTGATTCAACTTAGAAATCTCATGAAATATAGGTTCCTATATAAGTAATTTCTAATTATATTTCCTAATTAATGGGACTAAATAATAATAAATATGAAAATACAAAGCAAGATTCTATAGGCCTTTTGCCTTCTGATCTTTCTGATAAAAATTTATAAAATGAATAAAATGAATTTCTATTGGTTGATAGATAACCTACTGAAGAAATAATTAAAATCACAGAAAAAAAACCTTTGAAAATAGATGTTGGAAAAGTTAAAAGAAACTCTGGAGTTTTTTCACCATCTTAATAACCTACTTAGCCAACTTCACCTGCATATGATGTATCAAAATAGATAAACTTCAATTCAGTCTAATCTTAATTCTCTAAATAAAAAGAAAGAAGTGCAACTTTATCAAATAGTGAATTACTTGAGACTTCCTAAATCTTAGTATAAAAGTAATCCAAATTTAATAATGGTATCTAAAATAGTAATTAAAAATAACCTAAAAAATTTACAAATAATTAAAAAATGAATGAAAAACTATCTTAAACCTTAACTATAATTCATTAAGACAAAAATGAAATTGTAGATTTAAGTTAAATAGGTATATTCTTTTTAATAATTTAGATTTTAATGATTAAATAATTTAAATACTAGGAGAATATTTAAAAGGAACATAAAATATTAAGGTTTTGAAATTAAGTAAATGTTTATTAGTGGATGATTTATTTTAAAAATTAATGATAAATTTATCGGAATTCAAGTAAAAATTTATATAAATATAGGATTCATACTTTGCATCTTCAACAAAATTTATTAACAGAAAAATCCCTTGATTATATTTTAGTTCATTTGAAATAAAATCCTTAATCATAATTGAAATTATTTTATATGAACTAAAATTCTATTGTAGCATCTAAAGCAAAGAAAAAAATAGATGAGCTTAAAAAATATGGTGTCTAAATATCATTATGATTTTAATTAATTTTTATTATATTGAATATTGTTTTATCAATTTTAGAATTATTTAGAATGAAGTAAAAATCATTATTTTTTTACCTTTTAAATAATTAAACTAGAGTTGCAAGTCTATTAAAATAAATTTTTTTATTCAAAAAAGTAATATGAATAAAATAATTTAGAAATAAGTTTTGAATAATTAATTATAATTGATTAAAAAAAAGAAATTTAATTTAATTTAGAACTATTTTGTTATAATTCTAAGAATAAAATTTTATAAATTATATATATTTTCATCAATTATTTTATTACTAAGATATTCATTTAAAATCTTAGTATATAAGTGATTAAATAAGTAAAATTAATTCCAGAATAAAAATTTAAGTGATAAAATATTTTTAAATTTCTATTATAAATAATTATTTAAGGAACTCTTATGAATAAAATTAATTGATAAAATGAAGATAACATTTAAATAAAATTAATATAGTTTTTAATTATCTTATATAATTATGTTTGAATTATAACATACTAATAGTTTCAAGACAAAATTTAGAATATCTTAAACTCTAAAATATAGAAATTAATATTATTAAGTTATTTGATAAAATTATTATTAATTAGATCATTCCCAATCATTTTTTTAGGCACTAAACATTAAATGTTTATTTGGACTCTTATTTCTATAAATTTTGATTATAAATTTTACCTATCTGGAACTGGAAGCATTCTAATAGGACATTATGGCTTTTTATAAGTACTCTCATCTAGTCTTTAATAATCTTTTTGGTAGGATGAAAGCTTTTCCATATTAACTCCTCCAAAAGGAGATTAATTATTATGTTTTATTGGAGCAGCTCTATTTCCTTTTTAAGCTGTATAATCTTCTTAATATTTAGAAGAAGAATTAAATTAAATTTTTGTAGGAGTGAATGAACTGTCATGCTATTTAATTTAATGTTAATTAGATATTGGTTATGGTCTGAAATTTTCACTATATGTAGTACTAGCCTAAATTTTATTTGGGTTTTCTTAATAAAAATACTTAGGCTTCAATTATATTGGCAATGTTTGATAAGGTTAATACCTTTAATTATATTCTGTTGAGGAAACAAAGGGTCTATGGTATGGTATTGTTGTTTCTTAAGTTATTCTTGTTTGTCTTTCTGGAGTCTTTTATGGAGTATAATCTCTTTAATAAGATGAAACAAATGATTGGGTTCCATAATTGATTTTATATTATTCAGGAACAATGGGGGTAGTTTTCTTAACATCCCATTTTACATAGGATTTACGATTTGTAGTGTCGAAATGTGATGGATTCACATGTAATTGTTAAGGAGGACATTTGTCTTTTCCACATGTACAAATCTAACATACACATTTACCATTGTATTATGATAGCTTAGATGCTGATTTATCTGGTGTCTTAAAACCATTGTGAGGGGACTTATTCATTCAATAAATTTTATTTATTATTAAAAATTGCAGTAAAAATGTTCCGCCAAAGTCCATACTACTATGAAGTTAGATAAGAAGTTTTTAAGGAAATAAACAATGATTTAGCAAAGGAACTATCATTAATGAAGATATCTGACTAACGATTAGATTAGACAGTTCCTATAACAAAAAAAAGTGTGTCAAAACAAGAATTCATTAGTTATTGTATTTCTTAAAAATTATGATTAAGTTTATAAAAAATAAAAGTAGAATGAATAAGTAATGGAAACAGAAGAAGAAAATAATTTAGTTTGTAAAAATTGTGATAGTAAACCATTAAATGCAAATACAATATGTGTAGAATGTTCTCGATTAGCTTGTCAAAGATGCATATATTAATGTTATTATTGTGGATAGTTTTGTTGTTTAATTTGTTGCATAAAAATATATCTACATAATGGAGATTTTGTTTCTTGCTTACATTGTAGTTAGAATTAATGAATAATTATATAATATTTATGCTTTTAAATTAAGGCGCTCAAAGTTATTCTTAACTTATATATAAAAATATAAATATTCAAAATAATCATTTTATATACAATATTTCATTAAAGAAAGTGAATCAAATAAATATAAATAGATCTTAATATAAATAAAGTATATCAGAATTTTGATTTATTGAAATATATATTATTATTAATTTTTGATATAATTTTAAGAGTTATTTAATCATTGATTAATATATTAATTTTTATTCCATTTTATAAAACTTTAACTTAACTTAGATTTTTTATAATTGATATTTGTTCTTTCTAAAATTCTTAGTGAAAAATAGCCTTATTCAAATAAGAAACATGAAATTATTATATATGATACATCAATTTAAGAGAATTATTATATGAAATTACTGTAGTAATTAATATTTATTAAAAATCAACAATGCTAGCAAAGTCTTAATAATGTATTTATCAGATGAATGTTTAGTTTTTAGATAAATTGATCTGTTCGGATAAAGTATTTCCTTGAATTTAAACGGAGAAGATCAATATAAAACAGGTGGAGGAGGTTTTTTATCTTGCTTGATTGTGGCAATCGTTGCGATATTTTTTTAATCAAACATTATAGATTTCTTAGGAAAGACTAATATCACTGCAGAGACATAAACAGTATTTGAAGAAAATCCTGATAGGATTAACTTTACATCAGATAATTTTATGTTTGCTGTTTCTATTGAATAAAATAAAGCTTTCAATACAAATCCATTTTTTAACATTTCTATAAAAGCAAGGTAAATTTATTTTACAAATAAAAGAACATATGTAAGATTGAGTAATGGAACAACTATTAAATATGAAAATCTAACTAATTTGATTCCATGTACTTTAGATAGATTTCAAAAAATATTCGATAAATATGATCTTAATTTTACAGATCAATACAATTAATTAGGATTATCTACATGGTTATGTCCAGAGTAATATCTTCATTTATTATATAGTCTTAATTATTCAATAACAGTTGGTGGAAGATATTCAAGTGAGTATTTAGATTTCGCCAAAATTGAAATAACAGATTGTAAAAATGATACTTCAAAAAATGCATATTTAACTTGGCATCCAACTTGTGCATCTAAAGATGTTATGGAAAAATGGTTATCAGGGGAAGGTTCTTATAGAATAAGAATGTATTTCAATTCTAATTCAATTAGATATATGACAAATACAGTTGTCAATCCATCAAAACCAACTGATTATATTCAAGGTTATTTAGATGATGAAGTCTATTTTTAATTTGTTCCATTTAAATTATCTCGGTAATCTGATATATTTTTTAAAAAATACTAAATAAATACTGATTAAAGTTTAGTTCCAGTATTTGATGATTAATAAATAGAGAATGTATTTATGAAAGAACCTGCAGATTTTAGAGATATTACTACTCTAGGATCTCCAACAGATAAATAATATATAGCTTTATATTTTAGAAGAAGTCCTTATACAAAATATATTACAAGATAATTTTAAAAAGTAGATGACTTATTGTCATACTTAGGAGGATTTGTGAATATAGTCGTTGTATTTTTAGGTTTCTTTGTAGCATTCTATAATAGATAACAATGTAAATATTTATTATTCAATATTTTAAAGATCTAATAGAACTTGCAAATAAAGTTTATGACTTTAATTTTGAACATGGTAAAAATTCTTAAAAGATAAGAAATGATGATTTGGTTAAAAAGATTACTTAGATCAAGAAAAAGGCACAAACGCCTAAACTTTTAGAGATATAAGATTCAAATTTGCCAAATAAAAAATCACTCACTTAACCTTTATAAGATGAAGAAATACGAATACAAGTATTGAATGAAGAGACTCCTTATAATACAACAAATTAAAAATAAATGATCAAAAATACTTCATCAGAAATTAAATCTGAATTTTAAAGATAATAAGAGGAAATAGTATCCAAACTAGGTTTTAAGAGTAGAAAAGAATATCTAACATCATAAATATCTTAAGTTCTCACTAGAGCTCAACCCATATAATTTACATTCAAATTCCTTTGCCATTAAATTACAGGAGGGAGATGCTTTAAAGATAAAACATCTATTCTACTTATGAAAGCAGTGTATATTTACTTATTTATTTAATAGTGATAGAATTAATTCTGATATAGATATTTATGTAATTTTAGAAAAAGTTAAAGAAATCAATCTATTAAAAGATTTAATATTAGATAAAAATTAATAAATTTTATTTAATTTTGCTCCAAAATAAATAATTGCTCTTTCAGAATAGAAAAAATTGCCTAGTAGAGTTGAAGTTTATACGTAATTATATAATTAAATAATTTTAGATAAAAATTGACAGAAAATTCAAATTCTTCTATGTCAGTTGGTTAAATTGCATAAATGGCTATGAAAAAATATTCAGAAGATAAATAAGCAAACCTTCCTGCATCTATTAAAGCATATTAAAAATTATATAAGGTAAATAGATATTATTGAGTAAGGCTTATGATAAAATAAATGATCCTTAAAAAGAATTAGGTAGAGTTAATGAAATACTTATTGATAAATTAGGCAAAGAAATACGGGATATATTTGAAGTTTCTTAATTTATAGATTTCGATCTCGTTGAATAAAAATTGAGTCATAGAATTAAATATATACTTAGAAGAAAAGTAAAATAAATGAGGTAGAGCAAATCAAGATCTTAACTAAAAAAAGAGTTTGACGATGATTCTTCAGAAAATTTTGGACTTTTTAGTTAAGAAAGAAATAACAAACCTGATAATAGTGGAATATTGCAAAGAGAAATATTATTTCCTCATAGAAATTTTTGAATTACTGAGATAACATTGCAAATTAATGCATAATTATAAAAATATTTGATTATTTGACTATTTCTCAAATCAATTCGACTGAGTCCAAAATGACTTTGCTTTCTTTATTTGCCACACTAAGGAAAAGACTTAAATCACTTACATATGCTTTTGCCATTCTAGATACATCTTTTTGAATGACAATATAACCTATTATAAATTGAAATCCTTTTTACTTTATGTTGGAATATTATTTTCAACATATTCAACAGCTTATCTTCCCTTTAAAGTTCTACTCAAAGCTTGTTTAGCACAATACCAATTAATATCATGAATCTCAGCACCAGCTAAATTCATTGCCCAAGTTTATTTGTTTTCTTATTTTAATCTAATGTATACATCTAACTGGATAGGCTTTGAAAATTCTTTAATAATATGGCACTGGCCATTAAGATGTTGACATAACTCTATCAACAATAGGTCTTTCATGTATAGGTCCCCACAAAGCTCCAGAAAAGCATGCTACTGATTTATTATGTGTGAGACGAATCATTTTAATTATTTTTAATATACATATATATATATATATATATAAATTATATGAAGGTTCATAATTTTTCATTGGTTTTATTATCAAAATAGGAATTATAATCAAGCCTTGTTAACAATTAAAATAATGCAGTTTAATTTGTACTTTTTGTTAACAACTAAATCAAATTAAATAGAGCAATAAATTAAGTATCAAATTCTACCATAAGTTTATAACATTCTTTATTTATTAAAGAATGATGTTACATTTCAATTCTATTAACTAATTCAATGTATTTATGTACAAATTTAATTATTTGAAAAATGTTTTTGACAATCTATTATAAATTTAAAAATAATTGATTAGAAACTGATTATTCAAATTCATCCATTATTTTTCTCATTAATTCAAAGTTGATTTCATTTTACATTCTTGATATCATTTTAGACCATTAGACAGCAATGATATCCATTTAAAAATAATGATAAAATGCATTAACAACATGCATTAATTATGTATGCATTCCTAATATATATTTACAATCTTTTTTCTTAAATTTTTTTGTTAATTTAATCCATACTTATTATAATTCAAATTAAGCATGTCGAATAGGAAATAAATACCTAAAGAATAATTAAAATTTTTCTTATAAAGAAGGTGTAATAAGTAAAGATAATGGATATTCTACTTAATATTTTAATGTAAGACCACTCCAAGAAGCATCATTTAAAAAATTACTACCTATCATTTTCCATGTATACAAATCAACAATTTAACCATATTATTTAATACCTACCATACATCTACCTAATTCCAATTAAAAATATTTTTAAAATTTAAAAGCTACCTTTTTCCATTAAGAAGGTGGTAATATATCAGTTTTACATTAAGTATCACTTTAAGTATCATCTATAATTAATGATAATTCATCATTTTAATAATTTATTTTTAAACTATGTAAATCTCCTTCTGAAAAATCTATTTTATCCAATTTCCATTTATAAATTATTTCTTCTTTAAATTTAATTTTAGATTCCACTGATAATGAAGATACTTTCTATTAATCCAATTTTAATCTAATAAATACTCCATTTTCTTCATCTTAACAAAATAACAATACTAAACTTGTACTTAAATCTTATGGAACTTATAAAATAGAATATCCTCCCAATGGTTTTTATAATTATTATTTAAATTTAAATACTATTTACAATGTAAATCCATTTTCAATTGATTATTTAACATCTCTAAAAACACCACTCCAATCTTCAGGACCTCTAGCAGGTCCCATTCTCAAAATATTAATTGTTTAAATCACATTATTTTTAATCTATAAATTATTTAAGGATTAGAATGTCTTATATTCAAATCCATTATTGTATATAAACATTTCCATTTTCTCTGTTTAATCATAATCCATTTTATGAAGATTAAAATTTAATTCTTATAAAGCTTATTATGTTTAAGGTAATTATAAGATTGATTAACAATCAGACAAAAATTATTATATAAAATTACCATTATTAAGTAGTATAAATAAATAAAAGTTTTTTAAATGAATAAATAATTCTTATTTATTAACAATTACTTAAACTAATTATTCACCCACTTATTTCTATAATTAATCAATAATTCTATTAAATGTAAAGGAATCATAAACTTCAATTTCTTTTATTAATTATTAATGTTCATTAATGAACAATTCTTGTTATCCTTTCAAAACTTTTACCGCTTTTCCTATAAATAATATTTTATCAGCCATCTATAAAGTAATAAAATGTAATGGTAACATCTAAATATTTAATGTAAATGATGTATCCCAATTGTATTCATGTTAATCAGTTTTCTTTTTCTCATCTATTCTTTAAATAAAAAATTCATCTGAAGTGTCTAAAATTTAACCATACTACAACCAGGAAGATAATTATTAAAATAACACTTCATAACATGCTGATAAAATGTTTTAATAAATTTATTAAAGTCTATCATTACCTGTCAAAGTTCTTTCATAAAGATAATCTAGTATTTATCCCCCGCGCATATTGTGTTACTGTATTATGTTAATGGATGTATGCAAATTCAATAAAATTTAATAATATGCTTATAATCTTACATTTAATTAGGATACTATGAACATTTTTTCATTCAAATACTCTTATTCCAAAGTCAATATTGTTTATCTATAATCATTCAAACTATTGTCTATTCCATATACCAAAGCCTATGATATTTAATTGTTGTTTTACTTTAATGTAGCTGCTTTTCTCATCTTGATTTTATAAGAAATTATCTATTTGCTAATAATGATATCCTAAATTCACAATTTGATTCAATTGAACTATTTCAGGTTTTGAAAAAAGATTCAAAGATTCATCAATATAAAAAGGTGAGTTATCAAATTATTTGACAAATGACCCTGGTTTACCTAACAAAGAAAATAATAAGTCGTGTAGCATAATTTAATTTTCAATTTTAATAATTTAATGATAAATAATATATATATTATATTTATTATATTCTATAATTATAATAAAGAGACTTATTAAATATCATAAATTAACTTGAATTTGTGTACAAAGAACCACATAATTTTCATTAAATAATTAAATTATTCAAATACCCAAATTATTTATTAATAATAATAATAATAATAAAATTTAAATTAATTATTTTTATCAGAATTTAAGTAATTTTTGTGTTTGTTGTAATTGTATAAGTTTAGATTAATATTTTAAATAATGAGTGTTTGTAACAAAAATTACTTATAGGAAACCTTCCCTTAATATGTTCATGATTAACTAAATAAGGTAGCTGAAGAAAACGGAAACATGGATAAGTAGATTTGATATCTTAATAGAGATCATAGAGAATTTTCAAAATTATTGACATTTTGAGTGAACTTAAGATTTTATCCTTTGGTTTAGCCTCTAAGTTAAAAACATAAGAAGGATTTATGCTATTTCCAGAAATAATTTCTGAAAAGTACATTATTGAATTTAAAGAAATCAAATCGTGCAATTTGAGAAAAAATGAATCCTCTTATTTTTAAGCTTGGACATTTGCTAATTTAGACCTAGTACATAGTCTATATTTAATTAGATCGATATGTATAAGTTACAAACATTTTTGCGCATTTTATGCATTTTAGCATATTTTGAGTGCAAAAAATATTTTGAAGTGTTACAAATTGATTACAAATCAAAATATGAAACAGATCTTTTTAAAGTGTTTTTATTGTTATAAACTCAAAAATAAGAATATTAAATTGAGTCAGATAGCTTCTTTCTTGAATTAATTGAAAAATGTGAATGTAAAAATAATTAGTTCATTTCATATATGATTAAATTCTGTAAAGAGAAGAATATGTTAAAATGTATAGGATATTTGGATTCAATAAAATCAACAAATAAAGTTTCTTCAGAAAAAAGGAAGGGATTTCAAAAATTTAAAGAACAAGAATAAATGAAAAAAGAATCACTTTAAGAGTCATAATAAATCTCTTAATAGATAATAATATAAAATTAAAATCCTACATAAATAATAAAGAGATAATCATCAATATTTCCAAGAAAATCATTGGATTAATAATGTTAATTGATTTAATTTTAAGAGTCAACAAAAGACTTGATAAAAGCAAATGGAATGAATCGACCTTCATTAACTATGAGAACAATAAAGGATGGAATTAATCATAAATATAAGGTAATTAAGTGTTATTTATATGAGTGAAGCGTGAAAATGATAATAGACAATAAAGATATTTATAGAATGATACAAATTAGTAAAGATAATTTCATGAAGAGGTTTGTCGAAAATTAGAGAAAGTATAAAGAAGAAAGGTTACGTGTTGGAATTCTGATTGTTTAGCTCCTGAAACTCCTGAAATTTACAGTGATTGATTGTTGGGGATTGATAATTATATAAAGTCGTTTTTATTTAATTAATATTAAAATCATGAAATCCTTAATCTTGATTGCCCTCATTGCTGTAGCCTTTACAGCTAGAGTTTAAGAGAGAAACATGGCTAAAGTCTAAGCTGATTTAGCTAAAAGTACATATGGAAAGGCATTACTTCATTTGGTTGAGTTACACTCAATGGCAGGTGGACCAGTTTAAGAGTTAATCGATGCTATCGAAGAACTCATTAATGACTTAGAAGAAGAATTAGAAACATTAGAATTCAATTTCTAAGTGAGAACAAACGAACATAATGCACTTGTTGTCTCTCTTGAATAAGACATCCAAGATGCAGTTATTGGTATTTCAAAAATCTATGTATAGATGTCAACAACACATAAGACACTCTTGATAATTTACTTTATCCAAGAAGAAATCAAATCTAAAGCAAAATTGATACCGTTATTGGATACTAAGAAGAGAATAGAAAGAACTATGATGAAGCAGTCCTTGTTAGAGAATAAGAGCATGAAGCATTTGAAGCCTAAGTTGCTGAATTAAATGATGCAACTGCTTCAGTTGACGATGCACTTGCTTTACTTTCTTCATTGACAAATCCATCATTGTTGTAAATCAAAAGATTCTAAAATACTTTGAAAAATATTGAAAATAAATTAAGATCAAGATCTAGAATGGCCCCAATGATCAAGGCTCTCATTAGTTTAGCTTCCAATCAAAACTTTTCAAATTAAGATGTTTTGAAATCCATTGTTGATGCTCTTAATGATTTCAGAAATGCTGTAGTTGATCAAATCAATGATTTAACAGCCTAAGAAGCTCAAGATGTTGCTGATCATGAAGATTATCTTGAATAATTGGATTCTGAATTTGCAGAATTTGGAAGATAAATTGACAGAGCAACTGTAGACTTGACTGCAACCAATGGTATTAATTAATATTATATATTTTATAGAAAAGATTGACTCAATGGTTGAATTCAGAGATTAAAGAGCAGCTGATTAAAAATAATACACTGCTGAATTAGAATTGGAAAATAACACTTATGCTGAAGAAACCGATATTTACACCAATACCAAGAATGAATTCACTAGAGAATTGGGAGTCAGTGAATAGGCTTTAGCACTTGTTTAAAGTGTTGATTTCTCAAACATCTAGGTTTGATATTAATAAAATATACACATCAATTATTACAATCGTATAATTATATTTATATATAAAGAGATTATATTTTTAATAAATGATATATAAATACAGTAATAAGATATATATTTTATAATAATAATCAATCAAACATTAAGTTATTATNAATTCAATTTCTAAGTGAGAACAAACGAACATAATGCACTTGTTGTCTCTCTTGAATAAGACATCCAAGATGCAGTTATTGGTATTTCAAAAATCTATGTATAGATGTCAACAACACATAAGACACTCTTGATAATTTACTTTATCCAAGAAGAAATCAAATCTAAAGCAAAATTGATACCGTTATTGGATACTAAGAAGAGAATAGAAAGAACTATGATGAAGCAGTCCTTGTTAGAGAATAAGAGCATGAAGCATTTGAAGCCTAAGTTGCTGAATTAAATGATGCAACTGCTTCAGTTGACGATGCACTTGCTTTACTTTCTTCATTGACAAATCCATCATTGTTGTAAATCAAAAGATTCTAAAATACTTTGAAAAATATTGAAAATAAATTAAGATCAAGATCTAGAATGGCCCCAATGATCAAGGCTCTCATTAGTTTAGCTTCCAATCAAAACTTTTCAAATTAAGATGTTTTGAAATCCATTGTTGATGCTCTTAATGATTTCAGAAATGCTGTAGTTGATCAAATCAATGATTTAACAGCCTAAGAAGCTCAAGATGTTGCTGATCATGAAGATTATCTTGAATAATTGGATTCTGAATTTGCAGAATTTGGAAGATAAATTGACAGAGCAACTGTAGACTTGACTGCAACCAATGGTATTAATTAATATTATATATTTTATAGAAAAGATTGACTCAATGGTTGAATTCAGAGACTAAAGAGCAGCTGATTAAAAATAATACACTGCTGAATTAGAATTGGAAAATAACACTTATGCTGAAGAAACCGATATTTACACCAATACCAAGAATGAATTCACTAGAGAATTGGGAGTCAGTGAATAGGCTTTAGCACTTGTTTAAAGTGTTGATTTCTCAAACATCTAGGTTTGATATTAATAAAATATACACATCAATTATTACAATCATATTCAAATTATTTATAAACCAATATATATAATTAGATTTGATTTCTTTACTTTTATAATGTAGTTAAATAAACTATTATCTGCTCTAACTTTTTATATCATTTTTTTTATTATTTGTTTCTTTAATATATGTCTTCCCTTTAATTTTTCTAATTCAATTTCTATACAATATAAGTGTTTAAAAATTACATCTAGCTCTAAGGAAGTTTATGAATTATAATCAGAGAATTATGGACTATTAATTTAATATTAAGATCATAAATTATATCTACTTTTAAGTCTTAAATTGACTTTGATAATTATATCTTCTATAAAACATTTCACTCAATCTTTCTATTCTTATTTAGTTATTTAGTATATTCATCTTTCACTTTATACTTCTCTTTCTATACTTAAAAATTCTAGATTTACAACAATTAATTAATCTTGTCGCTTAATGTAATTATTGTAATAGATTTAGTTAGTTAAGTATTTAGAATAGACTAAACCATCAATTATTTCTTATTAATATAACTTAGGTCTGTTGTTCATTAAGCAATTATTTATAAATATGAATGCATTAATAACAATAAGTTAAAATGGATCCAATTAATTCAACTAATAAAGACGATGCATCAGTATTAGCACGAGCAAGAAGAAGAAGAAATGATTAAAGTAGTAGAGATTATACATGCGGATGTGGAAAGAGCTATTTGAGTTATCCCGCACTATATACACATTTGAAGTATTGCAACTTTTATAGGGAGGCAAAAACATCAGGGAAGTCCTCCTCAAGGTACTACTCAACCTAATAATATGAATCCTAAAGCAAATAGGGGCAGACCTAAAAGAGTATGAATGATTTTATTTATTCAAGTTGGATGAAAACGACTTAAAGGAAGGAAAATCAGATGATGAAAGATCAATTAGTAATAATGAACCAGATGAAACTATAGAATAAGTGCTCCTCTTTTTAGATAGTATTGGCAATTTCAGATCTGTAAGTCTTCATTCCAAAATTTCAAGGTCACCAAATATGAAAAAGAAGAAGAAAAACAAGTCTATTTATTGAATAGTTTTCCTAAAGATTATTTTATTAATAATCAGGATTATTAATCTATCTATAATTTAATGAAGGATATTACAAATGAAAGAGTAAAAATTGCTGTATAATTTAAATAGGTAAAAAATCCAGATTAGGATCCTCTAACCAAAGAGGAAATTGATAAAGATAAAAACATTAAAAAAACTTAAATTAGTAAAATCTTAGCCTATTTTCTTGTGGCTATTGGTCCTTTATTGAATGAAGATGCTTACAAGGAAGTAAATTTATTTTATTATATCAAGATGGCTACCTTCATTGTGTTATTCTCTATAGCACTTAATGAAATGGGTTATCAGGCCCTCTAAAATTATGAATAAGAATAATATCAGCAAGGAGATACTGATAAAAAAACTTAAACACTAGTTAAACAAGGTATGGATAGATTTAGTATCAAGACTAAAATATGAATGCAGTATATTGTGAGGAATAAAATGGAGAACAAATCTTATTAATAACAAATGAATTTATATTGTCATTTTTACCATAGTACTTCCCTAAATTGGGGAATATAGAAAAAACATTTAGAATATTTGGTAGTCCAGATGAAAAATTAAAAAATGCTGTTTATGTTACTTAACATTTATCTTATTGGTTGTATGCTATGAAATTTACTAACTCAAGATTAGCTTTATACACAGATGATGATTAATGATAAAATAATCATAATTGTTAATTAATATTTGTTAAATTTATTAATTATTATTCTTTTTATAACCTTTACTTTTTAGATATATTCTTATTTCAATTATAATAATTTAACCTTATGGTATCTTCAGAATTTGATAATATAATTGCACATAATTCATTCAAATTCAATTTATTTTTTAAATCCAATTAAATTTAAATATTTGATATAATAAAATTAAAATGAAGAATAAATCAATTTAAAACATCTGAGTATTTCATTATAATGATAATATTTCACTCTGTCCCCATTTGATAGGCTATCCATTTTACCAAATTCCTTTTCTAACTTTGTTATTATAAGTAAATGTCCCTTCTCCATGTTATTTTCCATTTTTCCATTATCCTTTATAAATTCTTCCATCTTACCAATCTAATTCTCCATATCCATTTCTTTAATCATTTTCAAACTAAAATTAAGTTAATTTTTATACATTTCCTTTATAAATCTTACCATCCGGCCATATATAAATTCCATATCCATTCATTTGATTCAACATCCATTCTCCTTTATACTATGAATTAATATGAATCTTACCCTTTTTCCATCTTTCCAACAATATTCTCCATTACCATGAGGCATTCCATTAAGTAATTCTCCTTCATATTTGGAACCATCTGACCATTCAAAAATACCATAACCATTTTTTTCTCCATGTTAATAAGTGCCTTCATATCTTTGTCCATTATTCCAATATTCAATTCCTCTCTCAATATCATATAATTTATTACTCCATGTTATTTATCCTCAACCCAATCACCATTATATGTTGTTCCATCAATAGTTACATATTTTCCTATGCCCTAAGCCTTATCATTTATCCATTAACCTTCATAACTTAAGTTATTATTGATATTATACTAATCTCCATTTGATAAAACAATTCTTCCATAACCATGCTATTAATCATTGTACCATTCTCCCTCATAAATTGATCCAAAAGAATAGAGTTATTTTCCAAAACCATGTCTCCTTCCTTCCAACCATTATCCTTAGTAAATCATTCTTATTACAATTTTATATATACCCTTCATCGATTTAAACTGGACCAACATAAGTAAGTGTTTGATCTTTAACGACTAGAAATGGAAAAGGACCTTAAATTGGCCAGAATAATTACCTAAAGAGTTAAATATCTTTATAGCAAGTGAAGTTTATTCATCGAAAATCTATCCTATTAAAGGAATGTATATATACATTAGCATTATTAATCAGAACTCCTCTATAACTCTTAATACATCCATAGTTCTCATCCTGTGCTAGATTTTAATTTTAAACCATACATCTATTTTCTCTGATCTAATGGGTGAACTTGGAGTTTCATTTGATTCTTTGATTTTAGTTTATATTCCAATCTCTAAATTTTCATTATTTATATATATAGGAGCTGTTATTACAGTAAAGTGTTCCTTCTCCTGTGTATTATTTGTACAACAAGTTCCCATCTTATTATTTTAATTTTTTATATATAAAATAATTTATCTAAAAGATTTCAATCTTTTAATTAGAATCTTACACTAAGAAAGAAATATAAATTCTAAGCTAAAATTTGAATTTATTAATATCAACTATCTTATTTTAGTTTTCAATTAAAGGAAATTGAAAAACACTCCAAATTATTTTTTCATTATCAACTTATTAATATTAATCAAATGAAAATTGATAAATAACAGAAATTCTATATAATCTATTATTTATATGAAATATTTTAACATTTTATAATTAATTTATGATTTTTTTAAATCAACTTTTTTTTATAAATTGAATTTTAAAATCTAATTGAATTGAATATTTGAATTCATAATAAACTTAATAATTATATTGGTTTTGATATTCATTTAATTATCTAAACTTGTAATCCATATAACTTAACATAAAATTTAAAACTTCCATTTATACTCTCTTCAAAATGAATTTATTCCTAAAGGGAATAATATCATTTACTATAGTATTTTATTTTCTAAAACTCAATAGTCTTTTCTAAGCATTATATTCCAAGGTAAATTCTTAATTTAAATCAATTTTCAATGATCCTTAAGTTGACTTTTCATTTTTATATAACACTAAACTTCAAATATATTTATACATCCAGATTAATCCATCCAATAATTTAAAGTTCCTATTTTATATCCTTACTAATCTACATTGATCATTCCAAATGAAGCTGTCTATTATAATAATTATTATTTTTACAAGAACTTTTTCAAGTCTTTCTGAAAATTTGAATTTTACTTTTGCATTATCATTTAATTTAAAAGCTCCTTCAACTAAAGCAACTCCTTCTTTATCACAAGAGAATTGAGTGAATCTTAATGAATATTTTAAATGCTTATCAGAGTTTGTTATATCAAACTTTTTACCAATTATATTAGTTTCCTAATAAATTCTATCATTTTAAACTTAATCATTTTATTGTTTCATTAATTATATATCTTCTTTTACTTATTTATTTTGTTATTATATATTTTCTTAAATGCCCTATACCTATATGGATTTATTAAAATTTGAGTTAATTTTTGTATTATCAGAAGGTAATTAAAATTGAATTCTATCTTAATCATCATTTATTAAAGTTTTAGGATATTAAATTATTTATTATTATTAAGGTTTTTTTATTTATTCTTTTGATTGTTCTTATAATTAGTCTCTAGAATATTAATATGAAAATTATTGCTATTTTTTAATATTTTAATTTCCTTAATCTTATAATTATATTGGATGAGTGTCAAAATTTAATTATTATTATGGATACTTATATTCATATTGATTCAATTCTACCTGATTTTAGTTTTATTAATATTAAATTTATTTTTGTATATTTAAGTCTTCTTATTTATTTTTCATATTATTGGAGTACTATTTAATTTTCAATTAATGGTTATATTCTTATTCATCTAAAAAATTCATTAACTCATATGTAATTCCATTCAATTAATACTTAATTTCTTCTAGATTTTCTAATTATTTTTATTAAGGTAATCGAAATTAACAATAATATATATCAATATAGTTGTTTAAATTACTTTCAAATGAATTATTAGAAAATAATCTTTATTGCTGCTCATTCATTTTAAATTAATCTTATAATAGTTGAAAATAGATTCTAAAAAGATATCCTGTCAATTTTTTTACTTTTAAATATTCTAAAATAAGGACTTAATTTTTTATTAAATCTATTGTTCTTATATTTCAATATAGTCAGAAATACTATCTTATATCTGCATTCTGAATTTCTCATTCAATTGATTTAATTTTAAATTAACTTTTTTTTCGAATGTGTCTTAAGATTACACTTTATGCTGATTATGATAATGTAACTATAAATCATGCCAATTAGTTATAATTCTATTGAATCTACACTCTTTTTCTATGCAAACTTGATTTTATTCAATATGTTTCATGTATTAAATAATTAAATACTAAAATATAAACAAAAAATAATACTAACACATTTTTTAAACCATCCTAATCCAATTAGATTATATTATCAAAAACATAATTAATTAACTAATTATTTCAAATTAATTTTTTAATACAAATCTTTATATTATTGAGTAATTACATAAAATGAAATGTATATATAATATAAGAACTTATTAATCTTTATTAATTGCTAAATAATATTGAATAAAAAATTGAATTAGAAAATGTTATAAATCAATATAAAATTGAGACTTTTAATCCAAATACTTTAACATAAAATTTAAAGTTTCCTTAAACTTTATCCAAATCTAAATATTCCTATTTTATATTTAATATATACTTCAGTTTTTCCATTTATGAAATATAACATTCTTTCATTTGATGAATATTATATCATATACTCTTAATTTAAATTTATTTTCAACTTTCCTTTATAAACCTAATTATTTGAAATAAGATCTAATTTTGATCATCAAATTTATACCTCCTATTTCATTCATACTATATTATTGGCTTTTTTTCATTTTTCCATCCTTATCAACATTTTAGATTCCTATTTCAGCTTACTTTAATAAATAGAATAAGTTACAAATTTCTTTTTCTGAGGTTCAGAAAATTTCAATCTAATTTCAGCATCTATTTTTAAAGTTAATATCCCTTCAACTAAACCAATGCCTTACTGATGACATAGAAATGCTTGGTTATTTTATGAAAACTTGAGGTGTTTATGTGAATTCATGAAATCAAACCTCTTCCCATAAAACACCTCTTAAGGAGGAGGTGATTTATAAACTACTCTGCTCTAAATACACTTAAGTTATAATACCTTTCTTCTTTCTTTTTTTTTTATTATTATTTAGGATTATCTTCATAATAATATTCTTATATTTCTGTTTTTGGTACATATAAACCCTTTTGATTATTGGACTTATTATTTGAATATATTGGACTATTTGTTGTTTCTGATGGTAATTAACATCTGAATCTGTCATCATCTTTAGATGAAATATTTTCAGTATATTAAGATTAGTTTTATTATTATTATTGAAATTATTTATATCCTTTTAAAGGAATATTATTTAAATCATCTTATTCGATTAATTGAGTAGATTATGATTATGAAATATTTTAATCATATTAAATTTATTGTATTTCATATTTCATTTATTCTGCCTCATTTGATATAAATTCAGTTTAATAATGATTTTGTTATATTACATTAGGTTTTATTATAAACGATTCAGAAATTGTTGAGTCATTAAATTCTGGTACATTCTATTAGTAATGAATAATAGACTTTTGATTTTGATTTTCTATTATAAAATTCTTTTCTAATAAATTCAGAAAATCATTTTCAATTACAATTAATTTAGACTAAATTTCGCAAAGAAAAAGAGCTACTTACTCTTATTGAGGTGTTGATATTTATCCATAATATATTTCTATATATTATTATAGATCAGCTTCTATAAAGCATTGATTTGTTAGACTTTATAATTAATAATCGAAGTAAATTTGATCTTAAATAATATTTAAGTATGTACTATAAAATTAAATTCATAATTATACTTCTTAAGAAATTCAAATAGTTCTTAAATTTTAAAAATAATTCTATCTTCTTATTATTGAATTAATTGATAAATATCTTCTTAAACTTTCATCCTCTATTATTAATTATATTGATTATATTTAAAAGCAACTTTGCTTTCTAACTTTTATTTTGGGATAACTTTATGATTCAATTGATTATGTAATTTTAATTAATCCCAGCTAGTGATAATTCTACTGAAAGGACATTACATTTCAACACAAATGAAAGAGTCATTTTGTGAATATTATTAAATTATCATTAAATATAAAAAAATAATAATAAAAAAAAATATACAAACTCTGCAATAAATATTGATAGAATAAACATTTATACTTTAATTTCTATTTCATACTGATAAATTTTAATATCAATAATATTCTTAATTTCCATATAACTTCATATCCTTAATTCTATATTAGATTCTTTCTGAATTAAAGGTAATTTTGTACATTAAACATATTCTTTTATAATACTAAATTTATTTTAATTAGTTTTATTTAATAGGATATAAAGATTAATTCTATAATAAACTTACTTATTTTAAATGATTAAGATTATCTTTATCATTAAATTCTTATAAGTTCATTTATTAGAAGAATACTTAAAAATTTCAAACAATTCTAATAAACAAAATAAATTAAAATTATTTAATATTTCTTTTAAGTTATCACAATTATAAGCTTTTTGTGATAGTATATTATTTAATACTATTATATAATTAATAATTGAATTTCATGTCTCTAATTAATAAAAATTTTATTATATCGTATACTTATTAGAATCCATCAGTTTTTTATAGTTTCATTTAAAAGGTAAGTCTATAGATAAAAAATTAAATTATTCTAGATTTCAGATTTTCAAAATTTATTTTCATATTCTTTGATTTTACCCTATATTAATATAAAACTATGATATATTCGTTATAAAGTGATATCAATTCAAATATATATATTTTAATTTTAATGGATAATCGTTTGGAAAAAAATGTTAACAAATTGATTGAACGCTACAAGAAAACTAGCTTATAAATAGATTAAATGATATAACCAGAATCATAAAATTGTCCACCTATTATGGTTTATCATACTAGGTCGAGATAAAGCAGGGCTAATATTAATGATGAGTAATTGTTGCATTCCTAAAAGATATTAGAGAGAGCTCTTCTAGAGAGAAAAAAAATCATTCAATTGAGCAAATTAGTAGACTTAGAGAAACCTTAAATGCAAAGGAGAATTAAGAGAAAGAAAAATAAGAAAGATTATTGATACTTAATAAAGAATTGAAAGTACTATTTTAACATTGAAATTTAGATGACTTTAAAGGATTATATTTAAGCAAATAAGGAATTAGAGGGTAAGTTAAGTTAGAGAGAGAGAAACATTAAATAAATAGAATTTGAATTAAAATCTCTTTAAGATAGTTTAGCAAAGTCAGAAAATAATCAAAAAGATATTAAATTAAAATGTGAAAGTCAAGATAAAATAATAGAAGAATTAAAATAATAATTACATGCTTCTCGTTAATAATTATAATCAAAGAAGGATAAAATTTAACTATTAAAAAAGTAGATTAAATAATAGGAAAAATAATATGAAGAATAGAGTCTAAATTTTGGAAAGGAATTAGAACGTGTATAAAAATTATGTGAAGAGTTTTCAACTGAAATGTATATTTGTAATATTATTAAATAGAAAAAATTAAGCAGAATAAAACAGAGATTAGGAAGATGAAATTAGACAATTAAAAAATGAATCTAATTCAAAAGATGAATAAATTATATACTTTGATTAATTATTATAAGATATAAGATTTAGAGATGAAGATAATTAAAAGTAAATAGAGTACTTATCTAAATTATTACAATCTTAAAAAGATTAAACATAATAATATTTAAATAAATATGAAGAATCTTAATCATATTTAAATAAACTTTAATAAAATTAATAAAATCTTGCTATGAATTTTGAATAAGAAATTATTAAAATTAATAATTAAAATAAAGATCTTTTTGAGAAAAAAAAATAAAAAATTAATGAATATAGATTAAAAGTAGAATAATATTAAAATAAAAATAGTGATCTTTAAAGACAATTAGACATTTCAGATAAGAAATGTTAAATTTAAGAATATGAATTAAAAAAATTAACTCAAATTTCATAAGAATTGAAAACCATTAATGATCAAAATAATTAAAAATAAAATCTTAATGAATCAAAAATTAATTCATTACTTTTGGAATTATCAGAGTAAAAATAAATTAATTTCAATTAAAAAGATATTATTGTAGAACATGAATAAAAGTCATAATAACATAGGACTATTATTCAATAGGTTTAATTTATTTAATTATATTTTAGCTAACTGAGGAAAATTAAAATCTTTCTGACTCTCTTATTTAAATACAAAATTATACTAAAAATTTAGAATTTGAATTTTAAGAAGAAAAATAATAAAAGGAAAAATAAATGGATGAAATTGAATAAAAAATAGACTTATTATTTGAATAACTTTAATCTACAAAAGATGAATTAAAAGATTCTAAATAAAAAGAATAAGATTTGAAGACAAAATTAAAATAATAAGAAATCGAAATTGAAAGTTAAGTTTAAAAGTCTTTGAAGTATAAATAATAGACAGATGTACTTAGATAAACCATTAAAAATGTAATTATATTTTAATTTTAAAGTTAGAAGATAAATTTAAGATTTATGATACTTAAACATAACAAGTGTAAATTTAATAATAAAAATAAGAAGAATAATAAAATTAATAAAAATTAAAAGTTTTAGAAGATATTTAATCATTAATCAAATAACATAGAAAAATATGATATTTTATTAGATTTTAAAATATATAAATTTGCTATTTACTAATATAATTTTTATTTATTTTAATTTAATCAGATTAATATTTTACTATATTTTTATCTAAAGGTGAATAAATTGAAATTGATTGAAAATCTCATAAAATATATATTAATGATGTTATTTTAATCAATTAATTTCTCTTTGCTTTGCTATAAGTGCTTTAATTTATTTTATGTCAATACTCCATTATCCAAATGGAATTATATATTTTAAGTATGCATAGAGAGATGGTTTCAATGATTACTCAGTAATTCCTATTAAATATGTTTATTAATATTTTGGATATAATTAAACTAAGTCTTATTCATTCTTTTGTACAATATCAGCAAAATCAGCAATTTCTTAAGGCTTTTTAACAAATAACATAATATAATAGAATTATTTACCTTATTATAAATATTATTTATAAATTCTTATTACATCAGCTATGTCTAATACAATAATTGGATCTTTTATTTCTATTTTATCATAAGTTGAATTTCCAAAATTTTTAATTAAATCTTTTGATAATTTAATTTCTGGAATATAACATAATATTTCATGTACTGTTTTAGGAGGTTAAGTGATATTGCATCTATGAGTCCATTTGATAAATGCTCTATTACTTCTATTAGTTAAGATTGAATTATGAAAATTAATTTTGGATGGACCACATTAAAGATCACAACATGTATCATTTTTTCTTGGGAATACAACTTTGCAATCTCGTTTAGAAAGTCTTTTCTTTTTTTTAGGTTTTAAAGCTTCTTTTAATAGATTTTTAAATTTCTCTTTTGCCATATTTTACAATTTCCTTCTCTAAACTTATGGTGTAATGAAAGATGGAGGTGAATTAGCAATACTATCTGCATATTCCTAAATGTATTTATTCATATATTTACACTGACAGCACATTTAAAATTATTATCTTAATAATCAAAATGAAATTAATCTAAAAGACCTTTTTCTTTAGCATCTTAGAGAGCAGTTTCTAATATAAATACTACATCATCTCTAATTTCAGGAAAAGCTATAGAAACTTTTGAATAAGATGATGTAGTCTGTTATTTTTTAATTGCTGGTAGACTCTTTCTAGATTTAGAATCTAAAATAAATTTTGTTGGAAGAATTTGTATTTTTTCTTTCCATTAATAATGACAATCATCTAATACACTTCTTGTAAATGTAAGATCTGTAAATTATGATATTTATTCTAATTTATTACTGGATATTAAACTTAAGAAGGTAAATGTTATTATAACATTATCACCATCAGTTTAAAAGTTAAATTCATTTTAATTTTATTTCATCAATTATTTACATTTCTTTAAAGAATGAATAAGCCATTCTTCATTAGGATTTAATTTATTTTCATTAACTCCAAATACTTATGAATATAATTTAATTACTGAAGGTGTACAAGTAAAATTAAAAGTAAATTCAAGATCATATCCAGATTTTTCTTAATTAATTTACTAAATAATACATTTAATAGATAATTAACCTTTTTATTTATCACAAAATTAAGTTGATGTTAAAAGTGTTTAGATTATAAATAATAATAATTTCTTATCTCCTGCTACTATTTCTGGAATCCCACTTTCAAAGTTTAAATTAATAATATTAAAATGCTCATATAATTTTAGAACCATAGATTCTATTATATTACAAATAGAAACTTTAAGATAAAACTAACAAATTTCTTATTTTAAATTTTTCATTATTGATCTTACTTAATGTTCTAAATGTAAACATTCTGATAAACATTATCCTAAAACACTTAAGTCAGACTCTTTAATCATTCTAAAAGCTCTTAAATTATTCCATTTTGTATAATCTTAATTTAATTGAACATATAACTTATTTATTTATTCGTACATTTATTCAAAAAAAGAATTTTCTTCACTAAAGAAATGTGATTAAATTAAAATAAAATTTCCTTACCAAGGCTTAATATAATAATCAATGATTTCTTTTTCTTAATTTTCCAATTATATTATTCCATAGTATTTCCTTTTTATATAATTGCTTAATATTTATTAGGATTCTTGATTGAACTTTATTGACTTATTTGAAAATAATTCATTCAAATTTTCATCAAAGTATAGAATATGATGAGGTAAATTAAGAAGAATACTATCCTATTCATATTTATGAGAGTTGATATTACATATTTTAGAATAAAGAAATCTCTTTAAGATTTCAATTGCTCTCATTAGGGCAACAAAAAAACAAAGTATATAAATATGATTCAACTATCTAATGATCCCAATTTAAAATAACACTTGCATTGGCCAATAAGGTACTAAAACTAAATTAGTGATGCAAGTAAAGATATGAGAATAAATGCAATGATTATTTATCTGGACTTATTATGCCAAATATAATATAGCTTAGATTAAGAATCTCCATTTATGTTTATTTCTATAATAAAAATATGTTGCTATAACAACACTGCCAATAGTGACATAATTACAATAAAATATGATCTTCATAATTATTATTCCTGGATATAAATAGAGACCACTGAATTTAGAAAGTCTGAAATTTTGCTCATGTTTTTCATACATAAATCTTCCTGTAGAGGATATTTAGTATTTATCCATTATTTAATTTATAATCGAATTTTACTCACTTAAATAATCTCATCTAATTACTTCTATGAAAGTAATTAAAGTTGATTGCTAATTTTGTTATATTCACAATTGATCTATACAATTTTATTCAGTTATTAATAAACTATGTATAATATTTATTAGAAAATGATTATTTGATAAATTCAGCTAATATTCAAGATTATATTTTATGGTTATTTTTTATCTTCATATTGAATAACTAATATTGAATTAACATATAAATATAGATGCCATATATAATAAATTTTAATATATTCTTAAATAATTTATTTGTAAAATGAATAGTTAACAATTTATTTATCATAAGTAATATTGATTAGAAGTAAATATATAGTAATTTTTGAGTAAATTACATATTAAGAAATAATAGTATTAATTAATATTATTCCCAACTTAGTAATCATTTTATAAAGGATTCCAACAATTTTCATTTTTTTTGATAAAAATATATTTTTTAGACTTTCAAAATTTTCCTAGTTCACTTATCTCTTTAACAGAAATCAAATATTTAAAGTAGTATTCTAAATATTTAAATTCATTAAAAATCATTAAATAATCATGAATTGCTTTGTGAATACGATTACTAAATTAGATGGATTCTTTGTTTCTTTCAATCCTTCATTTGGGTTGAAAGAGTAAAGAATATTTTATAAATCAGTTTGGGGAGGCATGGCTACTATAATAATCTTAACATTTGTGTTTGTTTACTCATTAAATTAATTCATCTTATGGGGATCAGGTGATATGATTTATAAAGTTTCATCACAACAAAAAACCATTGGTGAAGGAAGTTATTTAGAATAATTTTTTTAAAAATAGGATCCATCATAATATGTCGATATTGAATTCTAGAGTTCAATAAATCCATTCGATAATAATGAAATGATCGTTCTCCCTCTACTTTATGTCGATAATGATTAAGCATTGTATGCTTTAGAATATTAAGATAATGTATATAATACTTTATTTATAAAATTGAATAATTTGGTTTTTAATGCTTTTAATATAATTTTAGTTAAATGCATAGGAAATGAAAAGCTTTTATCTGAATTTTAAAAATGTGCAAGTTAAGAAAAAAGTGATTAATTTTTCAGTTAAATTGGATTAGGGTCATTAGTGAAAGTTTTTAATGAAGAATTTGATTTTTCAACAAAAACTTATTATGATTTGGAAACAACTATTAATTTACCATTTGATAAATTATTAAGTACAGAAATACAAATTTTAACTAATTATGAATTTATTGAGATAAATTAAGGATATTTATTTTATTCATCCGAAGAGTATATAGTGAATAAAGGATGCACTTCTTAAATTTACACTTTTTCAAAAGATTATCATAAAAAATTGTTTGAGAAAGATATAGGTGTTGTAGATGTTTTAGGTTCAATTACATTATAAATGAATCCTACAATATTTTATGTTAGAAATTAATATCCAACCATAAGTGAGGTTTTGGCTAATATAGGTTCAATAATTTAAACAATATTACTAATTAGATATATGTTTTATGCTTTAAATCGAAAATAATTAAATTCCTATATCTAATCTTCGATATTGTCTAACTACTATCCTGAATGGAAAGCTATTAAGAAAATCAAAAAGAATAAAATCAGTTCTTGTGTTTTAGATGATAAAAAGATAAATAAAACAAGTATTTAGAAATTTGAGAAAGAAGTTACTGAGATGTTAAATCTCAAATTTGATTACATTAATTTAATATATGAAATACATCAAATGTAAAAGATTTTATAATTGATAACACCACCAGATCTACTATTTAATATTCATTCAAATTAATCAAAGTTATAATTTTAAGCAGATTAAGATTCAAATGAATATAGTATTCAAAATACATGGTCTTCATTTGATGATTATTCAAATACAATTAAATAGAATAATTTAGATCCATTTTTATTTAGTTATTATTGGAAAACAAAGAAGAAGGATAATGATATTGATAAAATATCATCTCCTGAAAATGAATAATTATAAAAATAATGTAAACCAACATAAATATAGGAAAATGTAGATTTAGTTGTTGATGAATAAAGAGTTTTAGATAGTAAAATACGACTTGAGAATAATGAATAAATGATATAAGATTGAATAATAAAATTATTAATAATAATATAATAATATATTTATTAAATTTTATTATTAGAGTTTTATGATCTATAGTTAAGAATAAACGAACACTTTACAATATTTCTATTAAATAAATCATAATAATAATGAAAATTAGCAGATAATAGATAAAACTAAAATGACTGATTTTAAGGCAACAAGTTGGATTCTAAGATATTAACTTTAAAGTTTATAATCTTTTTATTTACATGCTGAACTTTAAAAGGTTTTTTAAGAGTAATTTAAAATTGACAATTAAGTATTCTATAAATTATACTCAGATTTAAAAAATTATGATACTTAGATATATTAATACAATAAATCTGTTGTGTTAAATGGGATAATACTATTTAAATATGGAGAATGGAAAAATTTGTTATAAAATTAATTTTTTAGTTTATAATGTAAAAAATCATCATAAGAAATCCTTAATTTAATCAGCTGAAACTATAATGTTTAATGATTTCAAAGAATATCTATACTTAATTTTAGTAAGATACAAATCTTGTTCTCTATTTCATCCATTAAATTAATAAAATTAAGATTTAATAAAAACAAAAATAACATAAATATTTAATTTTTAGAATTTATCATCAAATTCTGAATAATTTAATCAAATTAATGAAATTTAGATATTTAAATAAAAATAAATAAAAAAGAATTATTACTAATTGGAATTTATTTTAAAATAACTTGATGGTGATAAACTTTAATTAAGATTATACAAGACTGAATATCAAGAAATAGAAAAAATTAACCTAATTAAAATTGGGTAAGATAATTTATACTATTAAATAGATTTTTTATTTAAGCTAATAATAAATCACTAAATTGCACAATATTTAATCAGTATTTATAGGTGTATTTCTATTAAAATTAGGATTTTTACTATTTAAAAAATTAATATTATTCATTAGAGTAATATTTGATAGAGTAATCTATAAAATTATCTTTATCTACAAAACTATTCATTTTATTAAACATTGCTAAAGGAATTTCTTTCCTTCATCAAAATAAAATAATTCATTCATACATTAATTTATAATCTATATATGTAATCCCTAAATATCTCACTAGCCCATTTATTGGTCATCTTGAAAAAGCATATTGTTAAATGATTTAAAGTGAATATAAATATCAAAATCTAAATGAATATACTCCTTTTGAATTAAAAAATAACACAATTAAGTATCCAAATAAAAAAACTGATATTTATTAATTTGGAATTCTAATGTTATCATTTATATTTGAAGTATCTAATGAAGAACTATATAATTTCAGGTTAAAATTATTTAAATAGAGAATATTCAAAAGTGGTCAATATGAAATAATGTCAAAAATTTATGAGTTATTTATTTCATGTACTCATATTAGAACTATATAGGTTTTTAAGAACCTTATTTATGTCGATCTACTATAGAAGAAGTAATTGAAACTTTGAAATAAATAATTAAATTGTTGGATACGTGATATTAGATTTATAATTTTATCGATTGAATAAATTGAGAATTCTTAATTTTGTTAATGAATATCTATTAAATTCACTTAGATTAGAATTCTAATTGATTTAAATTGATTCAGAAACTTATATTCCTTCCATGAATCATTTAACTATCAATTAATTACTTTATTTTATTAATTCTATTTTTCTTTAGTATTATAGATTGATTTCTAGGATAAGTTAAATATATTATATTTTTATTTAATAAAAAAAGAAACTTAAAGATTATTTGAATAAATATATATATCAAATTAATGACTCATATGTTTAAGTTCTAGGCCCTTAACTTGTTTTAAGTTCTAATAAATAAAGAAGACTTACTTCTAAAGGAAGATTGACTTGTAAGATTTCGTTTGACTTGTTCTTGTGCTGCTAATAAATTGAAATCATCGTTTGTTCCTGAATTATAGTTTATAATACTTGTTCTTCTTTGTAAATTCTCTCTATATTTTTTAACTCGTTCAATATCATTTATCCATGTTTTTCTGGAGTATGCAGAACTTGCTGATTGTAAACGCTTTAGAATAGTTTAATTCTCTGAACTTATCTTAAACTGTTCTCTTCTTCTTAATACTTCTAATGAACCATGTGTTGGAGGTTACTTTAATGAATTATTTCTTTATTGAATTTCCATCATTTTTCTAAGCAATTTGCTATTTTTATCCTAGATTTCTTAATCATTTGCTAAGTTAGATATTCAAGAACTTACTGTTAGTGTATTTATTGACTAATTTTGATATTGAATGTCCTGGTCTCCATGGCTAAGAGTTATTTACAAGAGGTTTAGAATTTTATATATTATTCAAATGCATAAGTTGCTCCTTACATAATGAAATGGAAAACTCATACTTAAGCAATTTTTTTCTTGAAACATATAGGATTAGAATAAATGAGGTTCCACATTATAAATAAATTAAATGACTGAAGTAGAAAAACAAAAATTTCGAAATGACTCAGAGTTTTATGAAATTGTGCGAACTTTTCATGAATTAGTGACAGAGATCAATAAAAGTTAGTAATCATTATATTAGGTTTTCATAAAGGAAAAAAGCAATATCATAAAAAGAATAATCATCATATGAAATAAGTACAAATTCAGAAAAAAACGAAACAAATATAAAAAAAACCAATAAATTTAGAATTTGGAAGGAATCAATATCACATTAAAATAGCATATAAGATTTTTTATTTGAATTCTACATCAGAAAACTCTTTAATCTCAATGGACTAATGGAATCCTTTACAATAATCAATGAAAATAGTTAAATAACCAGAGGATATAGATATCAGCAAAAAATATGTTTAAATTGTAGAACAATAATTAGAAAAAAAAGAAGCAGCTTGAAATTAATATTTATATATTATCTAAGAAACAGAAACTAAAAAAATATATAATGGCAAATTTTAATATTGTAATTATTAATACAATATAAATTGTCATAAATCTTTAGAACTTTCTATGAATCCACCAATTTCTTTTATTTCCCCATCTTAATCTGTTATATTATTTTCTTTTAGTTAATTTATATGTTCAATTAATTTTCGTTGCATATTTAAAAATCTTTTCTTTGCATTGTTTTTAGGAGAGCCTGCTGGAGAAACATGTTTTGATAATTACTTCTCTGATTCCAATTTAAACTTTAAAGCATAGACTTTGCACATCTCTTCTGGAGTATGTTAATCTATCAAAAGTTCTTCTATATATCCTGTTTCAACCCTGAATAGCCATCCATGGACCATTACAGCTAAGAATGTTAATTTAAATTAATTTACGATTTCCCTTCTACCAAGCCTTTTAGACTATTGGATTCTTCCATATATTCATAACTTGAGCTCTTACATTCAACTAACTAAGACAATTAATTTTATCATTTTCATCAACAAAGGATTCTATCAAGTCTGCATGTTTCTCATAAACTAACTTTATTTAATTTAACCATAGATCTAGTAAACCTCCAACTGAATCTTATGTCATAGCAGCCTTTACTCCACCACAACAAGTATGTCCCATCACTACAATATTATGTATATGTAAATGTTCGACTGCATATTGAATAACACAATTAAGCTTTAGGTATCAAAGAGACTCTTACATTTAAATCTGTAGGAATGACTAAGTTGGCAATATTTCTATGAATAAATATTTCTCCAGGATCAGTCTCTGTCAATTCATTTGGAGGAGCTCTTGAATCAGAGCACCCAATGAGTAAATATTTAGGACTTTATCCTTTTGATAGGGTCTTAAAGTAATTGGGGTCTTCTGACAACTTTTTTGCTACATATCTTTTATTTCCCTCTAAAACTCGATTGTAGTGATTGATTTCTTATATACTGTTGCTTACTATTTATTGATTCATTGTAAAGATAAAATATTATTATTTATTCTGTTGGATAAATGATGAATATAAATTATACTAAATTACGTTAATCCAAATAGCATATCTAAAATTTAAAAACAGATTATATTTAATTATATTGAGATCAGTTTGTATAATTATTAAATAAAAATTAATATATGAGAATGATTCAAAAATGCTCTATATAATTGAATAAGTTGCAGACAATTTATGTCTTAATTATTGATCTTTTCAAGAAATTTGTATATAACTTAGCCTAATTTACATTGTTACATAGTAATTTTAATTAAATTTAGAATTTCTTAATAACTGAATTTGTATTTGATAAATTAAAATTGTATTTCGGTTGACAAGATTAATATTAATTAAGATCATATCATTTCACAAAAAACATATGTATTAAGAAATAAAGAATATATTATATCTAAAATAAATATATTTAATTTGTTATTGTTGTTATTCTATTCAATCTTTTTTAGAATATTTTAATAATGGATTATTTTAAGTTTACTTTGAAAATCTAGATGGTTTTAATTATGGTGATGGTGAAAATACACTGGATTTTTTAGTTGGAGTTCCAATAGTCTATGCACTATCAACAGACTCAATTTTCCCTTTTATTAAAGGAGAATCGGCTCCGACAGCCTTTTACGAATCAATTTATTTTTATTGTTTAATTTATTTCTACATAACTAATCCTGGAGATTAGATAGGTGATTCTAGAGGAGAATTCTTATTATTTTTTGTAAAATCGAATTACGAATAACTAATATATAATAAATTGTACTTATCATTCATTTAAAGCATCATAGATTGAATTTAGATTTGTTCATCAATTTCATCGAAACTATTATCTTAATTTTCATCTTCAATCATTTATCTAGCTGTATCATATAAAAAAGGATGATTAAGACATCTTTCAATATTGATTCTCTTTTTTGGATCTTTCTCAAGCATTTATTTAAGTAAACTTATAGCTTATCCAGGAGCATTCTTTAACTATTTGATATCAAAATTAATGTTCGCTTCTCTATTTTATTTTACTACTGTAGAATAACTTTTTCCATTAAAAGCAGATATTCCAGTAAGCAATAAATAAAATACTAATCCAATACTATAAATATCACAAATAGAAGAATATTTAGATTTCATATCCTTTATATTGATAACTTCTGGTGCTACAAAACCTGGTGTTCCACATCTACAAAATAAATAAACTGGCTCATTCACATAAGTTGCCAATCCAAAATCAGCAATTACAACTGATTCCATCTTTCTTAATAGAATAGTTAAATTTATACTTTGGTTTTTTGAATATTATGTTCTCTAGTTTCAAATCTCTATGCATAATCTCTTTTTTATGCATTTCTTATAGTCCTAAAAGGATTCCCACAATTATTTGTTATATTTACTTTGTATTGATTTAAACTTTATCCTTAATTAAATCATATAATGACCCTCCCTCTAATAATTCCAGAGTTACATACAATGAATTATTAGTTTCGTAGACTTCATATAATTTCATTAAATGTGTATTATTTAATTATCTCATTATAGTTAATTCATTTATTATAGCATTTTTTCCATTTTCTTCTTGATAAGCAGCCTATTTTGCAAATGCTTTTATTGCCAATTATTAATTATCTTCAATCCTTTCTGCTTAATAAACCTAATATTATAATGATTTTTTACAGATGCAAAATTTCCTTTCCCAATTTTTTTATAAACTCTGAACATACTATGAAATTACCATTAATTAATTCTTTCTCCAAGATAGGATCTCCATTCAATAATTTGCTAAGTGGCTGCATTAAGTCTCAATTTTATCATATTCTCTTCACAATCTCTTAAAAATTGTAATCCTATAATGGGACCTAAACTATCATCATCCTTATCTTTTTTTGGAATAGGCTTTCTCAATATTTCAAATTTCACATCAAATTCAAGTCTTAAACACTTATTAGGTTGGGAGACATTCTAATATAACTCATTCTTTAATTACTTTTGAAGAGAGTATATATTAATCATATCCATAGAGTACTCTAATCTTTCCATTTTCTTTGGTAAACTCTCCTTAGATGTAAAGTCTTTCATTTAAAATATTAAAATCGTTTGGAATAGGTCTCCACAGTTTTTATTACATCAAAATTTTGAATAATAATGAATAAAGTATCTAAATACAAATCTCGATTTGAACTTAATAAATAAAATTTGTAATAAACAAATCAAAATTTATAGAAGTTAATTTCATTTACAGATTATTGTTTTCTAGAACCAATTATAAAAAATATATATAAAATAAATTTTGATTTTTAAGATTAAAGATTAAAAATTAAAATTTTTAAAAATTATCGAAAAATAAAATTAATTCAAAATTTTCTAAATGTTTATTCTTACTACACCTTTATATGATGTGACTTTGTAGGAATATTTCTTACATTTAATGACTATTTCAATTAATCCATCTCATGAAAATATTGAGTTTGTCTAAATTCTTTTATTATATACTCATCTCTTGAAGTTTCTTAGACTAAATTTTATTAGAACTGTCCTAAAATTTATCCCATCTCATAATATGATTTCCCTTGTAATTATCTGACCAAAAATATATATATAAGACTTTTAGTAAAATCATGAGAATTACGGACATGCTAACTAAAATTAAATATTATTTAACTTAAAAAGGTCCACAAAAACTACATTTGGATATTCATCTATTAATTATTCAACACACTGATAATCATCTAATACTAATCCACCTAATAAGGGAACAGGTACATTCAATAATTCAATATTTTTTGGAGGTATTGAAGCTACCATTTAATGAATCCATTTCACATGTTTAAGAAAAAGCATAAGAATTGCTCCTAATTATTATACATTTTATGCTACAAATATCACAGATCTCTCTAAAATGATATTTATTGCAACTAATCCAATACTAAGTGCATTATTTAATATTTTTAATTATTTCACATGGTAATCATGAAAATCATAATAGGATTATGGTATTTATTGACTTGGAATTTATATAGGGAGAGTTTCAAAAAGTGGACATTTTTAAATGTATTATGTAAATGTTAAATTATTAAATCTCTCCTCTTTTGCACAATCTAATTAATTTAATTAAATACTCATGACTTCTATCAAAAAATCAATAAAATATTTTATTAAAGGTAAATATGAAACTATACAAAGTACTCTCTCACATTTTAAATAACTATTTTTTGATGGACAAATATCTTATATTGATAAACAAATACAATAAGCTAATTGATTACTATTATACTCTATAATAAATTAAGTTATTACATGCTTTTTCAAATGACTCTGATGTTTTAATTGGTAAAATAAAGCAATTTGGATTATTTTCTGATACATGTCTTTTATAAAGGATTTCATTAATTTCACTTTAAGAATCTGATAACTTTTTCTATACATCTTTTGCTCCATATGGAAATACTAAATCAGGTAATAATTATTCAAGATGACATTATCCATATTAATATAGTATCTCTGTTTTGCCAATAGTAGAATTTCCAATTAAATAAATACCTTCATAAAATTTACAAATCAGATGTCTATTCTATTATGAAAATTTTTCCATCTTATTATTAATGTTTTGATAACTCTAAATTTTTTTAACTCCTCCTCCCTCATCAGTATCAACATGAACACTAAACGTATTTTTTGTTGATAATGGAGGTCTATTATAGAAAGATGTTTTGCGTTGACTATTCTAAGAATTTGAAATTGAAGTACTCACTTTTGTCTCTACTCCTTTAATATTTCAACATTTATCTTACTAGTATGTGTTCTGGATGCTTTAGACCCAACTAAGTGATCTACATTAGTTTTTTTAGTTAGCATATATAATGGGATTGGATCGTTATTTTACATTAATTTAATTTTGTTAATAAATAAATTGATCAAACTAATAATAAATGATTATTAAGTATTCATTAATCATCTTATGAATAAGAGTATTTATTTTCAAGAACTAAATAAGATAAATTAAATAAAATCTATTACTTAAATTTGTATATGAGAAAATATTTAATTAAATCAATATGTTTTAAACCTATATAATTCTAAACCTTCTTTATTCTTTTTTTCAATTAGAGATATTAATTCTTTTATCTTCTAGGTTATTTTCTTCTTTCTTAATATAGGAAATTGCTTATCTTCCTCTTATAAACAATATTGATTTTTTCTTGAAGGTCTTATATTATGAACTAATCCAACTACACTAAAATATAGGTTTGTTATTTCTTGTGATTAAATCATATATTTTTATTTAAACAAACCTCTAAATGATAAATTAAATATCCAATTATCATAAATATTATATTTAGTATAAGAAATTAATAAATTTAACTATTTAAGTATTATAATAGATATAAATTATGCAATAATAAGAACTACTAAAGTTAAAAGTAAGTACATAATAATATTTTATTATGTAATTTCTCTTTATTCATTATTAATAAACCTGAATTATTATTATTAAACCATTTTTATATTTTTTGAATTCTTGAATAGTAATAAAATATAAGGAGTGTTTTTAATTTAAGCTGTTTAAATTATACAAAAATCTTCTAATTTAGAATTATATCTGCATAGGACATTGTCTTATTCTAAAATCATATCGCAACTGTTTGAATAATTCTTATTATTATGATAATTCATTATCTATTCAAAATCTGTTATGTTAAAACCAGTATAAATCTCATCAAATATCGAATAAATAGATTATTGTAACTCATCATAAAGTTTACTATAAATTATTTTTCCTTAACAATTAATTACAATTAATGTAGTTTCTGAATCTACTAATTTGAAAGCTGATGTTTAATTAAAATCTATATCTCTTGCAATAATACCTTCAAATGTATTATTTATATTAATTAAAGTAGATGTCATAGCTATTCTTATTCCTCCAGAAAATATTTCATAAGGATTTCCATAGACAATAAAATCTTAATTATTTGAAACATTTTCTGTTTTATTCAAATGATACAAGTACCAAGGTCTTGAATGTGGCATGAATCCAGAGTTAAAATAGAATCCTTAACTTATAGTATAGAATTAAGCCTGGTTGGCATGGCTAAAATATAAAGCTTATGAATTTTCAATAGCTGTCCTAAATTATGTCAGTGTAGAAGTTACAGCAAATACGTACTTTAACTGATCAATATGAGTTTAATTAAAATTATCTCCAAAAAGCCCAAAACAAAATGAAGAACTATAACAAAATGAATCATTAGTATTAGGTTGATTTAGACATTAATAAGGTATAACAGTAGTATAATCTGTTTTTTGTATAAATTTGTTGAGAGATTAAACAATTTAAATTTATTATGAGGCTGAGTTGATTAAATATTGAAGATTAGCCTTATGTATCCAAACACTATTCAATTATTACAAAGTTTATTTGAAAAATATCTTTTCAGATGATTCTTCTATTGTTTTCTTAACAATTAATTAACCAATAATAATTGAAGAGGCTAATAATATAAATACCAAAACTAAACTTACTATTTGTATTATTAAAATTTGATTCTTAATTCTGAAATTGTTGTTGATATACCAAAAATTTTGTTATTTTAATTTATTCAAGATCATACAAGTTAATTTCTTTGAGTTTTCCTAATAAAATTAAATTTAGTTTTTATTATTAATAATTGTGAATTAATGATAATAATAATAAAACTATTAATTATAAAATTTCTAACTTGTTAATAAAGTTAAAGTATTAACAATCTAATTTTAATAGTAAAATAAAGTTGTATTTAAATTTATTAACATATTTATGGACTAATACNTATGATAATTCATTATCTATTCAAAATCTGTTATGTTAAAACCAGTATAAATCTCATCAAATATCGAATAAATAGATTATTGTAACTCATCATAAAGTTTACTATAAATTATTTTTCCTTAACAATTAATTACAATTAATGTAGTTTCTGAATCTACTAATTTGAAAGCTGATGTTTAATTAAAATCTATATCTCTTGCAATAATACCTTCAAATGTATTATTTATATTAATTAAAGTAGATGTCATAGCTATTCTTATTCCTCCAGAAAATATTTCATAAGGATTTCCATAGACAATAAAATCTTAATTATTTGAAACATTTTCTGTTTTATTCAAATGATACAAGTACCAAGGTCTTGAATGTGGCATGAATCCAGAGTTAAAATAGAATCCTTAACTTATAGTATAGAATTAAGCCTGGTTGGCATGGCTAAAATATAAAGCTTATGAATTTTCAATAGCTGTCCTAAATTATGTCAGTGTAGAAGTTACAGCAAATACGTACTTTAACTGATCAATATGAGTTTAATTAAAATTATCTCCAAAAAGCCCAAAACAAAATGAAGAACTATAACAAAATGAATCATTAGTATTAGGTTGATTTAGACATTAATAAGGTATAACAGTAGTATAATCTGTTTTTTGTATAAATTTGTTGAGAGATTAAACAATTTAAATTTATTATGAGGCTGAGTTGATTAAATATTGAAGATTAGCCTTATGTATCCAAACACTATTCAATTATTACAAAGTTTATTTGAAAAATATCTTTTCAGATGATTCTTCTATTGTTTTCTTAACAATTAATTAACCAATAATAATTGAAGAGGCTAATAATATAAATACCAAAACTAAACTTACTATTTGTATTATTAAAATTTGATTCTTAATTCTGAAATTGTTGTTGATATACCAAAAATTTTGTTATTTTAATTTATTCAAGATCATACAAGTTAATTTCTTTGAGTTTTCCTAATAAAATTAAATTTAGTTTTTATTATTAATAATTGTGAATTAATGATAATAATAATAAAACTATTAATTATAAAATTTCTAACTTGTTAATAAAGTTAAAGTATTAACAATCTAATTTTAATAGTAAAATAAAGTTGTATTTAAATTTATTAACATATTTATGGACTAATACAAAATTAATATTATTATGATATATATTCTAATTTAGATGATTAAACCAACTTAGATTTAAAAAAAATAAAAAATATATTAATAAATTATTTTCAATTAGAGGTTTCTAGGAATTTGTTAAATTTATTGTTATGATAACTAATATATATATGACTAAATGTACTCGAATGCTTAATTTTAAATTATGTTTTTGTATTTCTAATTCAAAGGAATTTCAAAATTGTTTTCATCCATCAAATCTTAGTATTAAGATTCTTATTATCTATCTGTTTTATTCCAATTTGGAAAAAAGGTAGGTTTTTCTACTTCAATTTGGGAGGGCAAATATTTAATTTTCATTGAACTAAAGGTTCCTACATTAGAATTTGATGATGAATTTGATAAATGTCTTAAATCAGTTCTTTAACCAGGTTTTTTATTTGGATCAGGTGGTAACAAAAGGTGATGCTGAGAGGACGGACTAGATTTAATTAAAATATACGCAACTTGTGGATGCTATTATTGATCATTAACTGTCCAAATTATCTATTGTGATAATTTTGAAGAACTTTTCATTAAATTTCCAGGAGAAAGCTCTTTAATTTTATTGAATTCAAATGACTTTTTAGATTCTAAAGAGCTAAACTTTTTAGTTGACTTTATTAATCCTTCAGTCCAATCATATATTCCATCTAATAGAAATTAATTATTATCTGCAATTTAATTAAGAAGTTATAGGATATATTAATAATTAGGTTGATCTAAGAATTTCAAGGATTTCAAATATTAAAGTATTTCAACTAGTTCATGTGGTTAATTAATGCATAATTCATTTAAATCTATATTTTATTTGATTTCTCCAACAGCTTTAGTTCTTTCATTTTCTGAGACTGGTAAATTTTACCATGGTAAACTGCCACGAAGAAAATATAAAATTACATAAAAAAGAGATTCTAAATCATCCTTCCTAGATATTTCATGACCCAAATGAGCAGCAACAGATGCATATCTAGGTGTACCCATAAAAGTTTTATCACTTCTAAAAGGCCTATAAACACATACATATTCTAATAATTACATATGTTCTCCTTAAATGCAATAAATTTTACTAATGCCAAAATCAACAATGTAAATACCATCATTATCTTTTGACATTAGTATATTTTCTGGTTTAAGATCTCTATGAACTATATTTTTATTGTGGATGTTTTTCAATATATTTACACATTCATAAGCAATCTGAATAGTACATTTTAAACTGAACTTCTTTTGTTATCTAAAATAATATGCTAAATCTCTTCCTAACAATTAAATAACCATTATATTGAATTCATTTTCATTTCCATACCAAATCAATTTAGGAGTACCTTCAGCATCATTTAATTATTTCAATATTTCTACTTCTCTTTCTAAAGATCTCATTTCTTCATTATCTTCTTTCTCCAATTTTAATGCTGCATCTTGATTTGTTTGTTTATCAAACACTAAAAAGACTACTCCAAATGCTCCAGATGAAATCTTCTTTTTAACAACAAATCTATTTATAAAAACTCTTTGCTAACTACTTTGGCTCATAAAGAAAAATTTATTTATAATTTGGATTTTATATAAGACTCTTGCCAATCAATAATAATATGGATATCCACCATAATAAGCTGGTCTTACTGTAGAATATGTTAAGGGAGTCGCATATGATGCTACAGGTTAGGTGACAACTTATTGGACTGGTTAAACAACTGAATATGTCAAAGGAGCAGGAGCATATTAAACAGGGGCAGCAGGCTAAATATTTCACTAATACTTCTTACAACTCTTTAGACCTCTCTCTCCACTGCTTCATATTCAACTCTTGGAACTGTTTTTTATACAGGTACATATTCTGTTTATGTTTCATAGACTGTTCTTGGAATGTAGTCTGTTTAATATTCTACAGGGTAATAATCTGTAACATATTTGGTGACTGGCTTTTTAACCTCAATGGTCTCAGTTTCATATTCAACAACTGGTCTTTAATACTCTCTATATTCAACTCTGGATTCTCCCTTGATTGTTGGTTAAGCAGCAACAACTGGTTGCACAACTGATTAAACCACTGGTTAGACAACTGATTGAGTGACAACTGGAGCAGGAGCTGTATAAATAGGTGCTGGAGATGTATAAATGGGGGTTGTTGCAACAGGTCTAACAATTGATGCTTAAGGATAAGCAACAGGTGCTGCAAAGGATGCTGCAAGTGGTTATGAGTATTATGGGAAGAATCCTGGATAGAATGACATTCGGAATAAATTTATTTATATGCATTTAATTTTAGGATTTATTTCCTTAAATAAATGTTCTAGAATACTCAATTTAATAATTCTATACTACCTCAAGTAATATTTCCTAATTTTCCAATCCAATCCTGAATCAATTTAATAGAAAATCAATTGTATTCTCATAATTATAATGATTATCTCTTTCTCTTAAAGTCTTTTTAGGTCTTTTATTTAGAAAATAACATTTATAATACTTTTTTCATCAATTTTTAATCTATCTCTCTTACTAAATAGTCTAAAATTGTTAAAAATTGTATCTTTATTGCATCCAACCAATAATCAAAGATTCCTTATTATTCTTTACTACTTAAGTCGTTGTTGTTCCTTTGTAATATTTGGAATAATTAAATAAAGATTATTCACCAAATTTACTAAATGTTTATCACATATTTATTAATTCTTGTTAAATTTTTGTCGTACAAAGAATAGCTATTGATTTTACTATTATTTTTCTTTTATTTAATTTGGAGTTGTTTATATTAATTAATTTATTATTGTAGATTTACTAACATTTGGCATTCTAAAACCATTAACCACATACCTACCATTGTAAATCTAGCTGATTTATATGTATTGGTCATAATAATCAATCTCTTATTTAGTATTTAACCAGGAGGAATATCACTATGATTTTGAAAGAATGACTGATATAGCTTTCTATTTTTTAATAATGTATCATCCGAAAGACATGATTATTTATTTAAGAACAATCAATTTAGAATTTTTTCCGTATCATATTTTTGATAATAAATGATTAGTTTTATTTTTATTGATATCTTATTATTTATAATTATGTTAAAAATCAATTATAAACACTTATTTCATTAATATTTGATAAAATTATAATGTAAATAAAATTGTATATGATCTAAAAATTATTAATATTAAAATATCAACACAAAAATTTATAATTTCATTTATTTTATTTTGATATTCAATAAATAAATTTATAATAATGAGTTAGATAAAGACTTAAAATTTCTTGGTAAAATAATTTTGTTTAAATCATCCTACTGAATAATTGACAAACTTTTGTTAAACAGCAGATTGCTTAAAACCTTTATGTGCAGAATGTATTGAATCTCATAAACAATATCATAATTAAATTTCTACTACTGCAGATATTGAAAGTTTTGTAAATGTGAAATTGCAATGTTAAAAAAAAATAAAATCAGGACTGAATGAGATGTACAAAATATAAACTATTGTTTAATAATATGGCTAAACAGAATACTAGGATTAAACAATATAAGATATCAAAAAGGCGAAAGAAATTGTAATAAATTTAGTTCATCAGTATTTTACTTTACTAGAAGATCAATATAAACAATACTTAGAATCTTAGACTAACTCCTAATAAATATTTATTTAGTAATAAGAAAATGTTTAAAATTATATAAATGAATTAGAGAATTTACACGTTGGATTGGAAAGTTCTAATCAAATAAATATAATAAAGAATATTTGCTATTTGGATATAAAAAAACATTAAATAAAGTTTAGAAAGGTTATGAAGAATTTATAAAATTAGTAATAAAATAATCCTTCAATGGTTTAACTTAATTAAACTAATTTACAACATATTTAATAAGCATTATTTAATTATGTATAAATAAATCTTATTCCGTTATAAAATAACTTGCTATTGAATACTAGTCAAATATCTTAAGTTTATTAAGAAACTTATCTATAATAAAATGAATTTTTTAGAAATAAATATAAATTATTACACTTTTTTGAGACAGGAAATCAGTTCTTTGGTTATATGACTTAAGTTTACCTGATTAATTATGGAGACCTGCTTAGATTTCTAATTATGTTGAAGTATTACCATTTTCAAAATCATTAATAACTCCAGATGGATAGATTTACTTAATTGGAGGATCATTTCCAAATAAGAAAAAGAGTAATAAAATTTATTAATTCAATTTTAAAAATTATTAATTATAAGAAATTGGATAATTGAATAGTGGAAGAAGTTCACATGGTTTAATTTGGAAATAAAATGAACTTTTTATTATTGGTGGATATCTAGATAATTTATAAATAACAAATTAATGTGAGGCATTTGATTGTATAAATAAAAGAATAATAAAATTACCAAATTTAAGCAATTCATTAGAATCTCCTAGTGTTAGTATTTTTAACGATACTGTTACAGTTACTGGTGGAATAAGTATAACTTTTTATATATATTAGTGTAAAATATGTCAATTAATTAATAAATAGAATTTTTATTAAAAGACTGTTAGGTATCTTGTACTATAACATCTTAATTGTCATCAATGGCTTCAATGATGTGTTCAATTTAAATAGAATAAAATTAATTAATGCTATTTGGGGGATACTCAGAAAATAATAAAGGATCAAAAGAATGCATTATTCTAGAGATAAATAATAAGACAGCAAAAGTAATTGAAACTAAATAGCTTCCTTAAGCTGAAGGATTCTGGAATAATATACCAATTATTCATTAGGGAAGGATTTGGGCATTATAGAATGTAGTATTAGATAATTAAGGTAATTGTTCTCATGATCAAAGAAGAATTTTAATTTTTGATGGGATATTTTGGAAGTATAATGATTTAAAATGACATCATATATTATATTCAATCTTGGTTTAAGCTCTTATTGGTTATCTTCCCTTTTGACATAATCCAGAGCCTTGAGTTCTCTTTAATAGTGTTTATGTTTAGGCTAACATTTAGTTTTTAGCCATAGGAAAATGATTTGAGAATGTCTTACAGAAAGAAGAAGCAGATTTAAATCCATTAATTGCAGTTTCAGCTAATTTTTTAGTATTATTTCCATAATAATTTGATTATCTTAAGACAGCACTGTCCAAATTTTATGCACTTTTTATAATTTATTTAATTTCTATTGAATTATTTGGTTTAACGGCAGGAGTAGAATTAAAATAATTTTAAGCTTCACTTTTTTTAGGAGTCAAAAATAATGATTTAGCTGACATAGCTTTCTAATTTACTCTTTTTAATGGACTTTAATTTGGAATTTATCTTGTTGATCTTACTTCCATAGATTCTCTTCTATCTCTTTCATTATAACATCTAATATATTAAGTACTTGCAGGTCTTTGTTATCTTCTTTTATTTAATTCAAAATCAAATTATTATAGTTGTTACATAAACCCTGGATTTGGGTTTATTTAAGGTCTCCTACTAATGAGGAATGTAAGTGCAACTTGAAGTGAGTAATTATACGTTTGCATTAAATAAGCTATCACTAATGTAGCACTTCTGCTAACACCAACAAAACAGTGGACTAAAACATTCTTTGTTTTTCGTTATTCTTCAATAAAATGTATGGCCTCCTCAAAATGTCTTCTTATAGGATCATATGCAGTATCATGTAACATAATCAACTAAAGATGGTCAGCATAACTACTTTTTATTCACAATCAAATTTGAGGTTAGCCAACTCTGTACCCACTGTTAGCACTGCTCCAATTTAGTTTTATTACAATAATAATGGATTCATAGCTGCTTCTATGCCACTTAAATATAATGCTCCATAGTTTTCAGTCTTTCCTAAAATTAAATCCATCTGTCCTGATGGAAATGGTGGTCTTGGTTATAACATATTTCTCTAAAATAATTAATTAATAATATTAGGGGTAAAAAACTGTAAAGATCTTTTTGATTATAACCAAATTTAGTCATTTAATGAGGTGATTAATCATTTTAGAATTTATGTAGCTAATAAAATCCATTTTACAAAAATTTATTTTCTGCAAATTAAATAAGACACCATTTAATTTCTTATATAAAAATAAAACTATGATTTAAATAATTGATATTTTTTATTAATGTATATATAATTAATGTTCCATCAAATCATTCTCTTGACAAGATCATTGATAAGATCTTCTCTATTTCCCCAATCTCCTTAATTGATGAATGATTTTCTCTTTGCAATAAAGCCACCTCTTGGTCCTCTCAATTTGAATGCCCTATAAAAATTTAATAAATTAATTTATTACCACAAAAATCTGTTTGCTTCCTTGAAGTTAGGTCCTACTGTAACAATCTCATGAATAAGATCTTCAATGCTGTGAATACCAACTTTTCCTAATTATTATTCAATCACATTATTGTTTGTGATTGGGATTCTTTAACCATTAATTTTGGCATATCCTCTCTTATAAATAAGATTCTTAATGACAGCTCTTGATGGATATCCATAGGTCACATATGGCTCAACCTTTCTGATCATTTCAATTGTAGCCTTGTTGACTCTAACAAAGGCTGCATTGTGAAGTTATCTCAATTTCAAAAGTCTTAAAGTTTATCTGACTTGTGGATTCAAGGTGTTGATACTATAATATATATCATAATTATATACCCTCTAATTCTTACCACCAAGATTAATTTAGATTCTGCTGGTACATAGAATCCACCTTCACTTTTTGCCTTACGTATGTTATCAATTAGGCTCTTATCTGCAGCTTTGTATTCATTTTCATAAGCTTAAGCATTCTTATCCCATTAAGCTCTTCTTGTTTTGTTTGCTGCTAATCTCTCTGTTCTTCTCTTAGCAACAGCTTCTCTCAATTTGGTATCTCTTGCAGTCTTCTTAACAATGTTTTCTGGAACCTTTTATCTACACCATCTAATCCAAAAACTTACTCAACTTGCATTTGTGGCTTCTTTTGAGACATTTTAAAGCAAAATAAAATCTTAAATTTTAAAATCAAATCAACTAAAACTTCTTATTCATATTCTATCCCCTATTTCTCTTATAAAATGCAATTTTGCATTCTCCTAAAAATATTGGTCCTGTTGGTTAGCTTAACAAATCCATGTCAGATCCTCTTAATATAACAGGATCTTCTATTTCATTTAACTCTATTGTAGTTGTTTCATTTTGAATTTCCTATTATAAATTTAATTTGATTCCTAGAGTGTGAGCATTCATTATCGTATCTCTATCTTATAAAGACATACATACATATTGTAATCTAAAATATATTATTATATTTACCTTGATATATAATAAATGATATTTTTTATTTTCAATTTTTCTTTAGCTGATTACTAATATTTTTAATAAAATTATCTCCATTATTTAAGATTTCTAATTTCACCATCAAGAGTTGTTACAGAACATATTCTGCCTAAGAAATTAAATTTTATTTTATAATCTTAGATTTAAGGATAATAAATTGATATTATCTCTAATAATTTCATTTACTTCTTCTTAAGTTTTTAGAGACAATTAAATATCAAATTTACAAAATAAATAATTGAACTCATAGAAATGATTTAGAGTATGAAGATATAAAATTTATGGTAAACAATTAATTTTTTAGTGATTAATGGATTTACTTCTATTTTTATTTTACTCAATGTAGATGATGAATAATTTATAGATTAAAAGGTAATCATAGCATCTTCTATTTAAGTATAAGTTTAACTTTATGTAAAAAGATCATTACTTCTAATTTCAGTTGATATAATTTAATAAGATAAATATCCCAATTATTGAGTATTCTTATGAATTTAATATTTTAAAGATTTGGGTACTTAATAAAATGTCTACTCTTCATAATTATATTGAGTAATTTGTAATAAAATTTCTATTTCTATTGACTCATCTAAGATAGCTGCTATTTAATTTTATTTAGCACAAGTAATATTGTGATTTGATTCATTACATATCTATATTTCAAATTATCCAAATGGAATATTGTAAAGTCCTTCTTTATTGGATTAGATTAATTATTAATCATTTCCATTTGTAGAATGAATTACAACTAGTACATTATCAAAGGTTGAAAGTGGTTGAGATAGAAACTTTAATTAAATACCCTTATATTATTATATGAGGTCTGTTTAATGAATTCTTGAAATGATAATGTTGGGTAACTGATGATTCCATTCTTTAATTAAGTATATGAGCAATAACACCCATAATAAGAGAAAGCAGATAAATTTGTACCTTGGTAATCTCAAACACTAATTTTAAGATATTGGTGATTCCTTAATATATTTCAGTTATTTGTCCATATAAAAAATAAATATCAGAGAAGCAGAATTCCATTCAGTTATTCATGATTTTCATAAAATTATCATCATTATTCTATCTTTACCTTGTGTTTCCTTATTTATTGATCAATCATATAAATATTAATTATGGGAATCAAAAGTGTCATAGTATTTTTTTTGGAATAATTTCATTATTAAGTTAACTTATCAATTTTTCATACATGAATGTTCCATCATATCAATTAATCATAATAATTAATAGAGATCATAATATCTTAATTTAAAGAGTCAAATTTATTGTGGCAGATTCACATAATCATATGTTCTTTATTTTTAAAGATTTCTTGACATTAAGATAGATTATTGTAAATACATATAAGAAACATGTCACTTAAATGTAGATAATAGAGAATTTTGAAGAAGAACTATTTAGTCGACAATTATTTTAGAAATTTAGACTATATGATTCAGTTATTAAATTATGAAGCTTTAAGCTTTTTTGGTAGGTTTGACAAGTGGAAAAGCTCTTTTACTTTCTTACAAATAGAATTTTTATGGCTCATTCAAATCGTTTAAGATAGTTATTATGATATGCATTTTATATATATAGATATAATAGCTAATAATGATATCTATTTACCAAAAGATGAATCATCTAAAAAAAGAATATGATTCAGATACTATAAATTATTTATTATTGCAAAACCTGAATATATATTTGATATTCATAATAATACAATACATGAATAATTAATTCTATGATTAATTATTATTTCTTTAAGTTTACAAAGTTAAACCCTTATATATGTGAAACAATAATAGAAGTGAATTAGATATAACTTATATGAAACTTTCTGAATAATTAACTATGAAGAAGAAAACTAATTAGAGCAAAGATCTGCAAAATTTATTTGTTAAATATGGAGCAATTAAATAATTCTTTAAGAACTTTCTTTAAGTTTCTCCCTTATTAATTTTATCTATTTCTAATACTTTTTAATAAAATAAATTATTATTTATGCTATAATCTTTAATTCGCTTTTCTTTTAGTAAATTTGTTCCCTCAAAAGTCACTTGTTGGAATTGTAAATCAAATGAGTTTATAAACAGATTCATTTGTGGATAGTGCAAATATTTAAAAGAGCCATCTATCTAATTATAGGATGTTAATTACTTTGAGCTTTTTGATTTGCCAATTAACATTAATGTAGAGACAAGATATTTAGAAGATAAATATAGATCATTGTAATTAAAATTTCATCCTGACCGATTTGTGACTATGCCTCCAATCAATATTTCTTATAGTCAAGAATATTCTGCTTTCATTAATGAAGCTTATTCAGTATTGAAAAATATTCATGAAAGAGCAGAGTATATTGTAAATTTTCTAATTATAATTTAGTTGTCTCTTAAGGGATTTTAAATTAAGGAATGTAGTGTTCTATTAGACCTAGAGTTTATGGAAGAAATCTTAGAATTACAATCACAAGTGTAAAGAAGTGAAAATATAAACTAAATTAACCTAAAGAATAATTAAGAGATTGAAAAAATGACAAAATAAATTATTTCAGATATCTCAAATGAACAATATGAAAAAGCTTATGAAATCATACTATATTTAAAATACAGACAAAGATTAAGGGATTAGATTTTATTACATATCTGAATTTTATGCTCGTTTATAAAATAAATATGAAAGTAATACTCATATTAACTTAATATCCTTATATTTACAAAGAAACCACAGAATTAAAGATAATTATTCAATATTACATATGATTTTAATAGAAAATCAGAAAATTCTTAGATATCATTATCTAATTAAGGCTCTAAACTATCTTATATTNTACATGAATAATTAATTCTATGATTAATTATTATTTCTTTAAGTTTACAAAGTTAAACCCTTATATATGTGAAACAATAATAGAAGTGAATTAGATATAACTTATATGAAACTTTCTGAATAATTAACTATGAAGAAGAAAACTAATTAGAGCAAAGATCTGCAAAATTTATTTGTTAAATATGGAGCAATTAAATAATTCTTTAAGAACTTTCTTTAAGTTTCTCCCTTATTAATTTTATCTATTTCTAATACTTTTTAATAAAATAAATTATTATTTATGCTATAATCTTTAATTCGCTTTTCTTTTAGTAAATTTGTTCCCTCAAAAGTCACTTGTTGGAATTGTAAATCAAATGAGTTTATAAACAGATTCATTTGTGGATAGTGCAAATATTTAAAAGAGCCATCTATCTAATTATAGGATGTTAATTACTTTGAGCTTTTTGATTTGCCAATTAACATTAATGTAGAGACAAGATATTTAGAAGATAAATATAGATCATTGTAATTAAAATTTCATCCTGACCGATTTGTGACTATGCCTCCAATCAATATTTCTTATAGTCAAGAATATTCTGCTTTCATTAATGAAGCTTATTCAGTATTGAAAAATATTCATGAAAGAGCAGAGTATATTGTAAATTTTCTAATTATAATTTAGTTGTCTCTTAAGGGATTTTAAATTAAGGAATGTAGTGTTCTATTAGACCTAGAGTTTATGGAAGAAATCTTAGAATTACAATCACAAGTGTAAAGAAGTGAAAATATAAACTAAATTAACCTAAAGAATAATTAAGAGATTGAAAAAATGACAAAATAAATTATTTCAGATATCTCAAATGAACAATATGAAAAAGCTTATGAAATCATACTATATTTAAAATACAGACAAAGATTAAGGGATTAGATTTTATTACATATCTGAATTTTATGCTCGTTTATAAAATAAATATGAAAGTAATACTCATATTAACTTAATATCCTTATATTTACAAAGAAACCACAGAATTAAAGATAATTATTCAATATTACATATGATTTTAATAGAAAATCAGAAAATTCTTAGATATCATTATCTAATTAAGGCTCTAAACTATCTTATATTTTATGAATGATTCTATTTTGACATTAAAATCTAATTGATATTTATATTTCCAAAGTTATTGAATAATAAAAAAAATATAAACAAAATTCAAAATTCTGTTTAAAAACCATGATAATTAAATATTCAGATTTATATTCATAATTTATAGCTGACATAAATATTTTATCATCCAACTTAATAAATTAGTGTTTATTAAACTCTATTCTAAGTTTTAAAAATAAGTTTAATAATATATTAATAAATATCCTTTATAGTAATTTTATTTATATCTGAATTAAAAATTCTTGTAATTGATTAATAGTAGTATATTCTAAATAAAAATTAAAAGTTATAGATTATCTTTTGGTACTGAAAATAAACAGTTTAATATTTATTAACTTATCATGCATAATAACTGATTAAATGTTTTAGGATTTATTGATTGATTATTAATCATTTTGTTTTAACAAGTATATTAATAAAAATAATTTTAATGAAAAAAATATTTCCATCAAACACTTAAAATGGAGTTTCAATAGTAGATCCTGATTAGACTACTGTTTAGAGACTCCATTAATCTCAAACATCTAAAGCACATTTCTCTATGGTTCCTAGTGAACCTAGTTAGTCATCATATGAGATTATTGAGAAGAACAAAATTCAATATTTAGAATATTATGGTTAATATTCAGAATAAAGATTTATGGAAAATATGGCAGGTTATTAAATATCATTAAATGATAGGTTTGATGCCAATCTCTGAGAAACTCAAATTGCTTGAAAACTTCTTAAATATGTTTGAAGAAATGATGTCATGTCTAAATACTATTTTGAATAACCTAATTTTAATCAACTTTACTACATAAGACTTTTACTAGATATATAATACTACTCCAGAAAATGTTGCTAATACTTTATATAAGGATATAAAGGTATTAATAAATATATTTTAAAGACACTTGAAGGTCTTCATTTAGAACTACAATTTTAATCATCATTAAGATATTTGGAGACTGTACTTGAGGCTCTAGATTTTAATCCTGACCAATCAAAAAAGTTATATTAATTAGATGTGAAGCTATGGTCATCATAATGTTATGCTCATTTAAATTAACATATCACATCCCGTAATATGAAAGCTAGAGATAAAACATGCTGTTGTTGCAAAGTATGAATTAATTAGTTATATTCATATCTCTTTATTTAAAGTGAGAGACTTCACTTTTAATTTGTAACATCATAAACTTAGTTTAATATTATCATTAAGTATTTCAACAAATTTTTATTCCTTCATTCCTCAGTCTTTCATTTTTCTATATATGTATTTTAGTGAAATTATAAAGACTTAATACTAAAAAATATCTACATAGTCTAATATCTAAAAATTGGTTTAATTACCCTAATCAAAGGTTTAAGTATGTTATGTTAAACAAAAAAAATTAAATACAAAAAATTGATAATTGATCTTTTAGTTCTAAGAAATCCTATATTTATGCATATAATGCCTTTTCAAATAAAAAGAAATAGCTATTACTTACTAAATAATATATTTATCTAGTTGATTAATTATTATGAAGCTCAATTCGACTTTCACATTTGATCTCTTAATTATTAAATTATGGTTTTTTTCCTATAAAGCCTAGTAAAGCTCTTAATGTATTGATTTAAATTGTAGAAATACAATTTAAATTTAATATGAAAAAATGATAATCTGATCAAAGATAAATTTAAGTAAAAATATTTAAAAATTTATTTGTAAATCTTATTAAAGATAAATTACGTTTCTTCTTATGAGTATTTTCTAAATATAAAATTTTTATTACATTATTTTCAGTTTATTCTCTTTCTTTATTTTTTAAGCCAAACAAATATTAAGAAGTTCTAACATTATTTAATTAAAAATGGACGATTTGCTCAAAGAAATGGATGATACAAATTCAGATACCTCTATTGTTGATTTCAATTTTGCATCTGATGATGAAGAAATTATTAATCAATATATATAGCCTATTTAAGTAATTTAAGATTAAGTAGAAATTGCTACAAAAGAAAATTAGGTGACTAATGAATAAAACTCATCTACTAAAGGCGAATAAGATATCTAAATACAAAATAATTTTGAGAAATATACTTAAGATAACATTTCTTCTTTACCAATTTACCATTATAGATAAAAGCCAAAACTAATAAAACGCAAATAACCTCGAGAATGCAATTTAAGATAAGGATATCAAATAATTAAAATCTTCGGACATTGTGCTCATACTTCATACTAAAATTTACAATAAAAAAAAGAATAAGCTATCATAAAGATTACAAATTATGTAATTTCTGGTGTAGATAAGATAAGAAGATTATGATTTTGTGTATATACTAAATAAATTCATAATTAATTAGATACCATATAAATTTAATGAATTATTCTTAATTGTTTATGGAACAATTTAAAATCATTTTTAAATTGTTTCTGCTCTTTATCTTTTATAAGAATATGGAATAATATTAGATTTTTTTATTTCCTTTTATAAATTACCCTGCCTAAATACTTTGTTCTAAAGTGAGAATTAATATTAATTTAGTAATAAATCTAAAAACTAGTTTCTGATTAAAGGTTAATAGTTCTAAATTATTTAATTTATGTAAACAATCTATTTTTTTATGTCTATTATTAATTGAAATTTTAATTAAATTAGATTCATTATAACAAAGAATTATGCCTAAATAGACACAATAGAATATTTTTTAGATAAAATATTGAAATTAAAAAAACTAAGATTCCATAATAATTATTTATTTCAATAAAATTTATTATTATTTGAAGAAACAATCTAACAATATAATGATAAATTAATTTAACTGTATCTATAATTGTTATTTTAATTTTTAACAACTTATCAGAATTCAAAAGCCTTTGTTAAATAGGCTTGGACTTCTTTTTCATGAAGTTAATGGAATCCAGTAGCTGGTGATCCACTTGGCTTTCTGCCGACATATTAAACTTATTATTATAATAAGCCTGAGGTTTTTGAGATAACACTTTAAATTCTTGGCCTAACAAAAGACCAAGGTCCATAATTTTGATGTTCTTCTTAAACCCAAACGAAATGAGCTTTCTTATATTTTTAGATAACAGCTTATAAGAATTCGTATGGGAAAGGTGCTAATTATTCAATTCTCACAATAGCAGTATTCTTAATAAGAACAAAATTTTACTTTAACTTTTAGATCCTCTCTTTTTTTAAGAATATCATAATAAACTTGTCCTGAACATAAAATAACTCTTTAGATCTCATTAGGCGAATCAATTTATTCAGGGAAAGGATCATCATAAATTTATGAGAATCTGGCTTATTCAGAGAATTCATTTAATTTAGATTTGGCAGCTTAGAGTCTTAAAAGTCTTTTGGAAGTCATGGCAATAAGAGGTTTTCTGAAATCTCTTCTTAACTATCTTCTTAAAGAGTGGAAATAATTAGCAGGTGTAGTACATTAAACAATTTACATATTTGAATTTCTCATTTGTCTCTTAAGTCGAACTTGATACATAATTATAATTAATTACCTCCTAGATTTCTTTCAAAAACAGCAGGATCATCATCACTTAATTATAAAAATCTTTCAACTCTTCCTGAACTATGTTCTGGACCTTATCCATCCATACCATTTGGTAATAACATAACTAATCCACTATCAACATCCCATTTAGATTCAGCACTTGCAATATAATTATCGATAATAATTTATGCCCCATTAGCAAAATCACCAAACTGACCTTCCCAAAGTACTAATGTATTTGGATTAGTAATTGAATATCCATATTCAAATCCCAATACTCCATATTCTGATAAATGAGAATTATAAATGCTTAATCTATCTTCTTACCCTTTTGGTATGACTTTATGTAAAGGAACATATGAAGGACCATTTGGATTTTTTTAATCATGAATAACAGCATGTCTATGAGAAAATGTAGCTCTTTAAACATCCTCACCAGATAATCTGACATTAAATCCTTCATGAAGTAATGTTCCAAATGCTAGAGCTTCAGCAGTTGCAAAATCAACACCTTGATCTTTCTATATCCAATTTAGTCTTTCTTCATAAAATTTACGAATTTATGGATGAGCATTAAAATCAGAAGGAATTGTATTTATTTTCTCTCCAATTTATTTCAAAATAGTAACTGGAACTCCAGTATCTTTTATTCTCCCCCAAAGTGTTGGCACTTTAATCATTTCCCAAGGTACTGGCTACCAATCTTTCAAATTATAGTCCATTTTCCTTGATTTTTGATATGCTACTTCTAGATTATCCTCATGTGTTTTCATCAATTAATCTACATCTGTTTTTGTTACAATTCCTTAAGCAATCAATTTATCAGCAAATTTGATAAAAACAGGTGGAGTTTTCTCAATCTTATCATACATTATAGGTTAAGTAAATTTAGGTTAATCTTATTCATTATGTCCATATCTTCTATATCCAACCAAATCAATAAAGATATCTCTTTTGAATTTAGTTCTATAAAGTGTTGCAACTTAAAATACTTTATCTACTAATTCAGGTTCATCAGCATTGACATGAATAACAGGTGCTTAAATAGCATAAGCAATATCTGTGCAATATAAACCTGATCTACTATCTTTAGGTACTGTAGTAAATCCAATTTAATTATTTGAAACTATATGAATTATACCACCTGATTTATATCCTTCTAAATCTGCCATTTGTAATGACTCATATACAATGCCTTAACCAGCAACTGCAGCATCTCCATGAATTAATACTCCAAATGCCTTGTCTCCATTTTTATCTTTATGATAATCTTATATAGCTCTAACTTTTCCATAAACACAAGGATCTACAGTTTCTAAATGTGAAGGATTTGGTAGCATTTCTAATCTTAGTTTTTTTTCACCAAATTTAACATTGTGTACACTTCCCAAATGGTATTTTACATCTCCAGAATTACCCCAAATGTCTTCATTATATATTCCTTTTAAATCTTAAAATTCAACCATAATTTCTTCTGCTGATTTTTAAAAAACATTATACAAAGTATTCAATCTTCCTCTATGAGCCATTCCAAATACTATATATTCTACTCCTGCTTAAGCAGCACTATCAACCATAGCTTATAATCCTGAAATCATTGAATCACATCCTTCAATACCAAATCTCTTTGAAGTATTAAATTTCTTTTGTAAAAATGTACTAAATGCATGTTCTTATCCAAGTCTAATTAATATCATATACAATGCTATACCTTTCAAAAGTTTTCAATTTTTACTCCTTTGAAGGTAGAAATTCTTCAAACTTCTCAATCTATTCTCTAATCCAATTCCTTTCCTCTGTTGATTATATATGCATATATTCATAAGATATTTTACCACAATATGCCTTCTCTAAATAATTTATTAAATCTCTTAATTTCATTACTACATAAATAATCAAATCATTACGTTATTTTTCTTTGGATACACCTGAACTTACTTCATCATGAATATAAAATTCTCTATCTAAATCTTCTTCTGTAAAATATTCACGATAATCCAATTTTGTATATCCCTTAACTTTTCCTATTTATTATATGTGTTCTAAATCTAGAGGATCAACCATTGATTTTTCATGACCTCTATGTCTATATTTGTTGATTAATAATCTCACTCTAAAATGATCTGATAACAATTTTCTAACACTTGATACTTGCTTAGAAATTAAATGCATCTATACATCTGCTTAAAATGAAATTGTCTAACCCTTCTAAGGCTCTGGTGTAAAATCAAATTTGTTAGATTCACATACTTATCTAAAATATGCATCCCAAGTTGCTGGAACAGAATTTGGGTCTTGAGACCATCTATCTAATAAATTGTCCAAAAATTCTGCATTAGAACCACCAAGAAATGAATTACCAAATTTTTGTAATTCTGAAAAATTATAACGATTCAGATTCCTTCCAATAAACCTTAACATATTATAATATATAATAATTTATGCTTTTCCTTAAACCTAAAATTGATTAAATTAGATATAAAATTTATGATTTTAATTTTAACAAAAAAAATCGACAACGGCCAGATTCGAACTGACGCGGGGAACCCCAACAGATTTCTAGTCTGCCGCCTTAACCACTCGGCCACGTTGTCTATAACTAATACCTAAGTCAATCTCTTGCATAAATATGCTCATAGATTATATGCCAACTGACAATAAAACTTAATAATTTGCCAGCTACACTTAAATAATAGAATTATCATAGGCAACGTATAAAGCAACTGAAATTACTATGGTATCATCAATAAATATCAAGAGTACCTTTTAAATTTCAAATACAAATATAAATAATACTAATCATATCTATCAACTATATGAAATGATAACTGTAATATAAATATAATATTGATAATTATATATGTTAAATTGAATACTTTGTAATATATCATAATTGTAACATTTGAAAAATATTAATAAATTAACTCAACTAGAATTGTTTAATAATATAGAATAATTGTTATTTATTTATACAATTTATTATATGCAAATTTTATATAATATTTTATTAATTATTTATATTTTCTGCATTATAATTTTTATACTATTTTATACATTTTTTAGAGTTAAATTTATAATTAATCATACTTTAAGTTCTTAAGTGTCAATTAAATAGTCTCATGTTTGTTTATTTTAAACTTTTATTTTATAAACTATTGTGAACTAAAATTTCAAGAAAGAATTATCTCAATTTATCAAATAATTAATTTAATTTTAATAACCATAGAATCAATAGAATATATATTAAATCATAAGAATTATTTATAAGTAAGTCACAGAAAATGGTAGATCCTTGACTAATTAATTAAATACTAATTTTCGAGTTTATACATCCTTAAACAAATTATGACATTCATATTTATAAACTTACAATCATAATTAGATTTACAAATAATATAGTATAATAAATGGTCTAAAAATAATCATCCATTAGACAATAATTCTTTTTTTACAAATTTAATAAATCAAAAATAATTATTATTAAAATATTATATCTTAAATCAGATATATAAAACATTTTGAATTATTCAAATAAAATAATACCATTTGATAACACTCATTCAATTAAGTATATAATTTGTAATTAGTTTCTTGGACAGTATGACTTTTGATACTTATTATTTGTATATTGTTTAATTAACAAATATTTTGCATTAAAAAATAATCACTACTATCCAATGATATTATTAATAAAGTTTTTTGAGTGTCTTGATATATAAATTAATGTATTAATGTTTAATGTATTATTTCTTATAATGTCACGAATCATTATTCTACGTTTAATTCAACATTAATTCCTGGGCCAATCTTGAAGTTGGTTATATCTTTGAAAGTTGGCAATGTGCATTAGAAATCAATTACTCTTTTATGAATCTAATCCTTATATAATTGTATTACTCTCATTTCAAATCTATCCCAAGTCTTTGAACCTTCACCACATGGACTCTTTCTGACAGTCATTTTGAGGTGTTTTGTTGGCATTCTAACTGGTCCTTTGAATACAACTTGTTATCCTTAATCTCTCTTAATGTTGAAATTTATTTATTACTTAAATTCCTCTAGCCTTTTCAATGACTTAAGTAGTGAAATTTTCTAAATCTTAAGGGTTTCTGGATGTAACAATCATTCTAATTTTTTTCACTTGTTATTCATCTTCTACTTTCTTTTCTTTCAAGTCAGCCATAATATTTTTTTTTTNTTTTCAATTTTAATTCGAAATTTTCACAACCCATTATAAAATAATTCTCCTATGATGGTCATCATCCAAAAATATTTAAATTTCTGATGTAATTGGCAATATTTCTATTTCGAATTTAAAATAAGGATAAATTAGATGGTTGAAAAAGCAAGAATTTATTAATTATAGACTATGTATAAGTTATTATCTTAGAGACCCTTTGATGATATTTGGGAAATTATGATTCACATTTTTAGCAGTCGTTTATTAATAAAAACAAGATTTATCAACACTAAGTTAATAGAATGATTGAAAATAATAATTCATTATTGATTTTTTAGAATTATTCTTTTTACAAATTTAATTTATCAATAATAATTATTATTAAACAAATATATATCTTGAAAACATATACATAAAAGAATTTGAAATTTTAAACCAGATGATTAACATTAGAAATCACTAATAGATAATAGTTATCCTTTACACTTAATTACTTATCAGATTGTTTTTATTATTAAATAATTTATTTATATTCTTTAATTGATCAAATTTTGCATAAAAATATAATCACTGCATTAAAGTTCTTTGAATTTCATGATATATAAATTAATGTATTAATGTTTAATGTATTATTTCTTATAATGTCACGAATCATTATTCTACGTTTAATTCAACATTAATTCCTGGGCCAATCTTGAAGTTGGTTATATCTTTGAAAGTTGGCAATGTGCATTAGAAATCAATTACTCTTTTATGAATCTAATCCTTATATAATTGTATTACTCTCATTTCAAATCTATCCCAAGTCTTTGAACCTTCACCACATGGACTCTTTCTGACAGTCATTTTGAGGTGTTTTGTTGGCATTCTAACTGGTCCTTTGAATACAACTTGTTATCCTTAATCTCTCTTAATGTTGAAATTTATTTATTACTTAAATTCCTCTAGCCTTTTCAATGACTTAAGTAGTGAAATTTTCTAAATCTTAAGGGTTTCTGGATGTAACAATCATTCTAATTTTTTTCACTTGTTATTCATCTTCTACTTTCTTTTCTTTCAAGTCAGCCATAATATTTTTTTTTAAAATATATTTTTAATAAAAGATTTAAAATGTATTTCTTCTATGTGAGGCTTTTTATTTATAATTATAATTCATAAATTCTTGGAATTTTTATTTTGTAATACCCAAATACACTTCCTATTTGTTATAAAAGCTTAATCAAAAATACAAATATATATAATAACTCAAAATAAGTGGCAATATAATTTAAGTTTTTGTTTTATAAAGTCATTTCTAAACACATAAATTACCCCTAAAAACATTGAATAATAATCAAATGAATTCTTATCTCAATATAGATTTTTTAATTTTTTTAAGTTTTATCTCCAATTTCATAATAAAAAATATTATAATATTTGACAAATTTAAAAAGACATCATTCAATTCACATTTTGCAATAACATTAAAAAAATTCAAGAAGATAAGATCAAATATTAATTGTTTTTTTATTAAAAAAATTGAAGTTATTCTATTTTTATTTATTTATAATTCTAACACATATCAATTGCTATCTCATATTAAATAAAATTATTTAGAAATTTTATTTATCTAGTTATTAAACCAAATATTATATAAAATATATCTTATTCTATTTTCATATATTAATAGATTCTAAAAATGAAATAAAGTGTTTGTAATTCGTATTGATTATTAAATAACAAAATTAATTCTATTCAAAATTAACTTAGATAATTAAATCTAAAAATTCAATTAATGTGATTTAAAAATAGAACTTCCTTTTGATAATTAATTGATAATATCCATCTCCCATTTATATTTATTCAAAAATAGTATCTTAATAACAAATACTAATATTAAATTTATCTCTTTTAGATGATTCCTCTTAGTTTTATATTCAAATACCTTATACAATGTTTTAATTCTATATATATGAGTAACTGAAATAAGTAATAGATTAATCATGGAAATGAAGTATATTGCAGGATGTCATATTAAATACAGTGAAGATGTAAAATCAAATATCAAAATAAAAAGTTTTTTCTTGATTTAAGAAATAAGTGATTTAGAGTTAATTTACAATTCTCAAACATCATCAAACTAAAATTAGATTAAACAAGAATAATAAAAGACTGAATGTTTATAGTAAAGTTTCTTAAACTAAATTAAGTTTAATAATTTTTAAATTTGGTAATGATTATAGAAATTACATTATTTAAGAAAACTAGACATAAATTAAATTCATTTCATCATAATTCCCTTTTTAATATATAAGATAGAACTGGACTAATATTTTTGTTTTTTTCACATTAAATTTACAATATCTTAAGAGATAAAGTATACATAAATTAAAATTTTAATTTAAATTTATTTCACAATCAACCAATAATATATTTATATTAATAGCTAATAATTTTTCTAAAGAGAATGCTTTAGATATAATAAAATATCCAAATAATTTATATTTCTAATAAAAATAATCAGATATTTTCTAAATGTTAATAATTGATATCTTGGATATGTTTTTCTATTAAATAAAGAATTGTAAATTATTATAGACTCTCAATTAATTGATTTTATAACAATTAATATATTATGATAAAGCAACAACTTTTATAAATTTGTTCAGTTGATTCCTTTTTCAATAATCATACTTCTTTATTTCAAAAATCTTGTCCTGATCCATTTATAGCACAATATTCAAGCGAATTTTAGATTAGTAATCAAAACAGGTTAATAATCAAATAGTTGTCTATATGCTAAAATTTTATTAAATTAGGAGAAGATGTAAAGAAAAATCTAATCATAAATAGAAATATATTAATTTAACTGATGTTTGTATGTAAAAAATAGTTCATCCAAAAACAGGACTGTTTGGGGTTAAGCTAAGTAAAAATGGCGTAAGTTTTGAAATGTTTGGTTAATTGGATGAATGGATGAATTTAATGAAGAAGTACACTATATAATTAGATTTTGGTTAAAAGTATTAACTCTTTAACAAATTGGGGGAAGGATATTCAACAATAGTATATCTTATTTTAATTTAATTGATAGGTATATAGGGCAAAGAATAAGGTAAGTAAATAAGAGTTTGCTGTTAAAGTATTCGATAAAAAACGATTGTTAACTAATAATTATGAATCAAAGAAGTTTCTTAAAGAGCTGAAAATAATTCGATAATTGGAACATCCTCATTTACTCCACTTTTATGAAGTTTTTGAAAGCAATAATCATATTTATTTGTTAGAGGAATACTTAAAAGGATAAAAGCTTTCATAATTTTACTAAAATTCACAACCTTTAAAAGAAGAGTAAGTTTTAATTGTTATGAAACCTCTATTTTAAGCAGTGTAATATCTACATGATATCAATATATATCATAAATAAATTTGTACTTCAAATGTTATTCTGAAATAGAGAGATGATTTATCTAATCCTTGTTTAATTGGTCTTACTCATGCAGAACAACACTCTAATCTAGAATAAGATGATTATCAATATTTATAAGTAAATATAGAGAAACAGAGATAATATTATATCAAACTTGATGTACTTGCTTTAGGAATTGTAATGCATAATTTATTAACTGGAAATTTATAACATTTTGATTAAGCACTTGATGATGCTTTGATGAATAAATTTTAAGGAACAGCTGATTTTTAATTCCTTGATCCTCCTTTATCAGATTAATGTTTTGATTTTTTGACTATAATTTTTAATTAAGGATCTAAAGTTAGGACATGTTAATAATTATTATAACATCCATTTTTTGATAAAGAAAGTCAAATGACTAATAGAAATATTCCTATTTAATTTCTTGGAACATTAAATTAAAATTAAGCTATGTTTAGAATAACTTCAAAGTAATCATAAATGTCTCCAAAAGTAGTTAAAGATGTAAAAGTGATTCCAATTAGAAAACAATTTAATATAATATCAAAAAGTCCATAAGAAAGGCCTAATTTAAATAGTGACTACTTTGAACCTCCAAAAACTCATTTAATGTTTAGAAGAGGTAGTAGATAAAAGAGAACTTTAAATTTTAATAATCATAATGATAAAAGCAATGAGTCAATAAATTGATTTTCTTAATGATATTTAATAATTGAACTATTTTCCTTACTATAATATATTCATATTAATTTTACTATTTTATTTAATTTCAAAGTATTTTTCTTTAAATTATATATTTTATAAAATAATATGAAAAAGTAAAATAAAAATGATATTTTTTTTAATAATTTCTAATAATAAAGCACAGATTAGACATTTAACAAATCAGTATGATTGGAAGTCAAAAATAAAGTAGATAATTTTTAATAGAATACATCTTTATTTGTATCTTAAAAATTATTAAAACATCTTAAAGAAAATAGTTCTATTTAACAAAAAGTGTACTTTTAAACTAAATAGACTAAAAAATTACTTAAATTAGAGAATTGATTGAAAATTAGTATAAAAGGAGTACTAATTCAAAAATAATTCATATTTTATTTTAAATCATGAAATTCATATTGATCTCAATAACATTACTATTGTTTTAAGTGAACAGCTTAAGTGTAAATTCAAATGATGTTTGCCAATGTACTACAATTTAAGCGCAAAGCGATTGTCTTGTAAACTCTAAATGTAAATGGGATGGTACAACTAACAAATGCTAATAAGAGACAACAACAACAACAACACGATTTGTATCAAAGCTTTGTACAGATTCAAAAACTTGTTCAAAGTAATAAGGTTGTGTATTTTCTGAAAATAAATGTATAATGATGGGAGATTGTTAATCATATTTGGGTAATTCAAATGCTGAATGTTAAAAATATTCTTCTAGATGTAATTACAATAAAGAATTAAAAACATGCACTTCAAGTGATGTATGTAGTTAGTATAGTGGAGAAGGTTAATAAACTGAATGTGAAAGTATAACTTAATTAAATGGGGATAAATGGTGTAAATTTGATACTACTGATAATAAATGCTTAACAAAAAAATGTTCAGATTATGAAAAAACAACAGATGCTGATTGTGCTGCTGCATTATAAGATGCTAAATGTGTAAGTGATAAAAAAAAATGTTTATCTTAATTAGTTAATTGTGATACATACACAGCAGAATTATGTTTAAGTGTAAATGCATTGAATGGACCATGTGAATTAAAAAGTAGTGATAAAACTAAATGTTAATCAAAAACATGTGAAGGTGCTACAGATTCAAAAACTGATACTGCTTGTGATTCATATTTAAAAGGATGCATTACAAATAATTTGACTTGTTTCTAAACTTTACCATCTTGTTCAACATATTCAGTTACTGATTGTCCACAAGTGAAAGGAAATAAAGGAACTTGTATATTAACATCAGGTGAAACACCTACTTGTAGAGATCCTAAATGTGAAGATTATACAGAAGGTACAGATGAAGCTTGCAAGACTAAAGATCCATCATGTATAACAAATGGAGCTTATTGTGTATTAAGCTTAGCTGATAAATGTGATAGTTATACAACTGGAAATTGTGATAATATATTTACTAAAGAAGGAAAATGTAAATCTACAGATACTGATAAATGTGGTCTTGATTAATGTACAAATTAAAGTAAAACAACAAATGAAGAATGTGGTAAATATTCAGGAACTGATGCACCTACTTGTATCACAAATGGAGTATCTTGTGTAAAGAGTTTAGAAGCTACTTGTTCTCTTATCACAGTATCTGAAAGTAGTAACTGTGAATAATATATTAGTAAGGAAGGTAAATGTAAATTAAAGGATGGATCAATATCAACATGTGAATTAGATTCTTGCAACACTAAAACTTTTACTACAGATGAAGAATGCAATAAATATTCAAGTCAAAATGTAGCACCTGCTATTATTTGTAAAACCAATGGTCTTAAATGTGTAGATAATTTAAATACTTGTGATTCTTATTTAAAAGAAGAAGGTTGTTCATCACTTAAAGGATCTGATGGATAATGTATGGATGATTCAACTGAAGGATCTACAAAATGTATACTAGCTACTTGTGATAAAATCTCATCACCATCAGTTCTAACTTGTCCAGCTGGAAATTCAACTTGCAAATTTGATGGAGTAAATTGTGTTAAAGACTTGAAAACTTGTGAAAACTATACATCAAATTGTGATAATATGATTTCAAGTAATGCTAAAGCATGTACAACTAATCCAACTGATTCTTCTAAATGTATTACTAAATCATGTGCTACTGCTCCAGCTACCTTATCTACAAATGAAGAATGTAATAAATACTTTGCAGGTTGTGTTACTAGAGGTTAAGGATGTATTGCATTATTATCAACTTGTGATACTTATAATGGTATTAAAAGTACTTGTGAGAAATATTTTGGAACAGATGGAAAATGTACTGCAGATGATGCAAATAAAGCTGAAGATAAATGTAAATCTAAAGATTGTGCTAATGCTACATCAGTAACTAATGATCAATAATGCAATGCTTATTCAAATATATGTTTTTACAGTGCAAAGATTTAAAAATGTTAAAAAAAGGTTACTGCTTGTAATGGAATAAAATCATAAACAGAATGTGAAAATTCATTAACATCTGAAGCTTCTGTATTCTGCACTTGGAATGGTGCAGCATGTGTTTAAGCTACTTGTAATACTATTTAAAATGTGAAAAATAAAGAGACTTGTGCAGTCTATGGGGCTAATTGTGAATATGATAATATAAGTGGATGTAAAGATAAGACTAATTATACTTGTTCAACACTTAGAACAGCTAGTTTATGTTTATAAGATTCTGCATCAAATGCATGTATTTGGGATTCTACTAATAAAACATGTATTATGTATAATAAATGTTCTGATTATTCATTAACACCTGCCAAAGAAAATGAAGTTAAAACTGCTGAATAAATTGCTAGTGAAACAGAAATTTGTAAATTGTTATCAAATAAATGTTATTCTAATGGAGGTAATACATGTGTTTCTAAAACACCATGTTCTGTTATTAAAGAAGAAAAAAATTGTATTGGTAGTATAGGAATAGATGATAAAGTTTGTGGTTATGATGCTAAAGCAACAGCTTGTAAAACATTTGGTTAATGTTCTGATGTTGAATTATTAACTCACGCTGATTGTCAAAAGTATAGTCCTACTTGTACAACAGATGGTAAAACCTGTGTTGCTATAAACAATTGCTCAGATGCTACCACTAAGGAAATATGTGATCTTGGAGGCATAGATGGAAAATGTGCTTGGTCGGATGATGCTTGTAGTCTTTGGACTTGTGAAAAGGGTACAGGTGCAACTCATGAAGCTTGCAACAAATTATCAACTTCATGCACTACAGATGGAACTAAATGTATGAATATTGGAGAGTGTAGTAGTTACACAGATAAAAATTGTGTTTTGGGATTAAAAAATACTCCTTGCTTTTATGATAAAGAAAAATCAACATGCAGAAATAAAGTATGTACTGATTACTCTAATGTGACTAGTTAAGATGAATGTGATAAAGCTGGTTGTGCTTATGATCCTGAAGCAAAAGCTTGTATTGCTATTGATAAATGTTCTCTTTATAAAAAAGAAGCAATTTGTAATCTTAATAAATAAGCAGATAAGAAGGAATGTGTATGGAGACTTGGAAAGGTTTCTAGTACAACTGATGGATGTTTAGAATTAAATGCTTGTTCAAATGCTTCTTCTAATTAGGCTAAATGTGAAAAAATGAGTAATTGTTATTTTGTTCCATCTGTTTCAAATGGTACAACTACAACTGATTCTGAATGCAAAAATATGGACTGTTATGGCAAAAATTAATAAGTGACAACTAAAGGTCTATGTAATCCATTCAAGACTTCTAGTTCTGATGGAAAATCTGAAACAGTTACTTTCTGTAATTGGAGTGATACTTAAAAAAAGTGTATAGAAGGAGATCCATCTGTAGATCTAAAGGTTGAAAATTGCTTTACATTGTCACAATATACATATTATTGGAATGTAAGCCAAAACAAATGTGTTTCATGCAAAGGTGGAAACACATAAACTAATAATACAACAAATTAATCAGGTTCAAACAATGATTCAATAAATTCAACAGATAATTATAGTGTTAGACTAGAATTAATAATATACATCTTATTATTATTCTATTTAATTTGAGAAAGGATTAATATATCCATTAAAATTACATTATATTATTTATTATTTTCATTAATTTAGTTCTGCAGCATAATTAAATTATTTTTCATATTATTCTTTAATATTTTTTAATTACCAATCTATAATTTAATTCTTTTCTCTCATTCTTAAACTATTACCTACTTTTAAATAATGAATGATATCAAAATATTGCTAATATTACTAATATTGAATTAATTATAGAATTAAATACTAATAATAATAAAAATTATTTGTAATTAAAATATGGATTGAGGAAGAAAAATGAACTATTATCTTTATTTATTCATTATTTTAATATCTAATTATTAAAAAAAAAGTATAATTAAAATCAAAATCCATCAAATCTTTAAAGCAATAAATTTTACTCAAATATATGTATTAATTAAATTAAATGGGTTGTTGTATAAAATCAAATAAACTAAATAAGATTTAAGTCATCAAGACATCTAATGGTGTGAATATATTTACATCTACAACAGATATTCATCAAATTTATACTTTTGGAAAAATGATGGGTTTAGGAGTATTTGGAAAGGTAATGATGGCTAAGATGAAATCAAATGATGAAAAATTATTTGCAATAAAGATTGTAGAAAAAGCTAAGCTATAAGGAAAAGAAACATAATTGTCTAATGAAATTTATGTTCTTTAAAAACTTGATCATCCAAATATTGTAAAATTTTACGAAGTTTATTAAAACAATATGAATTTCTACATTTGTATGGAATATTGTGGAGGAGGAGAACTTTTAAAGAGAATTCCATAACATTAAAGTTCATTAACAGAAAAATAATGTTAAAAAATAGCTATCAAAGTATTTATTTTAAATTGATTCATAGGTACTCTCAGCTATGGCTTATATGCACGAATAGGGTATAATTCATAGGGATATTAAACCAGAGAACATTTTATTTAGTAAAAAAGATTTGAATTCTGAACCAAAAATTATAGATTTTGGAATGGCAATCAAGCTAGATGAAACAAATTAATAGTATTTACTGAATTTAATAAAATAGAAACAGAATGAATTGTGTTGGAACTCCCTTATATGTAGCACCAGAAGTGATTGATGGATATTATAGTGATAAATGTGATGTATGGAGTTTTGGAGTAATGCTTTTTTATTTACTTTGTGGATATCCTCCTTTTTATGCTGGTAATAAAAAGGATTTATTTTCTAATATATAAAATCAAGAAGTAAATATACAATAATAAATAAGTTAATTTTTGACAGAAGACATTGGAATTTTATGTCAAAGGAAGTTAAGACTTTCTTAAAACGATTATTATGTAAGAATCCACTTCTAAGACCAACTGCTAAAGATCTTTTAAAAGATCCATGGTTTAATGTGTCTTTGGATGGAGTCGATAAAAATTAATTAAGGCGATCTAAAACTAAAGCAACTACTTTAAGACAAACAGCTCCAAGTGATTATTTTGAAGATTGCCGATCTATTTATTAAATGTTAAAGAACTATAAAAATGGAGCAAAATTTAAGAAGGAAGTAATGAAAGTACTTATAAACTTAATGAATGAAAAAGAGTTAGAAAATTTAAAGAAAGTCTTCTCAAAAATAGATGGAGATAATTCTGGAACTATTACATATCAAGAATTGTAAAAAGCATTTTTGAGTGAAGTAATAATAAATTTAAATAATATCAAAGGGATCTAGAGTATCACAAGAAGAAATTAAAACATTGATGATGGCTGTAGGATTTGAAAATGAAGTTGAGACTGAAGATTGTTCCTCTGCTAAATCCTATAAACCTTTAGTTATAAAATATAGTGATTTTTTATTGGCTTGCATAGATGAACGAAAAGTACTTACTAAAGATAAAGTATATTTGTATTTATATTTAAAAGCTCTTTTCTTTATTCAAATATTTTGATACTTAAAACAGAAATTATATAACAAAAGAAAATATCTAAGAAATATTAGCTAGACATGGAAAATCTTTAACAGAAACTAAAATAAATTAGATGATCTATGAAATCGATCCTAATCACGATGAGAAGATTACATTTGATGAATTTTGTTAAATGATGTCTACCAATATTGGTGCTTAATTTATTGAATTTAAATAAGGAAATATTGAATAATAGACAGTTTCACCAAATCGAAAAGAAGTAGAACTAATATAATTTGAATGAACATATCTATAATCTATCTCGTGTTTGTAAAGTATATTAATTTTATACTAATTCTATATTAAATATAAAATATTTTTAATTTATATGGGAAATTATTGTCATTTAGAAGAGACTCCTAAATCAGAAAAACCAACTCTTAAAAAGTCAATTAAGGAGAAAAATGTTATACAGAATTTAATTCTAACAAATACTTAATTTTTAGAGTAATGTTAAGACTTATACTTCAAATAATTTCATAAGGTATAGTCATAGGTCCTAATTAGAATATAGTTGAAAAAGACATAAGGTCATTATCAAAGTTTATGAATTAAAAAATGTTGGATTCCTCTATTAAAGGATTGTATCCAACTGAAGAAGAAAAATAAGTTATATCAAAAAATATCTCTAAAGATATTGCAAAAAAAGAAAAACATATTTATAATTAACTAATCTTTCATTATAGTTAATTCCTTAATGAACTATTTGATTTAGATCAAAATTTACAATAAAAACCTATCTCAACATATAAGACAGGAGATATTAGAGTAAATGCTTAATTAAATCGAAATACATAAATTCGGCGTAGTTTGTCAGACAATTATAAGTTTTAAGATAAACTATTATTATAAGATTAAAGTATATCTTAAAGCAAAAATATCGATCAAAATATAATTAGATAATTTTAGGAAAATAAACAATTAGCAAACATATTTTTAGATTAATTAAGCTGTTTTTACAAATTATGTTATTTAATAATTGAATATGCCTATTCAAATTATATAGTATCAATATTTGGTACATCTATTGATTCATTTACAGATAGATATTTATTGATATCAAAAATATATCAAAAAAATATCATAGAAACAAATCCATTAATATAAAAATTGATTACTACTGCTATTCAAATCAAATATGAAAACCAATAATCTTTAATGAAATCTGAGCATATGTCTCCAGCAATTTTATAGTCATAATTGATTCCTGAATATGTAGATAGTATATTGAGTGTTGAATTTGAAATAGAATTGTTAGATTCGATTGAATAAAACTAAAAGTATTCAGATTAAAAAAATTAAAATTTTTATTACTATTAGACATTTTCTACAATTGATAGGATAGTTAATTGTAAAATGCCTTGGTTAAAATTTAACTTAATTGGAAAATTGGATTTATAAATTGTTGATATTTTCTTATAAGCTCGTTCATAAAGCTAAATAGCTCATTTTATAAATGTAATTAAACCTGAAGATTCTAAAGTTGAAGTCTTACTTTATATTCTATAAAGATATATGGCAGCAAGAAAAAATTTGAATTTATCTTAATGCTATTATGAATTAAGATGGATGTAGGATGATGATAATGTTTTACATAAAAAAGTAAAAACTATTACTTGTCCATATTTCAGTAGATTTTTATCGTTATATGAAATAGCTTTTAAAAATTATCACAGAAAATAAGCCCAACTTTTATATAATTGATTGTTTAATTAAATAATGGTCTATATAATAAGAACTTCGAGTTTATATTTTCTAGTACCATGATTAAGTGTTCATAGATAATAAAATGTAATATTCAATGAAATATCATTTTATTATTGTCTGATTTTTTATCTAGACATAAATCAATTTTTAATTGCATTTTTATCTTATAATTTTTATTGTTGATTTCTAAAAACTATAAGAATTTTTAATATAATTATTATATTATTATAATCCGTTTTCATAAGTAATGAAAACACTTCTACTATTTATTGTATTCATTGGAATAAGAGCAGTAAGAAGGAAAGATGATGAACAGTTTCAAGCCAATCAAGAAATTTTGCATAATGACCCCTGTTTTGATGATTTAGAAGAAATTGTAGAAAATCCTTTGGGAGCTAAGGTTTTATAAACAGTTGCTTTACAAATAAAAAGTGGAGAGGGTATCGATAGTATAGTTTCCTTATTGACAAATTTGAAGAGTGATCTTGAAGTAGATTATGCATCTATCAAAAGGGAAAATAAATTTAATAAGATGGATCTAATGCAGCCATATAATCATAATGTAAATCAGATATGGACAGCTATAGTTAGAGGATATAATTAGCAGTAAATGAAATTAATGATGTTGAATTCAAAGTAGGAAGATTAGAATCAGATATTGAAGATTATACAGGTGAATTAGAGCTTAAACAATCTTAAATAGATGTAATAATTTGAAGATTCATTTAGACTTTTTAAGGTGCTGAAAATTCTTTGAGAGATTTACGATTGAAATAATCAGCCAATTATAATAAAAGATTAGGTTAACTAAAAGAAATGATAAATGCATTTTAAGTTATGCTTCCAAAAATGCATGAATTATATGATTAAGTATAATCAAGAGATGCAGAAGTATAAATTTAATTAATCTAATTTAAATAGTCTTTTGTTTAAGAAGAAGCCTTTGCAAATTCTTTTGTATAATTAGCAAATGGTGGACTTGCTAATCCAATTTTAGCTTTGGTTCAGGTAACCTCCATGATGGATTCAAGATCAATTCAAACCATTATTGAAAAAATGGAGGTTGTTAGAGATTCTTTAATAACATCAGTAGATGAAGAAACTGCTTTAGAAGAGCAAGCTATTAGAGTATTCAATATTTATTAACAAATTAGGATAATGATGTTACTCTTAATGAAATATTTAATGCCATGTAGGCTTTAACAAGAGAAAAAGCAGCAGATGATGAATCATTATAAGACACTATAAGGACAAGAGATTAGTAATAAAAAAGAGGAAGTGATGCTTAAGCTGAATTTGTAGCCTCAAAATCAGGTATGAAATAGAGAAGAGGATAATGTTAAGAATTATTAGTCTAATATTAATAAAATACAATTTAAAGAAGTAGAGAGATAGAGATTATTAAAAAAGTGTAAATCATTATTTAGACTAAATTAAATGTAGTGAAATCTTTTATCCAAGAATAATAGATATCTTGAACTAATTATTTTAATCTATATAAATAAATTATTTTTATTTTTATTCATTAATTTATTCAACAATTAGTTAATATTTTATATTTTCAATTAAATATAAGTTTGAATACTTACATAAGCAGTTTATAATTTTGGTTTTAATAATAATTTATAAGAGATTAGAATTTAAAGAATATTTGTTTTACTATAATATAGAAGATTTTATCTTACATTTGATTTACTTGGGTATTTATATATTTACAAATTGGTATAATTGATTTTCTAAAAATGAAACTAAATATTGATGGAGTGGATATCACAGATTAATAAATATGGATTATATGAAGTAATAGAGGTAAAATAATTAGTAGAGAACATAAGGAAAATAATACATATATATATTGTAAAACATAAAAATATTAGAAAGGAAAGCTTATTTATAAATAAAAAATTCAAATTATTCAATATCTACTTCTTCATTCTTATTTTACATCTTTATTTGATATTTTTAGTTTTCCTTTAGTTAAAATCAATTGTTCTTTTTGTTTTGCAGAATTATTTTTTGTTTAAAGTATTGTTGCCAAAGGACTTTGAGAAGTATTACTATTTCGTTTTTTGAATTATGAAGGTGATGTTGCAATTTTATATCTCTATTCTAAACTCATCCTTTTAGAATTTTAGATGTCTGGCTTTAATTTATTTTAGTTTCTTTATTTTCCTTGTATTTCGTTTAAATTGTTAGGTTCACTTTAAATACATAAGGACAATTATGAAGAAGAATTCTTTATAATATCATTATTAAGATTTTATTCTTCCTTTTCATATTTTGATTCTTCTGTAATAAGAAATCTGGGATTTAAAATATAATTCTTTGTTAAGGATGGGCAAAAACACTGATCATAATCCTCAAATTCTACATTTTCTTATTCTTATTTAATTGACTATGTCAAATGTTTTGTAACATGGAACTCTTTTGATTTAGATTTTGGAATTTATCCACAAACAATTCCCATTTTAATTAAAAGATTCAATTATATAATTGTGTGAATAAAGTAAAATTCTGGCAAATGACTTTTAATGAACTAAATATTTATGAATAATTAAAATTATTATAATAATAATCATAATTGAAAGAGAATTGTATTTCTTATTATGTCATTTGATTCTTCCATATAATATAGAATTTAAAGGAAGTAAATGAGTTGTTCTTCTTTATATTTCTGGCAGATGAACTCTTTCAAGTGTTTAAGGATTAGGTAATGTTTTAAGTCTAAAACTTAATGGACTAGAAATTTGAGGAGCTGATTTAGTTTATAAAATTGGGAATGAATTCTTTAAAGATGCTTTGACATTTTTGGGTTTATTTAGATTTTATAATTTAGACTTAATTTATTACTGTAATTCTCTAATTAATTTTTCTCTTTAAAACCATTTATGATTTAATGCTTAATGAGATGAAAGTCTTTCTTAAGGATCTAATTTAAGAAGACCTTTAAGTAAATCTGATGCTAAGATGCTCACCTTAATGTCATGAAAATCAATATTTCCAATTAAATTTTGAATGACTTTCTCTTGATAATTACCATCAAATGGTTCCTTACCTGTGAATAAAATAAAGAGTAAGATTCCAACACTATAAACATCACATTTGAGATCATAATTTTAATCAGCTAATACTTCAGGTGCTACATAACCTACAGTTCCACATCTTTTAAATTAATAATTTCCTTCATCATCATAGAATTCAGCTAATTTGAAATCTGTTAAACATAAACTATCTAAATTATCTAATTATCTAAAAATAAAATTTTCAAGTTTTATATCTCTATGCATAATCTTTTTAGAATGAAGATAAGCAACTATTTTTATTATTCTAAATATTGCTTTAGCAGCTTTTTCTTCTGAAAAAAAAGGATTCTTTTAAACATATTCTTAAAAAGTATATGGAGGTAAATTTTCCACAATTACAAAAATTTGATCTGGACTTTCAAATAGATCATAAAATTTGATTGTTAAATCTGTTGATAATTAACGAATCACTGATATTTCTTTAAAAAAAGATTATCTATCTTCATCATCATAAATTTATGATTTTTAATATACTTTGATAATATATTCTGAATTATCTAATTTATTTTTTCCTTTAAATGACTCTCCAAATTTTATTTTGTTGAGTTTTTTAATAAGAGTATAATAACGATTGAAATCATATTAGACTGCAAACCTTTTCATAAATTTATACCAATTATTAGCATTACCAAAGAATTCAACTTTATCAAAACATTTTGTTAAACGAACTCCTATACCCAATTCCTAATCAGATATCAATTCTATAATAGCATTTTCATAATTAATCCATACAATTTTTTCCTAACAATTAATTCACTGCATACATTTTTATTTTTATAATATATATACTGATCTAAAAGTTTATAAGTTCTTCTCTTAATTTATTATTTTTTGCTTATACAAACTACATCATCTTCTATATTAAAAATAGTAGGAAGAAATGGTAGATTAGATTTATTCCACTTCATTTCTTAAAAGGAAATCTAAAAAAAAGAACGACAATGTTTATAATTACAGCTATATAACATATTTAAAATTACCTTGGATTCAAATCTTCATACATATCTTTAAATTAATTTAAACTTTTTATTATTAATATTAATAATAATCAATTTTGTATCAAAAAAGTTTGATAAATCACTTAATTCACAGAACAATTAATTTTATACATAAATTTAAATCATAATTATTATAGAGGTATTTAAAATCTTCTAACCTATCTTAATTTATAACCACCTGATGTTCTAGGAGTATTGATAGGTTTAAGAATCACAGGAGTATTTGGTGTCTAAGGACTATCTTCAATATTACACTTTGTAACACAATAAGGACTGAGGTTGGATACAGAACTTTTTGGACTAAATTAAGTTAAAATGGCAGAATATTATTTAATGTTTGTATCAAAATAGGCTAATTTCTTTTAAGTAGTTTGATTTTATTTTCTGATTTTAAATTAACATATTTTTGTTAGGTTTTCACTAGCAAACCAAGGATGACTTAAAGCCTCCTCAGCAGTTAATCTCTTAATAGGATTCTTGTTCATAAGTCCTTAAAGTAAGTCCATACCTATATCACTTAATTTACAATCTTCAAATTTAACTTTAGCATAATAATTTCTCATTACAACATCATCATAATCTTTTCCATCAAAAGGTGATTTTCCTGCAATTAAAATAAACATTAGAATTCCTATACTATAAATATCTATTTTGAAATCATATATTTTATCTTATAATAATTCTGGAGCAACATATCCAGGAGTACCACATCTAGTAAATAAGTATTATCCACTTTGAGAATAATAATCAGCCAATCCAAAATCTCCTATACAAATATTTTCAACATCTTCTTTATTTCTAAGCATAATATTTTCTGGTTTAATATCTCTATGTAAAATTCCTTTTTCATGTATAGATGAAACTGCTTTCAATAATCTAAATATTAATTTAGAGCATTTTTCTTCTGAAAAAGGAGGTGACTTCTTCATATATTAATGTAATTCGCCTCCTTTCAAATATTCTAAGACTAAAAATAAAAATTCGTCTCCTTCAAAAACTTCATATAAATGGATGATGGATTCATGCTAAATTTTTTTCATAATTGATATTTCCTTGATTATAGCTAATCTATCTACACTTTCATTTAATTTAGCTTTTCTGAAACATTTTATTGCATATTCAGATCCATCATTCTTGTTAACAGCTTTAAATACCTAGATTTTATAAAATATCTTACATCTGCAAAATTTCCTTATCCAATCTTCTTCAGTAATGTGTAATGATGAGAAAAATTCCTTTGAATACAAAATTATTTCAGATAATTGTACCACGGTTCTACATCTCCAAAGAACTCAAAATATTGTTTATTTTTTGTAATTTTAATTCCAAGTCCTACTTTCTAATGTTTAATATATTCAATTGTAGCATTATCTAAATTGATCCATTTCTTGATAGTCTATTGGTTATTGTACCAAATTTACTTGTTTTTTGAAATAAAGTAAATAATGATTAGAGATACCTAGAGTTCCTTTATGTAATTCTGAATCTTGATCTATGTACATAGTATCATGCAAATCCAAAACTGCATCTTTTGTTGGATATTCAGTGACATTCCAAAATACAGAAGTATCAGGATCGTCAAAAAAAGAATCTTTATTAATCACATCCATATTAGCTTTTTATTATATAAAATTTAGATATAAGTAATTTCATTTAATATTATATTTCCAAGGTAAAATAAAAAGATTTATTTCCTATGTAGTTAGTTACTCATTTTTAGATTACTTATATTTAAATTAAAATATAAATGAAAGTCAAGAGAATCAAAATATTAATATCATTACAAAGAATTAAGAAAACTAAATATTTTCAATTGGAATTCTTAATCTTTAATGATGTGATTAAATATTAATTTTTTTATTATTTTATATATTTACATGTAATAATCACATAACTCGGCATATTAATTGAAAATTGTAAACACTGAAACCAGGTCAGATATTGTTTACTATCAAATTTAAGTATTATATAGCATTATATTTAAGGTTTTAAATACTTAAACAAAAGTGTCATGGAGCTTTGAAGAAAGATATAAAAATCTGAATAATTTACACACGCAATTATCTTCAGAACTTAAACAACAACTTCCATCCTTTCCAGCTAAAAAGTTTTTTGGAAACACTGATCCTGAGTTTATTTCAACAAGAAAGGCTGGATTATAGAATTATTTTAAGACTTTGCTTCAAATAGTAGATGCAGATTAGTGTCCAACTTTAAAGAAATTTTTAACCAAAGGAGAACAAAAACATATTAAAGATTAATAACAACCTTTTAAAGAAGACTCTATTAAGTAAAATGATATATAAGGTAATGCGTCAACAATAGAAAAAATACAACAATAAAAGTAATAAGAAAATGAGAGGATAAAGAAAGAATTAAAAGAAAAATTGGCAGCTGCAACTTAATAAATCAAATAAAAATTCGTTGATTTAGGTAGTCTAGTCAATGCACCAGAAGAACATGATATTAAAAAAAAGAGAGCAATTTATGATTAAATTCGTATAGAACAAAAAGTAATTATTTATTCTTATTACTTAGAATGCTTTTATAATAGATATTCCTAAACCAAGTTAATAATCTAAAATGATGATTGCTTAATCTACGATAGAGCAAACATAACCAAAATTAATATAGTTGATATCATAATTACAATCTGGAGTAGAGAGCATAATAGGAATTTGAGTATTTACATAAGCACAAGATATTTTACTATATATTTTAAATTATAGAAACTGTCTTTAATAATGTTAACCATTTTAGAAAAGTTTGACATATTTGGTGTGCCTATTAAGTTGAAAACTATTAAATAATAAGAGCAGTTTAAGACATCTCAAAGTGGAGTGATAACAATCATAATAATGATTTTAAGCTTAGCTTATTTCATTTATGTAATATAACAATGGATTAATGGATAATTAATTCCTAAAGTTACAAGTTCTTAAAGAATGATTGATTATACTACTTATGAATGGTAAAATGGTGAAATCTCTTTCACTTTATATGATTTAAGCTCAAAGATAAATCCCTTCACAAAACAAAACAACATTATTATGACAGTATTATTGGAGATCTCAGGATTATATGTTTCTGCTGAACCTAGATTTTTATATAGTACATTATAAATGAATGGAGATAAAAATGTTATTACTATTGATAAAGGCAAATTAGTATTAAGTTAAATTGATGGGACGAAAGAAGAGAATCAAGAAAATATCAAGTAATATTTTGTATTTTTTACAAAATGTCGCTAAGATTGGATGGAAGAAGGGGGATATTGTGCTGATCCATAAGAAATTGAAGATTATTTCAGTACAAATCATGGATTATTATTTTTATCAATAAATCTATAGTAATACAATTATGAGACTTTGGAATTTGATGAAATAAAAAAAACTTAATTCTTCGCCTTTGAAGAAAGTAGTCCTTTTTATTCTTAAGTGATTTTATAAAAATAATTAACTACTATTGATAATGCAGTATTATTAAATAGCTTTCAAAAATTTGAAGTAATTAAGGATTATTAAGTAAATACTTAAGCAGTGTCAAAGAAATTTGCCTAGGATACAATAAAAACTTAAGATGGTTCTAAATTTGAATTTGAATCATTGTGTACATTCGTCTTTAGGATTGATAACATTGAAGCAAATGAAACTATTCTAATGCCAAAATTAGGAGAAGTATTGGCTTAAATTGGATCTATTGTAAATATAATAATGTTATTGAAAATACTCTCTAACATGATTAATACAGCAATGTTAGAGAGTACAATATTGCATCAAATAATTGAAATTTATTATCCATAATTTAAGCAAGTTTAAATTACAAAGAACTTTTTAGGTTAAGTTAAATAAGTACGATATAAAGGTGTTGAAATTAAGTTAGCCCATTTTTAACATAAATACAATTAATTATTAGAAATTGCAAGAATGAAATTCACTTTCAATAATCTAATCTAGGAGTTATCTCGTGTTTAATTGGTTTTAGTAAATTAGATAGGAATGGAAAATATAAAAAAGATATTTAAGATAGAAGAGGATCTAAAGTTCTTTGAGCAGGATAGATCATCATCATCAAATTCTAATTTTTAAGTGTAGAATTTAGTTTCGATTTCACCTGAAGAATCACCAAAAAGATAAGAATTTGAAAGGTTCGTATTGTTTAATACAGAATTTTCATAATGACTATTATTTAAATACATAGATATTAAAAATCATACGTCATAAATAAAAGTGTAAATGTTAACATTTGACAAATATCCATTCTTGGCCTAACTTGGTTTAAAAGCTGAAAACTATGGAGCATCTCTTAGTGGAACATGGGTTGGAGATGGAGAGTGGACTACTAGTTATAATCCAAACACAGGAGAAGCTATAGCAAAAGTTAAATTAGGAACACTCTAATAATATGAATAAGGCATGTAAGAACTTTTGAAGGTTAAGAATATGTGGGCTGAAGTATTAGATATATTTAAATTAGTTACCTATCCCAAGAAGAGGAGATATAGTCAGATAAATAGGAGATGAGTTTAGAAAATAGAAGGAAGCATTAGGAATGTTAGTTGCTTTGGAAATGGGTAAAATTAAATCTGAAGGTCTGGGTGAAGTGTAAGAAATCATAGACATTTGTGATATGGCCTGTGGATTATCGAGATCATTATATGGATTAGTAATTCCATCAGAGAGACCATCACATTTTATGATGGAATAATGGAATCCCTTGGGTGTAATAGGAATTATTACAGCATTTAACTTTCCAGTTGCAGTATTAGGTTGGAATTTAGCACTTGGATTAATTTGTGGTGATGTTTGTGTTTGGAAAGGAGCACCTTCAACAAATTTATCATCTATTGCTTGTACCAATATTATTCATGAAGTCTTTAAAAGAAATGGAGTAAACTACTAAATATAATCTATTAGTTACCAACAAGTATAGTATTCACTATTTGTGGAGATGGTGTATAAATTGGAGAAGCAATTACAAGTGATAAGAGAATTCCATTAGTATCCTTTACAGGTTCCACTTAAGTAGGTAAAATCATTGCTGCAAAGGTGGCTTCCAGATTAGCCAGAAGTCTTTTGGAATTAGGAGGAAATAATGCCTAGATTGTTCATGAAGATGCAAATGTTGATTTAGCACTTAAGGCTGCAGTATTTGCAGCTGTTGGTACATGTGGATAAAGATGTACATCTTTAAGAAGATTGTTGTTACATAATAGTATTGCAGAAACATTTATTCAAAAAATGGTTAAAGTTTATGCTACCATTAAAATTGGAAATGCTTTAAATGATGGTAATTAATTCTTTTATTTTTAGATACCTTATGTGGTCCACTTCACACAAGAGCATAGGTTGAATAATACAAAAAAGTTATCCCTGAAATTTAAGCATAAGGAGGAAAATTACTCTATGGAGGAAATATAATTGAAGGTCCAGGTAACTTTGTTTAACCAACAATCTTCGAAGTTTAAGCTAATCATCCTATTTTATAACATGAACTCTTCATGCCTATCTTATTTATTGTTAGATATGATACTTTAGATGAGGCTATTGAAATTAATAATAATGTTCCTTAAGGTTTGAGCAGTTCATTATTCACTTCAAATTTAAGCAATTCATACAAATGGACTGGACCTTTAGGATCTGATTGTGGTATTGTAAATGTTAATATTGGAACATCTGGAGCTGAAATTGGAGGAGCTTTTGGAGGTGAAAAAGAAACAGGAGGTGGTAGAGAATCAGGAAGTGATTCATGGAAAACTTATATGAGAAGGTCTACATGCACTATTAATTTTGGTAAGACCTTACCCCTTGCTTAAGGAGTTAAATTTGATATTTGAAAACATTATTATTGTACAAAATGTTAACACAAAAATTTTAATTATTTTCATTAGAAATTGATTCTTATAATCATACTGTGATTAAAATTTGTAAGAATAACTTTATAGTGTAATAAATGTATTAATATTTTACTAATTAAATAAATTAGAATATTTGGTTAATATAATCTATTAAAATATATACAAATATAGTTATATGTAGATTGTTATTCTATATAGAAAAAATTATATCAATCCAATATGAAAATTTAGAATATAAGGGAAATTCTTAAGTTTTTTCTTGATGATAAGTATAGAGTCAATAAATGTTTGTATTTTCTGGAAAAAAACTTTATTAAAATCTATTTTATTTATAATTTACTATAAAAATGCAATAAATATCAACTAAGGAAGGCAAATATTTGTATGGCTTATATGTTCTATGTTAAGGAAATATTATATCTAGTTCGTAGAAGGGATATCTAAAGGGTATGGTGTTGTAGTTTTATTAGATTTATTAATATAAAAGGATTAGTAAATATTGGAGATTGTTAATGAATTTAACAAAGAAGAATGTTTATAAGAATTACAAACAAAACTTTAAGAGATTTTGATTGGTAAAGCATAAATTATAATTATTAAGATCTGTCAAGCGAATCTTAAAGTTTAGCTGGTAATACTCCAATTCATTAATAATGGTATGATTAGTTTGGATTATTAAGGTGTTATAGATCGTAGGATAACAATATTTGGGTGCTTAACTAATTGGGAATAAAGGAAAGTTAAATGAGATACTCATATAAGTTCTTAGAAACACAAACTAGCTCTTAGAAAAGAGATACTCCAAGAGAAGAATTAGAAGATTAATTCTAGTGATACTAAAAGGTTATGAAATATATTTATTAACAGATGAGTAATAATATTAATATTTTCAATAATTAATGAGTGAAGAGTGTGTAGAATAAAGACCTGAGACATCAAAATGTTCTCGATTGGAAAAACGGAGAATGGTAAGTTAGAATTCATAAAGAAATCGTACTGCAATATAAAGCAGAACTGCTTAAAATTTTAATCCAAATAGTTATAATGGGATGACATTAGAAGAATATTTTAGAAATAAAGTTTAAGAGAATAATAATGTATAAGTAGATAAAAAAAAAAAAGTAGTGAAGTTTTATATAATAGTTTTTGGTTACGAGTAATGAATTCTTTAAAGAATTCTAAAATTAAGATGTTATGAGAAGAACATATATGGGAGATAGCAAATATATGAATATGAAGTAGGATATGAAAAAGAAAATATAAGATTATGATAAGGATTTGTTTTAAAAATATGCTAAATAATTTGATTTGGGAAATGGTTTTGGAAAGTGAATTTATTATATATATTCACAATTTTTAAATAAAATAAATAAAAGATTTCAATATTTATGGGTAAGTAATATGCAAGAGAGCCAGCTGTTGCTAAGAAATCATGTAAAGCTAAGGCTAGTGATTTAAGAACACATTTTAAAAATACTTATGAAGTGGCAAGAGCAATTAAAGGATAAACACTTGCATAAGCATTAAAATATTTATAAGATGTATTATAACATAAAAGATGTGTTCCATTTACTCGTTTTAATGGTGGAGTAGGTAGAACAGCATAAGCAAAAGAATTTGGTAGATCATAAGGTAATTTAAGCATAAAAATCATTATTTAGGTAGATGGCCAGAAAAGAGTGTAAGAATTGTTTTATCATTATTGTAAAATTTGGCTGCAAATGCTTAAGTTAAAAATTTAAGCAATGAAAAATTGATCATAAATCATATCTAAGTAAATAGAGCATAAAAGGGTAGACGTAGAACTTATAGAGCACATGGAAGAATTAATCGTAAAAAATTAAAATATTGCAGCATTTTTATCATCCAATGCTCATATTGAATTGTGGGCTGCAGAAAAAGATGAAAATGTTAAAAAGGAAACAAATAATCAATAGGTGGCTCGTTAATCAAGAAAATAAGTGGCTAGATCAAAATTATCTATTGGTGCATGAATTTATAATAATACATATTAAATATTAATTTTATGAATAACCCTTCTCGTTTTCGATAAAGTTCGAATACTTAAAGTGTTAATTATTTACCAGTCTGGAAACAAAATGATTCTGAAGAAAGAAAGAAATATCAAATAATTCTTTTACCTGTCAATTAACCTAGAGAAGATTACATAATTAGTTCAATTTATTAGATGTTCAATACTCAAGACATAGAAGTGAATAAACTTATTTATTATTACTTTTATAAACTAAAAGAGAGTGGTCCTCATTAATTCTTAACAAATAAATTATATTAGATATAACAAGAAGAATTAGAGTTCTTCATTCCTTAATTAGTGTAAATAATAAATTTTTATATAAATTAGGTATATACTAATAAAGTATGATTCTCCATATTTAGAAAAGTTTATAACAACATTGTGTAATAAAAGTATAGCATTGTATTAACTTATAAAATGGTGTTGGGTTTCTTATTCTGACAAGGATAGAACAGATAAGAATAAAATGAAGAGATTATAAAGAATAGACGATGTAAAAATTACAATTACCATACTAGTAATTTGAATAATCGATGTTAACTTTACATAATGATCATAGTGCAGTCAAAATTCCTAATTTATAATTAAAATCTTATTAGAGTGTTGTAGATCTTTATTTAAACAACCTGATTTAAATGTCATTAATACTTAAAACATATAAACCAGAGGACAGAAAACCAAAATTAAAAAATTTTATCACAAGAGCTAATGTGGCTCTAGAGAAATATCGATTGAAACATTAAGAATATTATTTTTGTTAAGGAATTACTGTACCATTTACTATGAGCAAAGATTAGAATGTTGCTGTACATTCAAATTTAGTAGTTAGAATTATAGAAGGAGAATGTTCATGTTTCAATACTAAAAAAAGAGTTCCTTATAGAATTGTTGTGGAGACTATTGAGTATATGAAAATATTATTAATAGTCCTCATGAATTAAAATATAAACAACCAAAAAAGACTGCAAATAATTCAATAACTAATAATAGATCATTTGCAAATTTAGATGATGATACAATGGAAGATTTTTTGTAAGCTGATTTAAATCAACCAAATAAATAGGAAATAGAAAAAAAAATGGAAGAATTGGCTAAAAATAGAAATAAAAAAGAATATAGTGATTTAATGAAAATAACCTAAAATAAGGAACCAAAAAAAGGAATAAAAATGTTTAAAAATATGATGAGTGTTGTTTATTTATCTAAAAAAGACAAAACAACAGAAAGCGAATAAGATTAGGAATTAATTTTAAAAGAAAATATTATGAAAAATTTGTAATTATATAAGTAATTTACAAATGCAATAGAAGAAGATACATTTTAAAAAAATAGATAAAGGTAAAAATATTACATTATTAAAAAAGGTTTAATATATTATTTCCTGAAAAAACTAATGAAAGAACTTAATCATGTATTCCAAAATTAAATAGCAAATATAGATAATAAGGTTAAAGAAAGGATAAAAATTATTGGTTAAGACTATACAAAGAAAATAAAAAAAATGGGTTTAGACATAAACATAAATCATTAAAATAATTAACTGCACTTGGAAGAGTTAGATTTTTTAAAGAACTAATATTATGTATTTTGTGATTACATAATTAAGTTTGTCCCAAATATGAAGAGATATTAAAAAAGATATATGTACATCTTTAATATGATTTGATTGAGAAAAAATTAGAGAAAAATAATGTAGATATTCATCAGGATGGGATAGAATTACATAGTAAATTTGGACCATGGGATGAATTATGGGAAGATAGAGCTGAAATGATTAAGAGAGAAAGTCCTTATTAACATTTTGAAACATATCGTCTTAAACCTATTATTGTTAAAGGAGGCGATGATTTGAGATAAGAACTTATGACAATGCAAATTATATATAAGATGTATTAAGCATTTTAGAGTTATGGTTTGGATATGTATGTTAAGGCTTATGAAATTATAGTTGTAAGTGCAAGTTCAGGAATTCTAGAATTTTGTGCAGATACTATTTCAATTGATGGTTTAAAAAAGAAATATCCAGCTTGCAAATCTCTTGTTCATATTTATAAAGAAATATTTCAATAAGATTTTGAAGAAGCTTAAATGAGATTTATTTAGAGTCTTGCTTCTTATTCAATAATCAGTTATTTATTATAAATAAAGGATAGACACAATGGAAATATTTTGATAGACAGTAAAGGAAGAATAATCCATATTGATTTTGGATTTATTTTATGCATTTCTCCTGGAAATTTAAATTTTGAGAAAGCTCCTTTCAAATTGACTCAAGAATATATTGATTTGATGAATGGAAGAAACTCTGATCTTTTTTTTTATTATAAGAATTTAATGTATAGAGGATTCAAAGCACTTTAAGGATATGTAGATGAGATAATAATGATTATAGAGATTATGATGTAGGATAGTGACTTACCTTGTTTTGAGAGATTCGACATCAAAGAATTTAGAGATCGTTTCAAAGAAGAGGCAAACGATGAAGAATTATAAAAATATGTTGACAAATTAATTGATTACAGTGACAATAATTGGAGAACAATTTAGTATGATAATTTCTAAAGAATGACCAATGGTATAATGCCTTGAATATTAAAATATGCGATATTTATAAAATCTTTATTTAATGATATTTGTACTACTATTATTGATATCTTAAACAAATGCACTTTATTCAAAAAAACTCTATAGAACTAGAGGTTTTACAGCAATTGATATTGATCTATAGAAATATGATGAATTGAATTAAGGATCAACTACCATAAATATCATACTTGAAAATAATTCATTTTCAACTGTTCCTTTTTTAGCTTATTGTAATACCAAGAATCAATAAATTATAAAATCGATTGTCAGCTCTCCTGAAGCCATTAAGAAATAAATTGAATCAAACAAGTAATCATTGAGAATTGATAATTAGAAAATTATGTGTGTTTGATAACAATGCTTTGTTATATTCATAACGTGTATAACAGATAGTATTATCAGATTAAATCAATGATGAAAACGAATGGGCTTTTAATAAATTTAGTATATATAAGTTAAACGAAAAACAAATTTCTATTTATGTCTATTCATCTGATGATTCTTAATACACAATCATAATTAAGGGTTCTTAGAAAGGAGAATGTTATAAGTTATTTTTTAATCTAAATTAGTTAATGCAATAATTATGGTTTGTGTATGAGTAATTAAATACTTTTTTGTTAATGCAATGAAGGTTATTTGGATAGTACTTGTTAATTATAAAGTACTGTTGTAAATGCTCCAAGCTTAGTTCATGTATAATACAATATTATTTTAGTTTGAAATGAAAGAATAGTCTTATAAAAATATTCTAACTATTCCTTTAAAGGCTACACTAGCTTCCTTAGAAATTGAAGTAAACACGAATGCAAGAATAAAAACATATCTTGGATGTCAACATGACAAAGATTTTATTCCATTTTATGAGAGTAATTCATTTTATCAAACGGAAATTTCGACTGGAACATTAAAATTTTCTAAAGATGACATTTAATATTGTCTTGATAACACAAATAAAATAGAATAAACATTAGGATTCAGAATGGAAAATTATGTAATCCTATTATTAGTTAATGATCAAACATATAAAATATAAGTTTCTTTGAAACTCTACATTGATAGCAAATAAGAGGATAATTCTGGACTAGAAATATATTACATCTTAGCTGGTGCATTAGGAGCTTTAATTGTTGCCTTATTAATTATTATATGTGTGATTTATTTTTAAAGAAAGACTAGACGAATAAATAATGGAGTTTAAAATAATCTAAATTTGAGATCATTTTCAGTTAAAGGAAATACTAATAGAAGTTTACGATAAGATTATATTCCAGTGGAATTGTATGAATAAATCATTTAAGAATACCCTGGATTAGTGGAAATTTCTGATTGTTAGATTTGTCTTGTGGAATTCGAGAAACAGGATTTAGTCAAATTAACATATTGCCTACATTTATTTCATTCCACTTGTATAGATGAATGGAGAAAACGAAATCATGTATACAAATTATAGTTATATATATAGACCTGTCCATTTTGCAGAGAAGACTTAACAAAATAAAAATGCATACAGTAAAAATAAGAGGATTAAATCTATTAGTTGGGAGTTATTTCAGGTGATGCAATGTAAATAGATGAATAAAAACTTGCAGAATTTTAAAGGAGAGAATAAAGATTGAGACATTTATAATGTAATTTTTATTAGAAATTAATAGAAACATCCTCACCTGATTCTGCAAATGCAATACAATAAAAGGAAAATACTCCATCCCCATTTTTAAAAGGAGATGTAATAACATAATAGCTTTGCGTATCATCTGGAAAATGAAAATTATGATTGAATTAAATGTTTCTATTTTTAGTTTTTAAAATAATTATAATTCAAAATAAAATTCCATATAGATTATTTCTTGATTTCTTATAAAAAAATTATTGTTATCATTTGTTCCTTTAAAAACCATGAAATGTTAATATTAAATATTATGTTATCATTTCATTTATTGATTTAAATATACAAATAAATATGTAGTTTTTGACAACATGAATTAATTTTTCATTTTTTTTGAATTTTAACATTCCAAATTAAAATTATTTTCCAAACAATTATTTTTTTATCATGAAACAAGCATTACGAATGTTTACTTAAAGAATTGATTATTATAAATATAAATAATAGCTAATCTCTTAATAATTTATTTGCTTCACATTTTTATTAAGTTAGATTTGGTTTTGTTATTTTTTAGTATAATAAACATAAGAAATTTAGATATTAGTTTAGAATTTATCTTTAATACATATTTTATACATATTATTATATTAAAGTTAATTATTTTTATAACGTCATATGACATTTTAATAATACATAAATTTACTATGTCTATTTCATCATTTATAAAGATAAGTATAAAATCTAAGATAATTAATTATACAATCATGAATATTTCAAGCATATTCACAATTTTCATCCTATTAACTATTGGTTCCTGCTTATAGAAGTCAATATTGATAACTAGACATGGTGCTAGATCACCAAAAGTATATACTGAGATTGATAGTACTTATTATTGGACAAGTTAACCAGAAGATTTAACTGAAATAGGATTATAATAACATATTAACTTAGGATAGAGTAAAAATGGAATATCAATTACAGATATGAATGGAAATTGCATTTATGAAAATTTAGAAATTTAAGCATCTACAACCTAAAGAGTTATTATGTCTACTATTGGATTCCTAAAAGGGTTATGTCCAAACAATTATTAAGAGATAATCAAAAGATACTTCAATGAATATTATGCTTAATATTCTACAAATATTGAAGCATGGAACTAGATTATGGCTTCTGATTTCTAGAATCCATTAGAATTAGAACTTCATTATTTTGAAAGACCTAATGATTTTATGTTTCATGGACATAAAAAAACAGTTTGTCCTGCCATAAAAGATTTGAAAAAAAAAATTGAATCTAGTGAATATTTTAAATCAAAAGAAGAAGAATTTAAAAATAGACCTGAATTTGATGAAGTTTTTGATATCATTAAGGCTGCTTATCCAAGTAAAATCTTTAAAAAGAAATCCATTACTTTATCTGATATTGAAGATATATTTGATGATTATTAAAGTAATCATGTCTAAGGATTTCTATTTCCAAATCCATCATAAAAAGCAATTGATTATATGCAAGAAGTAGTGAAATTTCTTAGATATTATGAAGATAATTGTGATTCATTGGAACATTATGCATAATTAACTGAACCATTCAAATGGATTATATCATAATTATATTCTACTACTCCTCTTAGTTGGTATTCAGGACATGATACAAATTAAGTGGCAATTTTATCTGCCATCTCAGACTTTTAACCAATCATTCCATTTGCATCATAACTAGAAATAATTGTTAAAAATGAAATAGTTATGGTGTTTTATAATAGATAGTAGATCTAAACAAAATTTTGTTCAGATGGATACTTTTGTACTCGAGAATAAACAGTTAATTATTTAATGCAATTCATTCATCCAAATCTCAATTCACTTTGTGGTTTAGAATTAATTATTTGATTTAATATTTATTTAAAACTAAGTATATATATTAATTTAATACTATTTTTCTTAAGTTTATAAATCTTTTAAATCACCTAAATAATTCAATCATTTAATTAATGAGAACTTTTTAAGTATTTAAATCAATTCTATAATATAAAAATCTTCTTTATATTATTAAAACTTCTATTTCCTAATCATCAATATTTAGATATCTGCTTTTCAATATCATATTATTTAATTGCATTTTGTTATTCTCTTTTATACATATTTCTCGAATTGCTTCTATAATTTTTAGTAATTTAAATTGGTTTATAAATCAGATTTATGATCTAACTTTTTATATTCTAAAATTTCAAAGAATTAAAAAACTTCTTTTAGAAAGAATTTATTTAATTTTCTTTTTTATTTATAGTTTTACGGTTCATTGTAAAAATTTGAAAAACACTCAACAGTGATATTAAGAAAATACTATCATATTTAATAATGGCTAATAAAAAACAAAATAATGGTATGGATTTTTAATATTCTTAAATGACACAAATTATGTTTGTTAACTATAAAATAAATGTAATATAATCATAAGTTATTTGCCCTCTATATTTGGCGGATATTTGATTGATGAATCATTTATTTTTTTTTTAAACTAAATTTTATAACTGTCTTGCAAAAAATGAACCAAAAATTAAAATTGATTGCTTTTGGTCTTTTTAAAATATAAAATATATAAATTTGGAATAAATATAATATGATATTGAGATACAAATAAAGTTATCATAAAGGAATTGATTATTATTTAAAGATTTTGTCATTTTTCTCAAGAAACTAAAATATCTTATCTTATACTTTTAAATTAATTTTAAAACTAGTTGAATTATGGGATGCAAAAAGTATTATCCTTTCTAAAAATGATGTAAATAAACTTTATAAAAAATAGTGTATATAGGTTAAGAAATTTAGGCAATATTTAATCATAAATTGTATCTGAGAACTATAAAAACTCATTAGTAGCTTTTAAAATAATTTAAAAGGTCAAAATTCTTAAATAGTCTTCATAATAAAATTAAGGAAGAAATGTAAAAGATAGCAATTAAATTTTTCAATGAAAAAAAATAATATATAGTTTATGGATTATTTAAGATATTAGAAGCCAAAAAATTATGTTATACAAATCAATAAGCTTAAATAATGAACACTTTTCAATTACTTCTATAATGTTCTGAATTATCAGCCAAAACACTTTTACTTTTAGCATTTGGTATTTTTAGAACTCTTAAACTTTACCTGATAAAAATATCAAAACTTGATATATTTTTTGGTTTCTCAATATATAGTGAACTAAGAATTTTAGAACATTTATTAAAATGAAGATAATTAAAAAAGAAATTTGAAAAGAAAACATCTATTTTCTTAAATTGCACTCTTAGGAGCTTCAATTATTACTTATATTTATTCTAACTAAAACAAAAATTAATAGAGTTATTTAAATCCAAAATAGTATTAATAAAATTGATAATACCTTATTCTAAAATAGTAATATAAAAATATTAATATAATTCAAAATGAAGAGTAGTTTTGCTTCGAATTGGAAAATTATGGTTATTTAATGGATTATATTCTTAATACTTTATTTATAGTAAATATTTTAGAGTCAAATTACGCAATTTATACAATTTTATTTCTTTTATATTATAATAATTAGAAGAATATTAGTTCTGACGTAATACAATGTTTTAAAGGTGCAACTTTCTCAGCATTATAGAACCTCTAAGATAGTAGTAGTCAGCAAGATTTTAAGTTTTATTTGAATTTCTGAGTTTTATTTTGTATTTCAACAAATTCTTCTCTTAAATCTCGTCATGGAGTAATTCAATAGCGTCATAAATATTAATTTAAAACACTTAAATGCTAACTCTCCCCCCTTAAAATTCAATTTATGGCATGACTCCTTAAAATTTACCTGAATAGGAAGCATTTCATGAGAAATGGTTATTTGGTTTTGAAGAATAAAATCCTTTTCTTCCAACTTTTGAATATCTAAATACGGTTTTTCCTTAAAAGAAAATCAAAAAAGAAGAAGAAATCATATGTTAGAACAAGGAGCTATTCAATGTCAACTAGTCTAAAAGCATCTATCTTAGCAAAATAACTCAATTAATTGATACTGAAATCACTCCAAAACAGTAATGACATAAATTTATTTTGTTAGCACAAAGCGAAATGGAGATAAATGGAAAAGAAAAATGAAGTAAGCAGGTGATTCCTCTGAGGAGCCTTATGGGGCAAATACACACTAATTAAAATTGGCTCGAAATAGACAATCGGCAAGAGATTCAAGAAAAAGAAAGAAGATATACATTGAACTTCTTGAAAATAAGGTTGAAGAATTGACGTAGGAGATGTTGAGACTTCAAGCAACTATTGCAAACTAAAACAATTATATTAATTATTGTGCTAAAATCCCATCTATGGTATTTTTTAATTATAAACACTTTATTATAGATCAAAGAATTCCATATGAATTACTAAAACTAACTGCTAAATCTAAAACATTCTCCCTGTCAATCCTAACTAAGAATTTTAGACTAAGAATTTGGAGTTCAGTCAATAAGAAGGATAGAATTGTGTAATTCCTTCTTCAACACTTTGATGGACCATGCTATTCCAAATGATTTAAAAAAAATCATGGAGTCTGCAATGAAGGGTATTATTATATGTTGAATAAATTAGGATAAGACTTTTTTAATGAGTAAGACCCTAATTTTAAGGCTAATCCAAAAAACACACTTAAGGAAACTTAAAGAAAATTTATTGAGGAAACAAAGCGTTTAGAATTGTATGAATATAATCCTAATTATATTAGTTACATGTTTGATATGGCTAAAAACTTCGAAAAGGTTCGTTAGTAAAGCTTTACTTTGGAGCAACTTAAATAAGAGGCTTTGAAGGATATTTCTCCTAAGACCTTTGCTTAATACTTAGTCAATATCAATCCAGAACAATAAGCTAATGTAATTAAAGAAGAGGATGCAGAGCTATCGTCACTACAGTCACCTTGATTCTATTGTATTATTTTAATATAAATTTAATTTTCACATGGAAATTTGTAAAAACATCAAAGCTATAAATTTTGATGATGTGTCAGGTAACCATAAATTCAGTAGATACAGTGCCTTGTAATTCTGATTATGGTATGCCTTTTGGTAAGGTTAGAAAAGGATTTGGAAGAGTAGGGAAGGATGAGAATAAAAAACCAAATAATTAGATGCAATCAAAGAAATGAGTAAATGCAAGTACTTAAAATCTTATTCTACCTAAGATACCACCTATATAAATAAAAAACATTCGCTTAAAAAAAGACAAGTATAAATTTAGAATCTATTTTAAGATTACTTTCTAATTTTTCAATTAATGGTTTTAAATTATCTACAAACTAATACAATCTAACATAATAGTATTAAACCAGAGATTATGGTCTTTTATAAAAATAGCTTAATTTAAAAATCTAATTTAGTTATCTTCGACTAACAGATATAGGGATGGCCAGAATCTGGTAATCTGACAATCAAAATGATACTAGTGGTTCTCCTCCTAGCTAAACATATCTGAGTCAAATTACATCAAATTCGTGAAGGAGCTGATTTTATTAACAGTTTTTTAAAGAAAGCAAGGCAATTAATTAGGAGTTAATGGTTCTGAGGAACTCCAATCTCATCATTGGTTAAGAGATATTGATTGGATTGCTTTATTAAATTAATGGCTACATCACTATATTCTATTAATGTAAGATTAAGTTTAGAGTTATCAATATAATTTTGATGCTAAATTTACTAATTTAAGACAGTTAAACAATTTAATAAATGGCATAATTTTAAGAAGACAAACTATCCTAAATCTTTTTAATGGATATACTTTTGATTAAACTATTATCTAGTAACCATTCTAGGATAAATCTACCTCTGAATTATCGATACCTAAATTAAATACATAGTAATTAACATCTTCAAAATTAACCAATCCTGGTGATACAAATCACTAATTAATGTATATAACATCATTAAATATCTTTAAGTTTCCTAGACCCCAAAATTGTATGCAAAATCAATGTCCTCTAGTTAAAAGCCTTTAAAAATGATTAGTTATTTTTTTTAGTATTTTATATTTTCATTGAAAAATTATTCCTAAAAGAAATTTAATCTAAAAGATTAATTCTTTTCAAAATTTAATCTTTCCATATTCATATTTATAATTCAATTTTTTTCTACTAATTCATAAACATAATATTTCAACAATATTCTTACTAATTTATATTAATTAAAATTAATCAACATCGAGTTGTTGCTGGAAATAAATTGTTAGTATATAAGTATAATTTAATAAGTTGTTGTTTTTAGGAAGGTTAAAATAAATGAATAATTGATAGAAATTATATTAAATTAAATGTCTAATTTATTAGTTGAATATTAGTAATCTTATTAAAAAAAATAGATTTTCATTTCCTTTTGGGATTCCTAGATTTTGTTGAATTCTAGAAAATAAATTATCTATAATTAGATATCATCATTTAATTCTAATATTTTATTAGATATTCCAGTATTTATTTAGTAATAAATTATAAAAAGTATTAATCTTTATAAGCTACGACAATATAACTTAAAAAACTTTCAAAATTATTTTAGCTCTTTCGTACTATATTTTTTATTATTTGTAATACTTAAAATTAAATGACTTCCAAACGAGCTTATTTTAATGAAAATGAAAAACAATTGATTTATTTTTTTAATGAAAAAAAGTACTAGCTCCTTGGTTGATAACTCAAAAATGGCATTTTTTAATGATGGAAATTAATTGTTTACTACAGCAATTGACAATAATCTTCAATTTCTTGATCAAGGGATTTTTTAAATGACATATTAAAAAAAGGAAACTTTAGTAACAATTTATTTGGCAGAAACCATTCTAAAAATTTGTGATAAAGTATTTGTAGAGTTAAAATTAGAAATAAGATAGATATATCAATATTGAAAATTCTTATTTGAGAGGTGTAATAAATTAAAAAAGCAAATAATTTGGTTTTCGAATCTGCAAAAATGGATAGCATGTAGAATTTTTTGGAATACATTTAGAATTCTTGAATAAAATTAAGATTTATATGATACAATCTGATTTTTAATCAAAGTATTAAATAATTTCTAAGATAGGAAATGGATATTTGTCTTCAGTAAGTATTTTTAATAAAATTAGGTTTATAAAGTTTAGCATACTATTAGTGGTTAAGAATGCGCAGTTAAAATCTATGAAAAATCAAATCTAATTAAAAGTAGCAGTTATGAGAAGGAGTTTTTAATGAATGAAATTAATATTTTGAGATAGGTAAATCATAAGGGATTATTAACATTATAAGAAATTTTTGAAGGAGAAAAAAATATATATATAGTTACAGAATTATTGGAAGGAGGCCCAATCAAAAAATATATATTTAATTAGAATCTTTCTGATTAAGAGATGATAAAAATCATGTAGTCCCTTTTCGATTCGTTAAATTACTTACATAAATTAAATATTTATCATACAGATATTCGATTTGATAATATTTTACTTCGGGATTCTATGGATCTACAATCAACTTGCTTAATTAATTTTGGAAAAGCAGTTTAATTTCCTTAAAAAAGAAGGAGTATAATTAATTTGACTCCTCAAGAAGAAAGTGCCTAAAAATTTTATATGAAAAAGGACATATATTCTTTAAGTATTATCATTTTGAGTATTTTTACTAAAAAGTTTTATTAAGAAAATTAGTTGGTTGATGAATTACTGATGAAAAACTTTAAAAATATCAGTTATATTGAGTATATGGAATTATCACCTACATTATAGAGGTTTTTCGAAATGATTTTTACAGAAAAGTATAAAAAAGAAATTGATACTCTAACTTGTGAAAATATTTTGGAATTCGAAGTTTTCAAAGTGCCTTTAAAACCTAGGAATTCTAAAATACAAATTTCTTAAAATTTAAAAAGTTTAGTGAGAAGAACAAGCAAATATGAACCAAGGTTATCGCAAAGGGAAAAATTAGAACAGACATTAAATATAATTAAATTGCCTCCAATCCATGGAGATTCTCCAACATCAACAGGTAAAACACACTCTACTAGTCCATAATCGGATCGTTTCATCTCTAATTAATTAGCTTCTTTTTTAAAGGCTGGCCACTTTACTTAAAGAAAAAATGCTTTAAAATAAAATATCATTATATGATTTTGAGTATATATATGATTTTATATTAAATGCTTTCATTTATTTTATTAAATGATTATGAAGAGATTTGTGAAACAATAAAGAGATTTGGCATTAAATTATAATTAAATAACAAAGTATAATTGATAAAATTTAATAACAATTACAACATAAAATAAATCATAAATGGGAATTTGTTGTTCACAATAACCAGGAGGATTTATTTAAAATGTTGAGTTCAGATAATTTGAACCAGAATAGATTCCTACATTAGTTCCATAATAAATAAATTTTGAAGAGCATGAGGAAGAAATTATAACAATCCAAAAATCAATAAGAAAGAAAAAAGCAAAAAAAGTTGCAGCTTAGATGAAAGAAGAGGCTGAAAAAGAAAAACCTGGAGATTTTTGGGTCTAAAGTAAAGAGCCAAAATCTTTGGAATAGAATGTTTAGATAACATATAATAAGTTGGGCAAGTTTAAATTTGATAAAAAGTTGCCCTAAGAATTTAATGAATGCAGATTTTTTATGCCTCATGTATAAAATGATAATATCAATTTAGGAACATAAAAAAAACTCTGGAAATATTTATGTAGGTTAATGGTTATAGAGATTGAGGCATGGAAGAGGAAAATAGTATTTTGCTGATGGGTCAATTTATGAAGGATATTGGAAATTTGATTAAGCTAATGGAAGAGGCAGAATTATTCACTCAAATGGTAACGCCTATGATGGATAATGGAAAAATAATTCTGCAAATGGTTATGGGATATTTTATGAATTTGATGGTTCCTAATATTAAGGAGAATGGTTATAAGATTAAAAGGTTTTTATATTTTTTAGAGTAGCATGGCTAAGGTAAAGAGATTTTAAATGATGGAAGCTAATTTGAAGGGATATTTAAGGAAGGAAAGAAATAGGGTAAGGGTATCGCCAAATTTCCTAATGGGGATATATATACTGGATAATTTGAGAATGATTAAATTTCAGGTTTTGGTGAATTGATTTTTGCAGATGGAAAACGTTATAAAGGACATTTTAAAGATGGGAAAATGCATGGCAAAGGACATTTTATATGGCCTGATGGCAGAGAATATGAAGGTTAATATTACAATGATCTTAAACATGGGGAAGGAGAATTTAGATGGGGTGATGGATCAAAATATATAGGGTAGTTTCGAGAAGGAAAATAACATGGTAAAGGAATTTTTATGGATAAAAATGGATAACAATGTGGAAGTTAATGGAGTGAAGGTAAGGAAAAAAGGCAAAAAAGTGAATAGTGATTAGGAGTAGATTTTATGATATTATTCTTCAGTATCTTATATTATTTAAAACTATTTTATCGAAAAAATTAGCTAACATTGTTAAATCATTTTATTTTAAATTCTTGTTTTTTTATTTTACTTGGGCTTTCGTAGATAGTTGATTGAACAAGGGAATTAGTTTTAGTTGGAGAGTATCTTTTGATTGTGCTAATGTTTAATTTACATTCTTACTTGAATGCATTAATAGAATCGATTAAGGAATATGGGTATTTCTACAAAGCTCTTTCATATTAGGGTACATGAGATGTATATGTAGAATAATATGGAGTATAAGCTAAAGTATTGCTTGTGCGTAATTGATCAATTTCTCCTTATCTTCTTGCTTCCAATTATCTTAATCTTTCTAAGCTGTTGTTTCTTTCCAAATTCCTTAATTTGACTTAGCTCTCAACTAATTCTCTTTCTAATTCAACTTATCTAATTCTTTATTCTTTTTCTAAAGCTATTAATCTATTTTCTCTTTCGATTTCTCTAGCTCTCTCTTCTATTTCAAGTTTCCTTAATATTGCCTCATTCTCAACCATCCTTATTCTTTCTCTGCTTCTTCTTAAATCTTCATCTCTTAATCTATCAAGCTCTCTAATCCTGTTTTACTCTTCTATTTGTGTTTATCTTAACAAGCTTTCCTCTTAAATCTATCTAATTCGCTCTGCACTTCTCTATCTCTCTTAGCTTAACCTTGTTTAATTTTCTAATTGAATTATTCTGTTTTCACTCTAAATTTGTTAAAGTTTAGATCTTCTTAATCTTTCAAGAGAGTCTTCTCTTTGTCTCACACTTTCTAATCGTAAATTTGGATAATAGTAAGGATAATAATATGGATAATAGGGATAGAAATAATAAGGATAAGAAGAGAAGGATAATCTCTCCAAAGATCTGTTATTTTCAACAGCATTAACAAAATCATTATCACGTATAATATTTGATCTATAAGGGAGAGGTTCCATCAAATGAACTGCTTCAACCAGTTCATTATATGAGATTTTGCCATCCTAATCAAGATCAACAGCATCAAAAAATGAGATCACTTCATCATTCAATAAAGGAGCATTCTATCTTTGCATAAATAATGAAAGTGTTTCTTTTGTTAAGTATCCTTAGTTAAACAAATCCAAGGTCTTAAAAGCTTCCAATGTTGAATAGTCCAAAGAATTAACTAAGGATTATCTTGCAGCATTTATCACTCTATAATTTTCAATCTCTTAAGCGAATACATCTGAAAGTGCTAATTCTACTTCAGTTGGTAAGAGCATTCCAATATCTATAGGGTATAGTTATCTAGATTTTACTATTTCTCTTAAAGCAGTATTTCTTTTTGTCAAAATATATTAACAGAAACTATAATTAGAATATTAAATTACTCTGCTAACTTGATCCTTCCGTCTTTATCCCAATCCAATTTCTTATATAAATAAGCTGCTTCAAACTAAGAATGTGAAATCTTGCTATCTTATAGGAATTCTAGGATATCCGAATGACCTAGCTGTCCTATTCTCCTTTGATCTATTCTTAGGAATGCTAAGCTTCACTTAATTATATACCAACTTCAGGGTTGAACATTTGTATTTATGCTAATCTTTGTTTCTTTTTTTCACTTAACTATTCATTTTGTGCAATGGCTTGAATTACTAAGGCTAACTTGGCTTAAGTAGTTAGAGTCAAACTTGATGAAGAGAGCATAATAAATTTTAATTAGTATTTTTTATTTTATTGTTAATTTTATTCGCAAAAAAAAAATCAATTGAATATAATGATAAATAAAAAAACTATATACATTTAAAATTGTATAATTTACATATAAGACTAAATTTTATAATTACTTTACTAAAAACAAAACGTATTTATAAACAAGAGTGGCAATTAATTTTATGCAAATTATTTAATAAATTTATTAGCCAAGGTATGAAGAATTTATTAGTGATTTTGATTTTTAAAATCTATTGATTTTAGAATAGGGAGCATTTGCTTAATTGAAAAAATTGCGATTCAAAAGTAAAACTCTGCCTTTGGAAAAATGAAAAAACTATGCAACATAACAAATTGATGTTATAAATTAATAGATGTTTAACAAAGTTTTAAATGAATTTGAAATTAATCATTTCTTTAACATTCATCAAAAAGTTTTGTAAATTTTATGTTTGGCAAGAATTAATTCAAAAAAATTATTCTTCCAATTTTATGGATAAGAGGATTGAAGTTTGTAAAGTTAATTTAGAAAACTTTTGCAATTAGTCTCAAATTTCCTTTTAGTACATTAGAGGCGCATTTTAAATTATCTAGAAAATTCTTAAAACCTTACAATCATTTTATATGTTATGACAATTTAAAAACCAATACATATTATGACATTATTACAATAAAAAGAAATTTATGTAAGAAAGCTATCAGGAATGCTCAGGCTTTTATCTGGATAGAATTAAATTCTTCATAAGTATTTAAATGCTATTGATTTTTTAAGAAAAATCAAACTAAATACCATTAAATTATAAGAAAATTTATAATTTAACACAAAAAATCTCTTCAGAGTTTCAATGACTTTTATTTTTTCATCAATCTTTTGGAATTTATTTGTAACCTGATTTGAATAGCTAAGATAATTTGAAAAAAGAAAACATGAATGAGAAAATCATATATTTTTCCCCCAGACTTAACCCTTCTTTAATATACTTTAGTTTTAACGACTGAGATCGTTAGATTAAATGTAATATTAAAAATAATAATTAATTCATGGCGAATAAGAAATAAGAAAAACATATTTTTGGATCAAATAGAGAATTTAAAGAATAAAGATTCTAATTTAAGATATGCTGTAATATGAAGAATGGGACGGAAAGCATATAACGAATTTATTTAATGATATTTTAGAGCCAATTAAAAATAGATTTTTAAAGAAACTCTGTGTTTGTAAATTATATAGTAACTCTCTAGAAAAATGAAATTAATTGATTAAATTTACTGTGTTCAGCATTAAAATAACAAAGCCTTAATTTATTTTTCGCTTATTTATAAAACACACTACTATTTTGAAGTAAGCTTATTAATAAAAATATTTAGCTCGTTGCATTCTTGAGCAAAAAAGTTAAAACATAAACATTCCTAGAAATTGGAAGAATATTTAGAATACAATTAAAATCATTTATATTAAAACTAATAAATTTTCAAATCATATGAGATAATAAAGCTCCATCAAAATTGAGAAAAAAGTAAAGTTTGAATAATGAATAGATAATTAAGGATTTAGATATATAGAATCAAATAAAGGGTAAATAAATGAATTAAATAATGATTTGATTTTAAGATTAGATTAATTAAATACAATTAAAAAATTGCTACATTAAAAAGGAATAATTTTAAATCATCCATTCTTAGATATTACCTATAGTTTTTATAGCAACAAATAATTCTGATTAATAATAAATTTGCGATAATACTCAATTCATAATTAACCAAATTAAAAATCCAGTACTATTCAGCATTTATCATTTATTCTTTCAAAAAATATAAAGCAATACATTCCTGTATCATAATTTAAATTGATAAATTCAAGTTTTTTGAAAGTACATCTTTGTATATAAACATTGGTATATTAATTTTTTAATTCAAGATTTAAAATATCAAATGAAATCTGATGTAACAGGTACGATGATCTTCTTATTCTAAGTACCAGCAATACCTATTTGTTCAACACAAGAGCTATCTTAAAGTAATAATCCAAGATCAGGCCATTGGACACAAGCAGAACACAAACTCTATCTTGATTTTCTTTATCAGTCCTAAGATTTTATTGAATCATCTTAAAATAACAAAGGATAAAGATTATTCAAAAAAATGAGTTAAGTAATTGCCACAAGAAGTCCAAGTTAATGCAGGTATAATTTTCGTCAACCTATAACAACAACAGATCACATCACCAAAAGTTCAATCCATTTAATGTTCAAATAATAAAAAGAAAAAAAAGTAGTAAATTATCTAAGCCAACCAAAGAAATGCCACCTTAAATCAGAAGTAAATAATATTTCCGAAAATTATTTGCCTCTTTTAAAGATCATAGTTCCGAATCTATGTCAGAGGAGGAGCTAAATCAAAATATTTAATGAATAAATATATTATATTGAATTTAGTATGCAAAACTTTCTATCAATATAACTTATGTTTTATTCACTCATTAATTCTGACCATACAAAATTCACTATTTTTCATAAATTAAATACTTTTTGTATTTAGAAAGAGAGCAATCAAACTATCTAAAATTTAATGTACACTAAATATATTAATAAGTAATTGTTTACTAATACAATTTTGAAATCAGGAAACATCCTTTATTTCTAATAAATTATTGTTAAAAGAAAACCATTATTCAATTTAAAAATATACAATTAATTTTAATTAGTTTATTTTTTTAGAGACTATTCTGTTTCATTTTGAATTATCTTAATCAAAATATAATAATGAAGATTTAATGAAAATTATTTATATTAACTTAATATTGAGTTATGTAGGGTTTCATATTAAAAAGGCAATTAATGAAATAAAATTGAATGATTACGAACACATAGCTTATTTTATATGATATATCAATACAATAGGAAAAGTTGTTTAATTTATTTTTCTCTACAGTTTTTAAGTTGGATATGAATGAGGTTTTAATCACTAAAAAAATTTGATCTCAATTAAATATAAAGGACACAATAATTTACTTTGAAATCTTCTTTTTTCAACCTATTTTCTATTAAAGTGAAAAAAATGTTAATAATTGACTACTTTGAGCAAAAATTATTTTTAAAAATACATTCAAATAATTAAAATGAAAACAATTTTACAACATTAGATAGATGATATTATTAAATCAATCAATATGATGCATTTCTTAAACAGCCAATTAAAAGGCTTTAACCGATACTTTATCGTCAAAAGTATTTTGCTATCATTATAGAATTAATAATATACGATTTCTTTTGCTCTGTTGAAAACACCTTCAAATTTGCCTATTCCATACTTAATTCCTATAGATTCAAATATTTATTTTATATCTTTTTTATTTCTTAACATTAAGAAATCCTAATCAGTCAGTCCCATATATGAAAATTTTTCTGGGAACAATAATGCTACAGCTGGAACTTCATCACCATAATTTTAAGGATCTGCAACAGATTTCATTCCCGTTTTAATAATATCATTTCTAATTGTCGGAACTCCAAATGCTCTAGTTTCATCTCCTTGTTTTGTTTAATTTCTAAAACCATATTTTGTGGCTTTTCCCAAATCTATATCTGGTTAAACTTCCTTTAATGTGGGCTAACCATTAATACATTATCCAGCTGTCCATTATTCATCTTTTTTTGTTTCTCCAAAAATTGCTGGCATTCTTGAATTAATTTAAGCCAGATTTTTTGGTTTACCAAGAGGATCTTCGTTATAATTCTTCCAATCTTCTTAATTTTTTGAGATAATAGTTGTTTTAGGATATTAATTTTGTGTTAATTCATGTTGCAAAATTTTTTTCATCTATTCTTATTCTCTTTCATCTTTTTTGCCGAATCGAAATTCAGATGGATTGACATTCCACTTATATTCTCTATTTTTTTATTCTCCTGCTTCAAAATTTCCATGACTTTTCAAATACATCATTCTTGCACTTTCATCATCTCTTTGGGCATCAGGAGGAAAAACAACTTCTTTTGCTGTAAATTCAGAAGGAGGTATCTTCTAACCAAAAGCAAACCCGTCTGATTTAGATTCTTCAGGCCAATTATAATTTCTTGTGGGCATTGTACCTAAAGGCTCTTTAATATGAGAGGCGTATTTTTATTCATTTATTTCATTGACCAATTCCTTAATTCCTTCTGGCTATTATTTAAATAGATCTCCTGCTTTATCAGATGGATCAGTTTTTTTTCCATAAAGCCAATTACCTTAAGGTTTTGGAGCATCTACAAGACCTGGGTGTAACTAAATTTAATTATATTTATTTACAATTGCACAACCATGTTGATGCTTGTAGGATTTACGATATTTCTTTATATGAGGAGGAGTTTCAGGGACCTATGTAACTGACTAAAATTACTTAGCCTTAAACAGGTTATATACAGTCACCAGCACTATCTTCCTTGAGAACAGTTCTTCCAGCCTAAACTAAATTACACTATTTACTGATTTCAATGTTCCAAAGTAATCCCTTGTTTTCCCTGACATTTTATTTAGAATTATTATATATATTATAATTGAATAAATATAAATTAAATTTTTGAAAAAGGCATCTTTATTTTTAAGAAGATCATTCTTCACCCTGATACTATTCTATTATAATTCAGCAATCTCCTTAAACTCCAACAATTCATTTAATTTTTAACAATTTATCAGCATCATATAGCCTAGAAGACACAATATCTTGAAACTATAAAGTTGGGTTTGTTATTTATATGTAAACGTTTACATTCGGGTGTAGAAGAAACTATATGGCCTGCACTTTCACAAGCATGCACATTACAAAGGTATAAATGTGATAATATTCATCTTATTGCAGATAATTTGGGATGGTTCCAGGATGAGAAATTGAATATTTAAATACCGAAACTTAAAATTCTTCAAGTACCCATAGAGTTCAAAAATCATTTGTTAATTGTAACAATAATAATTACTTAATTAATTCCACATAAAATAATATGCATTTATTTTGAACAACAATCATTTAGTTTTAAAAGCACACTTCTTAATTAAAAATCCTATAACTGCTGCTAAAGATAATCCACATACAATAGTAATTCTTAATGCAAGGTTATTATCTGCTTATAGTGGAAGGTTAACTTGTTGATCATTTTTTACGTAATTATCTTATATTAAATGTAATTCTTATATTGAATCCAAGTTATCTATTAAATTGATTTAATTGATTTATACCTAGATTCACTTGAGTTATTTATTCTGTCTCATCTTATTATTATATGATTTCTGATTTATTTAAAACATCATCAGTTATTGGACTTTCAAAAAGCTAAAAGTCATCAGAAAGTTTATTAGCCTAATCTGAGTTTAACTCTTAAATAGGTGTTTATGTTGTTATTTCTGTTGTAGTTGTGGTGATCCCATTTCTAGTACTTGTTTTTGTTACCTTAGTTTAAGTTTATCCATTAATCGAAATAGTTTCTATTTCAACAAAATCAGAGTCTCCTTCAGTTGAAAATATCGAAAATAAAGGATTAAATAAGCCTAACATAGGGCTTTCAAATTAAATAACACTTTCATCTGATTCGTTTATTTGTTATGATTATTGATTGCTTTATAAAAAGGTTGAATCATTTGGATTGTCTGCAAAATCATCAAATGCTGAGGTGATGGTTTCAAAAAGATCTTTGAGGAAGAATTGATCCATGGGTCCCATTCCTTTTTTTAATTCCTTTCCCTAAAAGATGCCTGCATTTTCTTCTCGTTCATCAGTATTATCCAACTGTTCCACTTCTAGTTACATTGGTGCTGATGTTCCTGGAGAATCTTCTTAGGCATTTGAAAAAGCAATTAAAATAACAAAGAGAATTGTAAATTTCATTATAATTATGATAAAAACGATTATCAAAATAAATGCCAATAAAATGTAAAAAAAATTTATATATTTTAACTTCATTATTAGTCTCTTCATTCGATATATTAGTTCAACTAAAAATTGATTAAGACTAAAGCATCGATTAAACCCATCAATTAACATCATGATATTATTTTGGTTACCATGATTTAATAGTCTTTAAATGAAAACTTATGCTGTTCAAAGCAGCAATATTCAATGAATTTTTTCTTATAAGGTGGTTCAAAATCAACAAATTTTCACAATTTAATTATTTTATTCAAATTTTTAGAAGCATCTTACAACTGTTTTTCAGATTGCATAATCAATAGTATTTTACTCTAAGCAGGCAAAGCTGAATGGCAATAGTTCAAATCATAATTATATATTAATTAAGCCATTTAATAAAATATTTAAAATAGAGAATTAGAATAAACTTAGAACTCAGATTTTTTATCGAAAAATATCTCTCATTTGTTATATTTAATTGTAAATAATATCTGTGATTACAAGACTCTAATCTCTCCTTAGTTACTCTAGAACTGTGATCCTCTGATCTAATTGTATCAATTATGGATTGAATCAATTCATATTGAATATTTAATATTATAAAATAGTTTAATTCAATTTATGTATTTTTCATGGACTTAATCTTATTTTGGAAATTATATGAGATATTGATTTATGAATACATGTGATTTTTCTAGTCAGATTTTTGCAACTAAAATAAGGTTAACTGAATAGCAAGTCTCAAAAACATTATGATGGAATTACACATTTATATTTACCAGTATATAGTCTGTTTTACTCTTAAGTTCTTTTTAATTCTTTCCTATTTGCTTTCATGAGCTATTAAATGAAGTTTTCTAGTGCCTTTTTTGATTTTTATAATACTATTCTAAAGGTAAGTAAATATTTAGTAATCTGTTTTGTAAATTAAAAAGTATTCTAATAACTCATGGACCTTAGACATCTTGAAAAAGAATTCTTTATGAATCACAGCTGTTATTCCTACTCCCCTATTTGTATGATGAGTTATTAATTTTTTATATTATGTATATGAATGGGAGTTAGTAATTTCTTATCTATTTTTGTTTCCTGTAAACAGAATATATGTGCTCCTATTTATTGATGAGACTTCCACAAAAGTATAATTAACTCATTATTTGGAGAATCTGATTTTCGATTTTGCAAGTATTTGCTCGCTTACTACTCATAATCAAAGTCCATTATAGTACATTGTCTAGTAATATTTTGATAAATTGAATCTATTGGATGCCTTAAGCTCAGGCAAAATACAATAGTTAATCTAGACAGAAAATATCATTTTTTTGGGGAAAACGATTATATTTTGTTATTTATTTAGGAGTAACTGATTTTCTGAAGGATTAACGAATGTTAATTCTTTAAGATCTAATTTTCAAAATTGACAATTTGATTTTTTAATATTTTTTAATCTTTTTGGAGTCGCTTTCAAGGCCATGAGTGATTTTGTCTAGAATGTATCAAACCCTAATGCGATAAGGGATATCCCTTAGAAAAAAAGAGAGGAGAAGGAATAGTGCTAATCGCGTGGAACTGTCCAGTCCTTCATAGTGCTGAACCCATATACTCTGAAGTTTGTTCCAATTTATCTCTCGGCTATCGGAAGCGGGCAATTATGGAGTGGAGAAAGCCAGTCTGCAGCGAATAGCTGTATCACAAAAAATAATATTTATATTTGTGTGTGATATATGATGATGATGATTATTATTTTTTCTAATTTTCATTCTTCTTAGCATTTCCACATTCATTCTCTAAGTTCTATCTATTAAATCCCTCAGATTTATAAAATGATAGAAATCGATCACACCCATTAGTTTTTGCTCTTATGCATCGCTTTA